ATATATATATATATATATATATATATATATATATAAGATTTGTTCTCTTACCATATTTAAGAATAGAAACAAATTACAGTTAATTTCCAATGAGGTGTTACAAAATAAAAGACTAAATTTCAACTAAATTTAATATAGTTTGATTCTCTTGTTTTTTCTCATTATAACAATTTTACTTAATATTCATTAAAGTTTACTTGCTATTGCACTTTGATCTTAAGTTATTTTGTAAGATCAGTTTCAGCATTAGTACTGACAAATAATAACCTAACATATTAGACCAAAAGCTTACAGTATAGAATCAAATATACGTATTAATTTCTATATAACATAACGCACTAAACACAACACAGTAAGGTGCATGTTACAACTAACGTTAACGTTGTTATATATGCTAACATCCATTTAAGACAGCTCTTTAACGAGATAAACAGTTGCCAGGCAACGTGGAGCATGGCATTGTTCCAGCAACGCAAATATTTCTATAAACTTTACTATATTAAACGACTAAATATAAGTTATTAAAAGTCATTCAGTTATGCATAATCTGTAAGTAAGACGACCAACATCCTATTCTCTCATCAGCATCATACATTATAGCCTACAGATTGCATTACATAACTATAATAAATGACACATTAATGACATATAAACTGCACAAATACACGTTTAGACACATTAGCAGTGGTGCAGAGACGTGTAAAGCATCAAGCGAAAGCAGATGTTAGCTTGCTGTAGAGTTTTTGATCGATGAGCGTCGCGAAAGGAAGTGTTAGTGTTGTTGAAGGGAATGAACTCGCGCATTGAACACACACTCACACAAAGCCAGCTCTAAACGACTCTTTCGCGCACACAAACATGACATTTCGTCGAACGTTACGATGGCAAGACACTTACAAAAGCGTGACATACCCAAATAATGAAGGTGTATGTTTTGTAAGACGCTACAAAGAGTGTTTTATCGGCGCTCCGTGCTGAACCTTATCGCCTCCTCTCCCCAGGAAGTGCTTTGAAATTTGGCGCGCCAGGAGCAGGACGAGTTTCCTTGCGCGAAAATCAACGCCACTTCCGTCGTTGTTGTCAGGGAGACCCGCAATACAATGCAGACGGGTTTGTCATTAGCCATAAAGAAAGGCGTTTATTTTAATAAATATTGCGGTTATTTTATGTTATTATTAAATAATGTTGAATACTTAAAGTAATTAAAGTAAAATGAAAAGACAAGAAATATATTCTAAATCAAGATTGATTTTAATTTGCTTTTCTTTACTGTAATAATGTCGATTTCTAGAATATTTGTAGTCATTTAGTTTGTATAATTTATTTATGAATGCAATAATAGAAAACAGACCTGTTTTAGCCATAAATATATTATATAATTTATTATTAATGAGAACGAATTAGTTGTGTTAAAGCTATTTTATTCAGTTTATTGTTGTTTATCTTTATTATATAGTTTGATAAACTGATATATAATATAATAATGATAGTGCAATAATACTAATAATAATAATAATAATAATATGTCTATAAACATGCCACCTTCTCTGGTATTTTATCATTTAAAAAATATAATGCAGTTTTTCTCAGTCACTTTGGTATATTTCTCAGATCAGAATTGAAACTTTGCTAAACAGCAAGTACATTTCTCAAAACAACGCGTACAAATTGCAAAACACCATGGATCATCTGCAAAAGCCAGTCTCTTGCTCAAAATCCTTAGATCATCTCTCAAAACTAAATTTCTGTGTCAATAAATGTGTCAGAATGTGTCAGAAAATTACAGTTTTTCTCTATTGGTTTGGCTTATTTCTTGAGTAAATCAAAAGTAAAATTTTTTAACTTCACATAAAGGGATAGTTCACCCAAAAAAAAAAAGGATTTTTTTATTTCATTTATTTATTTTAGTTGCTTTATTTTGCGTTATTACTTCACTTTAGTTGCTTTTTGATCTTTTTGAAATCTTATATTTGTTTATTATTAATTGATTAGATATTTCTAATAACATAACAACATAAGTATAGGTGGTTCATTGCGCTGTGGAGACCACTGATAAATGCAGGACTAAGCCGAAGGAAAATTAATGAGTAGTAAGTACGAATATTTACTTATTTTAGTAGCTTTATTTTCTGTTATTATTTAATTTAATGGATAATAAATTATTATAATAGTTTTAGTTGCTTTTCGTTTGTTTTTGTTTTTGTTTAATTTATTTTCATGTTTTGTAAAAAAATTAAATGTATTACTTTATTTATGCGTCTTTTTATGTTTCTCATCTCAATTAGTTTTATTTATTAATTTATTTATTTCAGTTGCTTTATTTTATTATTAATTTTAGTTGGATTTTTATTTTTGTTTCATTTATTTTCATGTTGATTAGTTTTTTGTTAATAAGAATAATCTATTGATAATTTATAGTATAATGTATGTTGTATATGCATATTTATTACATTCCCCTTCGCAAAAATAATTATTTATTTAAATTACATAAACTATAATAACTTTGCTTTGAACAACGGAATTACATTATTATTTATTATTTATTATTATTATTGCTAAAACAATCATATAGTTAATAATGATAATTTAATTTCTAAAATAGTAGAACCAATATAGATAGATAGATAGATAGATAGATAGATAGATAGATAGATAGATAGATAGATAGATAGATAGATAGATAGATAGATAGATAGATAGATAGATAGATAGATAGATAGATAGATAGATAGATAGATAGATAGATAAAAAAATCAAACATACACCAACAATGACATTTTAGTTCAAAGTTTTTTATTTTCATCTTTCATTCAAACAAAAACTCAAAACTGAACTAAAGCTGTGCTTGAAGTCCAACTATGAAGCCACGTGTAAAACTAAATCAACAAAGCAGCTGAAACAAGATCCTCTGCACCACACTTTGTACATGACAGTGAAGTATTATTAACAATCATAATTTTGATTGAGCGTCAGTTATCTGGAAGTCTTAAATCAAACGCATCAGCGGGAGAAATGGGTTTAAATGCTGAAAGATTACAAAAAAAGTTATAATGTCACAAAGCATCACATTTTTTTCCAAGAGCTGGGATGAATAAAGCACTTTAAGAAAGCTGTCTCCTGAGAACTCCAACATGTGAGCTGACAAAAGATCAATTTGGCAATTAAATCAGTGTTACTCGATGAATAAAGCACACACTTGAATAAGCTCCTGTAATAATGTGATGCCAGCATCTCTGTCGATGTTTGATCAAACCTGAGCAGACTTAAAAGATGGACTTGTATTGCTAGTTACATACCACCAAGGAAAAAGACACTTTTCAGTGCAATAAGTGCATAATCTTATGATTTTATCAGGCTCAAACCATTCAAGTTCATTTCACCAACAAAGAAATGCTAAATCTCAACACAGTCGACAGCAATGATCTTTGTAGATATCAATCACACTGAACTTCGAACGCATCAGTTCAAGTTTAAAGAAACACTCCACCTTTTTTGGGGAGGGGATAAGCTCATTTTACAACTCCCTTAGAGTTAAACAGTTGAATTTCACAATTTTTAAATCATTCAGCAGATCTCCGGGTTTGGCAGGAGCACTTTTAGCTTAGCTTAGCATAGATCATTGAATCAGATTAGACCATTAGCATCTTGCTCAAAACTTACCAAAATGTTTGGTGATGTAGATCATGTACTAAGACCAGAAAATAAAATGAACACAAAATAAAAAATGTGCTATTTTCTAAATCAATACTCTTACTCCTATTCTTAAGGTCCGTGCACACCGGGATGTTTTTTCCTTACGTTTTCTGTTGACGTTTTATGCCTGGTGACTAAATAAAAGGCGCCAATGTGATTGTGCACAATCTTTTAAGAAACGCCTCATGCTCGTCTTTTTGTTTTGACATGCCACATCAAAACCTTCTCCACCAATCAGATTGGCGCTTTTGATCACGTGCACAGAGCTGCTGAAGTTACAGTAAACAGCACTTGGAGGCGCTTAGGCGCAAAACTGTCAATGCGAGTGCACATTGAAGAAGATGCCCAGAGGTTATATAAACGTGGAGCTGCTTACTGCACTGGTGAACAATAATCAGTTCTTCATCGCTAGAGCTGGAGCTGCTACTTGAACCATTCATGCTTGTTCGAATTGCCAGTAACTTTAACAACAAGCATGTCAAACTTTCTCTCTTCTTCTGTGTAACAAGCGGGTGTCAGAAGCTTAAAGTTCTGTGGCGCCATCTACTGTCAAGGAGTGATTCTGCATACTCTTCTGCTCGACGCCAGCAAAGAGCATAGAATCACCAAGAGGCGACACTCTAGTGCGATTTGGGAAACAGCCACTAGATGCCGCTAGTGTCATGCGGCGTCCATTTTGGAATTAAAATTCCAATAGAACAACAGCAAATTATAAGTCTGTAAAATAAACTATTAAAAGTGATGATGATTGTTGATAGTAAGTGTTGTATTGTTGTCTTTCAGGTTGTATCTCAGCTTTAATGTACTTCTTAAATAAATAAATAAAAAACAAAGCAACCATCGTGACAGCAATAAGATCCAATGGACAGCTGATCGCTTTCACTCCAGAATAGCGGAATCGCGAGGCTGTTGCTGGGCGCTGCTGTTGCAATGGGACGTTCTATTGAGTGTCGCCTCTTGATGATTCTAAGCTCTTTGACTCCAGTGAAAACCACTTGGGTTGGAATCTGAAAAAACATCTCGAAAAAACGCTGACGATAGATGCAAACAAAAATCGTCCCAGTGTGTACGAGCCTTTACTCTCTTCCTGGCATAAAGGCTTATTTAGGGGCCAATCCAACTCAATCTCACCGCAATTCGTAACTTTTTGATTTACTGGTAAATTCATATGAATTTGTACGATCTAATTTGTACAATTTAGTATGATTTGCTCATCACCCAATGACGGTTAGGGTTAGGGGTGGGGTTGGGTGCCACGCCTCCTCTTTAAAATCGTACATTTTCATACGACTGAACTTGTACGGACTTGTATGAATTAGCCACTAAACGGACAAAATGTAAAATACTTACGTTTCCTTGTGAGATCACGCTGGCCCATCACACGAACACGCTTTTACGTTCCAAAAACCTGAGGCACACTGCAATGCCTTTTTGTTGACAAGACGAAAAAGTGTGGTGCGCTTTTTATGTTGCTAGGCAACGACTGAATCGTGAATTGAATTGTGCGCGAGTTGTTGATATAATTGTAACATTTAATACATTTGTAAAGTCATTCAGCTCTAGATAACTCGAAACAGCGACTACTAGTCTTTCCTCTATCTTTAAAAGTCTCTTTAGTCGTCTTGACAACACAAACACTGCTGTCACCTCAACGGAAACCCCACCTCTGCTTTTATTTGATTGGAGAATGAAAAAAACGCGACTGACATAACACGCTTTTTCCGCTCAGAGTTGTCTTTTTTTCAATTGTGAGCGCACAATGCGCAACGGCAAAAACTTGAGGCGCAGCAGGGTGCATAACCAGCACGCAAAACTACTGCGGCCACTAGAAAAGCATTCAAAAAGTCAGCTCTCAACGCAAAAAGTGCGTTCGGTGTGATCGGCCCCTTATACTTCTGCGTCAAACGCACACATATGGTCTGGCACAACCTTGATGTGTGATGTGCGACGTTGATGTGTGTGCCTCTCAAAAAATGTAACTGCACGTCACAACAGTGCATAGCGCAAACTCTGATTGGTCGGTTTGGTTGCACTGACAAGTGTAAGCGGTGCTGAGAGCCACGAGCCCAATGGAGCGAGTCTTTAAGTGTCGAGTCCTGTCAAAGAGCTCCAAATGGAAACTTTTGCTTTGTGTTTACCTTATGATTATTGTTGTTGCACGTCTGCCAGCTCCGACATCTGAATGAGTGAGATTTAGCTACTTGTACATAGCGTTTAGAAAAAACAAAACTCCCACAAAGAAACTCGACACAGAGAAACATAAACACCTACTGCCAGCTAGTGTGTCGGAAGTGTTATTGCAGATCAACACAAACAGCACGCAGAAGTACAAAAGCATGACTACGCATAAGGTAGGCCTTAATAAACAAGGAACTTTGCTGCTGTACCATGGCTGCAGCAGGCACAATGATATTATGCAACTTTAAATTTTCTGTTGGCCTTAGTACACAAAATAATTTTAAAACAGTCAAATTAAGAAAATTATCAAAACTCCTTAATCTTTTTTGAGCAAGATGCTAATGGTTTAATCCGAATGATCTATGCTAAGCTAAGCTAACAGTGCTCCTGCCAGATGCAGAGATCATCTGACTGGATTCAAAAATGGTAAAATTAAATTTTAATTAAACTCTTGGGGAGTTTTTAAATCAGCCTATTTTCCAAAAAAAAAAAAAAAAAAAAAAGAATGAAGCGTTTCTTTAATTTCTATGTACAACCATCTTACACTGACTATTTGAGAATTTTTTTCGACCAAGTTAGAAATTAAATGACATCCATTTCCTTTGATTCACCGGTTTTAATTTTGTTGTGCTCAGACGTGCCTGAGGATTAAAACTGTTGTTTTTGTTGTTATTTATGACTGTAAATTGCATAATATCAACTTTGACATCAATGTTTATTTGCTTCATATCAGCTAAAATAACACCGACATTAAGAATACTTCTCATCAGAGACAAAGCAATGCAATGAAATCTCATTTCTAGCAGGCAACTTCTAGTTGAGCATGCTTCTGTTATGCGTTAATCCTGTATACAGCAGATTTATGACATCAGCGCATATATAGAGAGAATAGAGAGAATCATTCATAAAGAGCAAGAATAATAATAATATATATTCTCAGTGAAATAGTTCTTACGTATTGCATTTTAAAAAACATTCCCGAGTGCGAAGATAAAAAGCAGTCAAAGCATTTTTACTCGGATTCTGTTTTTTTTGTTTTGTTTTGTTAGTCGTTTCTTTAGATGAGTTTTATTTTAAGTAAAAAGAGTATTGATCGTAGACTTGACATGCAATATAATTATGTACAAAAGTGCACTGTAAAAAGCGTTGACTCAACTTAAAATTGTAAGGCTGCACAGCTTTTTGACTTGATTTAAGTTGAGTTGACTCAAAAAGCTCTGCGGCTTTACAATAAGTTGTTTACAATTTGAAGTTGTCAACTTTTATTTTAACAGTGTGTGTGTTTGTTCACACTGCCGCACCGACCCTGTTTGTGTTTATGTATGTGTGTAATATGAAACACAAGCAAACAATGAAGTTTCATTTGTTAACATTACTTAAATGAGTTGACCTGAACTAACAATAATAAAAACAAACCTTCTAAAGCATTTATCTTGGATCAACAATGAAAGTTATCTGCTCTGTCAAAAATATTGAGACAAAAATTCATGAAACAAATGTTTTATGCTACTTTAACTAATATTAATGAGTTAATCAGGTTTCAACTAATTTTGTTTAGTTATACAAAGTTTAACTCACAAATTTAAGTCAGTTTGACTGATGTAAGTCGGGATAACTAGAACATTTCTTTTGATTAAAAAAAAAATATTTAGATGGAATTTTTTAGTGTGTTAATATTATTTAAAAGGATTATGTGTAAGAATTTGTATTAAAGGGGTGGTCCACTACGATATCATGTTTTAAACTTTAGTTGATGTGTAATGTAGATGTGTAAATATAAACAACATCTCTAAATGTAATACGCGCAAAAGTTTTTTTTTAGAGTTAGCTTAGCAAAGCCTACAGCGAACGAAGTTTGGGGACTACAAAAAAATACATCTGGGTTAATAATGTCAAACCCTTCAGGTTAAGTGCATACACTCTGTGCAGTGAAGGGGTGTGGCCAGAAGCGCTGTAATGTTATAGCAGAGATGCTTCTTAGTAACATGGAGCTGATCCCCAAATCACAGCACGTTATGTTAGCTGACCAATCAGAGCCTCTTGAGGGTGGGCTTTCAAAGGAACTAGGAAATATGACAGTTGTTTTCATGTTAGCTGAGTAGCTGTATATAATCAAAGTAGGATATATGACATAATAACATGATTTTTTACAAATGAAGCATGAACACACATAGCTGTGCACTCCATAAACACAACTCCATAAATTTTTAAAGTCTTAAAAATACACTCTGGACCACCCCTTTAATAACTTTCTTATTGTATTTTTTCAACTAACTTGTGACAAAAAAGGATTGACATTTATATTTTTAACAAATATTTATGATGATTAACAAATACTGCATCAGCTGTATTATTTATCGTTAGTTAAAGCATGAACTAATGTCAACTAATGAAACCTTATTGTAAAATATTTATGTAAATCTTACATAAAATGTTGAGTTTAACATAAATATTCATCTAGGAATGATTTTATTCACAGTTATATCTGTTTTGCTTGTGTTTCATGAATAAGGTCTAATGCTTTTACACTAATATTGCTTCATAAGGCCCACTAACTGTGATTTTAGTCAACAAACCTTAATAATATAATCTCTGGATGCTACAAGAATCATTTCAAAGTCAAAAATCTGGGGCTTTATCGTGAAATATGCCTAATACGTATCAATGCGATATAAAACCTTCATACAATGCATTAAAATTACAATTCATCAATCATTCATTTAATCATCTGAATGCAGTTGTTTAATCAAAGCAAAAAGACTGAAATTATTTCGTAATTTCACAATTTTCTATTTTTTTTTTTTTTTTAGCAAACAGCTGTATTTACATTAGCTGCGATTTCACATTTGCAGAAATTCTGTCTTAATTGTGCTTTTTTTAGACACCCTGTCTTTTTTAACCATCTTCCCTCTTCAAAACATGAGGTAGCAATTTTTTCCGGCAGACCAAGCCACGCCCTATTATATAAAACTCCTCCCACCAGCTACAGCTCATTTTGATATTGCATTTTAAAATCCGTTTCATGCGTCATAAACCTACATTAACACATTTATCCATTATAAATGAATGCTATGAGAATGTTAGTGATAAAAATCTACATATGCTTATAATTAGGCTACAAAAGGTGTTGAATTTAAAAAGTGTTCAATTAAATATCACATGCATCCTTTGTTCTGTTTCCCGCCATATAATAGTTACCTTTTATCCCACACATCTGTTCTATTATTGTCTAATTTGTATTTAAGCCATGCGTTTCCACCGATTCCAGGTGGATTATTGTTTGTGTTCATGAATTGTTTTATCTTTACTCTGTGATATTACTATTATGTACCAAAATGCCATTTCTGATGTACCTTTCTGTTTTTAAAAGAGCTTTTCTTGGCCATTTTGTCCACCAAAGCATTTTTAGCCAGCTGAAAATGCCAAGTGCTCTTTCGAACAAGGCCAGCTGTTGGCACTTTGGTGCTTAAGCATTTAGCCAAATCCATGTTGATCGAAATTCAGCTCCAAGCATTATTATTCATATTAATATTGCTGTAGTCCAGAGGTGCCATCTGGTACAGAATTGGATACTCTAAAACCAGCAATATTTACTTCTACTCCATTGTTGTTCAATTATGTAATGTGTGATGTAATGTCCCGGCCCTCCTCCAATATGATTGGACAGCTGGGTAAAAACATTGACATGACATTGTTGAAAACGGCACTTAAATAGGGTAATGCCAGATGCAAATACGGTCTTATTTCTCTAAATACATGGTGCTCTATTTAAAAACAATTGAAAATGTAAGCTACATAATGGTGTGTTCACACCAGACACGGATAAATCATCAAGCGTAAGTGTTAAGTCTGTTAAGTCAATGCAAAAATGCGAAAAGACAACCTACGGCGCAATTTGTGCGAATGAGGCAGCACAAATGACGCTAGAGTTGTAAAATCTGAACTTCAGTAGATATTTGTGACACGTTAACCAATCAGGAGCTTGCTTTTGTAGGGGCGTGATTATGACTTAGAGCCTGTTGTTGATGTTCTGAGGAGAAATCCTCCTGCTGACACCTGACAACAATCAAACTGGGCTCGGCTCAGTCTGAAGCACCGCTGAAGCACATCTAGTGGACTCAGACACGGTGCCGAATGAATATATGCTGTTTATCAGCCTTCTCAAAGCACATAAAGCATAGCTACTATCTCAATAAAAACCATGTTAGCCATTTAGCAAGAAAGTTAATGTAGCCCTGCCCATGATGCAAATCTGTGTCTATTGTGAACTGAATTTGACACGCAAATAAAGCGAATGAACTCAAAATGTTTACGTGTGAATAGCTTGAGTCACTCGCGCATGCCGTTTCTGGGCACACAGCACAGGGCTTTTTCATTATTGGGCCCAACGACTCCCTGTTCATTATGTTCATTTGCCTTGGTAATGCAGATGTATTGTAAAACAGCAATATGAACGATGAATTGATAATTCTGTTTTTGGGACATTTGATATTCACCTTCCTAAATGAGCGAAAATAGAACTAGCATGCTTTGGCTTAGCCAGCAAAAAAAAAAAGTGTTAGCCAGGAAACGTTTTGTGATGTCACACTCTACCAGTACAGCACAGAACAGTCATCTAAGGGGGGGTCATACATCGGATGTGCCGGATGTACGCACACTGGCGGCGCAAGTCGGCATCTGTCCGCAGAGCCCAACCACAACCTAGGACACTGTTCATATTTCTGTCGCGCCAGAGAGCCATCTGAATAGTTTCATCTTAAATAACATTCGAATGAGCAGTGCATCCGATGTGTGACCCCCTTGACTGTGCCTAGATGCTCGGCAACTAACTGTTTGTAATCATGCCCTGCTGTATACCAGGATCATGTGGATATACAACTGGAACCATACCTGACTGTTCTTAGAACCATTCGACACAAAACTAGAAAAGCAGCTATACTCTACTCTCTAAATGCTTTGGTGGATACATGGCATCAGTGCAAATAACACTTTACTAATCTGAAGATTTGTTATGCTGCCATTTGGGCAAAGAAACAGTTCTACAAACTGAAAAGGCTCTTCATGGATCAATGGATAAATAAAGCTCTTATACAGGGTAGTAATAGGAACTCTGTTATAGATACTACCCACCAGCCCAGTCCACATTATCTACTACATTTCCCCTGAATGCATTTTCCTGCATTAAGAATAAGCCAGGGGACAACAACGTCATTTAAGTGCGACATTCAAAAACATCAACAGAATGGAGGTGTTACCCAAACTGTGTATTCACTGTGTGTAGTGTGTTCAAAGGACATGAAACGTAGATATATAGGTTTGCAACTGAAACACTAAAAGTGAGGACTAAATCACCTACTCTATTAAAGCTTGTAGTGCTACATATAATAAAGAACTTAAAAAAAGGCTAATACTGCTAGCGTTAGCTTTCTGAATGTGTATGTCTAGTAACACTTTATCTCATATGGCATGCGTTCAATCAATCAATCAATCAATCAATCAATATACACTACATCACTATTGAGCTAGATTAGATCCTGCTCTGTAGTATGAGCTAATTTAGTTCCCCAAATGGCGTTCCTAGAACTAAATTGTTCCCACTTCCAATACACACCAAAGAGCGGGTATTTCTGCCTATAGTTTGTAAATAGGTTCCTTGGTTGGGAAAGTCCTATAAAACTAAAATTATTTTCTTAACTGCTGAAGCACAAACACATCTGACAGTAGTTATAGGAACTATGAAAATATTCCTTCATTAGGTTTAATAGAATCCAATTTAAAACCTATAAACACAATGGAGAATATTCGTCTGGAGTTTACGGTACCAGGAAATAAATAAGTAGTTTTTTTTTTTACATTGTCGCAATTTTGAAATCAAAGGAATGTTTTGAGTGTAAAAATAATAATTATGTTTAATTAAACTAAAAATGTTGAAGCAATACAGTCATGTTTGGAAAGCAGTTTAGCTGGGTTAGCACTACACAATATTTATGCCAGTTTGTCACTGTCAGATGATCTGATTTTTAGCGCCTAATTTGTAATTATGAACAAGAAGCTTGCAAGCTGCCTCATTGTTTGTCTTATAATGATGTGCCTGATGTTATCGAAATAGGCAGAGCTATCTTAAATTTAATCAAAACAAGAGATTGCAATTGCAAATCTAATTGAATAAGGAGATCTGCAGTGATAATTGTGCACATCCCAGACAGTCCAGATGAGATAGAACAATAATTTCTTGCATCATGACAACCACTGTCATTTTCAATTTCCTTTAACACCCGACATGAAACGGATTGTTCCAAACTATTATTGTGTAATCTGAACCAGGATGTGTTCAATGCAGATTTAGGTTTACTGCCAGAAATGATTCAAACCTTACAAAATATAGATTTGTTTTTTTGTCTTCCTATCCTCAGTTCCCTCCTCTCATTTCACTAATCTGCTTCTTATTGCAAATCATTCATCGGGATTCTCAATATGCAAAATTCAGCAAGTCTCACAAAGCTCCAAGCTCCTAAAATAGGTTCAAAAGAGTAAGAATAAAAGATGAGAAGGAAAAGAGATCACCGGAAAGGCCCGAGTTGTGAGGAAACCCGAGCGGAGTCAGCATCTGAAACTGCTGAGACAAGCCGTTTCCTTCAGCCGGAGTTCCTCAGAGCCAAAAAACCCTCAGCCACAGCTGATCCTATTTACAGTGTAAAGCCAGCGTATCAGATACCTGTCATCCATGCGGACCTGATTCATCAAGGTGTTTAGTTAACCATTGGCAGGGATTATCATGACAGCCCTTCAAAAGCTGCCGGTGGCTGCAAACGGTCAAAAAGGAAAGAGGGATGCATTCAGAATGATCTTGAAATGAATCCAGCTTGATGATAAGTGACGGAGATGTTCTCGAAATGTTCATTTGGCATTTGGTAGATCAACTGTTTGAAAAAATATGCAAGGTATACCCCCATTTATGGTACAATCCACTTCAGATTCACTTGGATAGAGTTTGTAAAAGTTTTTAAAAAGTAAGTAAGTCTTCAAGTCTGTGTGTGTGTGTGTCTTAACATGCACTTTATGGTCACACTAATCTAGCTTTAAAACTAATCAAGAACTCATCGGTAATTCAAAGACATGCATAGTGCAGGACCGATCTTGTTCTTCATTTTTTTTCCTTTTTTTTGCGAGTGTTGTTTTCTTCTTTTGCATATCTTCTGGATCAGTGTTTTATCCTAATCAACAACCCATTAGTTTAGCATCAGATGAATTCAAGCAAGTGATGAAGTGTCAGTTTTGCAAATGCAAACGGTGAGATGTTGCAAATGAACAGTGGCTGCATTGGTATAAATGATGTGCGATTTCATTTTTCACTTCTCAGGTTGCGGTTCCGTTACTTGGATCCACGACTTTCTCGGAATGTGGCGAAGCATCTTTGCTCGTGTTTGCATCCAGATCCTTCACTCCCTCAGGTGTGGTTGCGCCAATCAAGTCGACCTCCGTTTTAGCCCCGGATTTGGGCTGGGTGGCAGGGCTGGCGCTCAGGATGGAATCAGGGGTGCGAGTGGAGCTGTGGTCGCCCTCAGAAATGGCCGGCGGGACGCCAGCGAGAGTGTCAGACTCGATGAGGAGCTTGTGAGAGGCGAAATTGTCGGGTACATCGGTGTCGCTGTCCAGAGGGAGCGCAGACGAGTTGAACTCCACACCTGAGTCGTTCATATCCAGGAAGTTTTTGTCAGATTGGAGGGCATGGTACTGACCTGGTTTCGACACCTCGAGGCCCTAAAAGCAAAGTTACTGTAAGTTTTATCCACAAAGTAGTATCATATATCCATACTAGTCATACACTGCTAAAAATGAGTAAACTAAATGAGAATTCTTTATTTATTTATTCAGTTTGACATATGTTGAATTGAATTTAATAACTCACACAACAATTCTTTAGACTTTTTAAAAATATTGTGTTCATGAAAACGTAAAAGCAAACCCATTTGGATTGGATTTATTGTTGTATTATTTATATACTTGTTATGGCTTGGCAGGCAAAAAGAGGAGGAAAGAAAGAGATGGATCTAATTTAAGCCGTTTACTATATTAAACCACAAATCAAAGAAGGTAATGGAACAAAAACAAACTCTGATGTGAGAGAGAACATTACAGCTTTCTGTTTGTGCCATTATTATGCTATTTTAGAGATCTCTGATTTTGTTTTGGTCTCCTACAAAAGGCTTACGTGCATTTATATATGCAAAAAATAATTTTCATTTCTCATAACATACATTTCACGTCACCTAATTTCTCAGTCTCAAACTGTTCTGGTCTGGTTCTCTCCAAACTCCTTCTTTCTACTACCTTATTTAGTGCATAATGGAAACCGTATCTGAATTTTCTAATTTCTTCTAACCCTTAGATCTTTAAAACTCAAACAAACAATTAACATTTCCGAACATCTCCACAACACACTACATGAAAGGTAATATTCGATAATAAGTAATAGTCATGCTTTTAACCCTGAACCAACAGAAGGCTTAAAAACAGGGCAAACAGAAACCAAACAAGACACAGGTGATCATAATAAGTAGCCATCTAATAAACAAAACAGAAACTAGAAATCCAACAAAAGTCCTTGATGTAAATGTAAACAGAAAACAACATTTTACAATACAGCTGGCACAATATTAAACAGTTTTATAAATGATCTTCTACAATTATTTTTACTTTCAATTTCAGTTTGTATTACATTATTTTTTGCTATTGGTTTTATTTTAATAATACTATATTTGGGTTTATTTACATTTAAGTTTTAGTTGATTTTAATTTTAGTGCTACTACTTCAGATGAAAAACACAAATGTTGCTTACTAACTGACTAAGTCTAACTGACTGAAATAAGTCGTCATCTAATATGTATGTTATATTTAAAAAAAAAAATTTATAACAACCTATTTTCGATAGTTTTCATTCAACCTATACACACAAGTTATAATTTGGAAAGAAATTATCATTAAGATGGGAATCAGCAGGTTCAATGTGTTGCTGTATTAAGACAAATTAAATATAAACAGACAACATGAGAAAACTGATGTTGGTGATAAAAGTTTGGTAAACAGGCTTTCTGCCATTTATTGGGAATGCAGGATAAAATCCTGGTGGTGAGAAGAACAATAATTCATTCTGTGTTATTCAGTGTTTTCATATATATATTTTTTTTACTGTAAGTTTATTTTATTGATTTTTTTTAATTTTAGGATGATCTGAATCTAATATTGATAGCACATACATTACATAGTACCTGAAGATAATGTTAGCAGCATACAGCATAGTAGCAAGAGCATGTTAGTAGCATATAAATTAATGTCAGTATACATGTTGCAGCCAAAAGCTGATAATGTTAATGTAGATAAATATAATGTTAGTAGAATGTAGCAAAGTAGCTAAAGATAGTGTTAGCAGCATATATAATAGTTGTAATGTTAGTAGCTAATAGCATAGAAGATAAAGGTGTTATTATCATAGCATAGTAACTTAAGATAATGTTAGTAGTTAATAGCAAAGTAGATAAAGATAATGTTATTATCATAGCATAGTAGATAGATAAAGATAATGTAAGTAGTAGTTTTGGCCATTTACATGCTGGTTTCCAGCCATTTTCAGCCTGGTTTTAGCTGGTCAAGCTGGAAAATGACCAGCTAAAACCAGCTTGAGCAGCTTAACCAGGCTGGGAGCCCAGTCAAAACCAGCTATGTCCAGCTTAAACCAGGAGGGTCAAGCTGGTTTTAGCTGGTTTTAGCTGGTCATTTCCCAGCCTGATCAGCTAAGACCAGGCTGGAAATGGCTGGAAACCAGTATGGAAATGGCTGAAACCCCTCTGAAACCAGGCTGAACAACCAGCTAAAACTACCAGTCTAGGATAGTTTAGGCCAGACAAGTCCAAACTTGGTTATGGAGGGCCGGTGTCCTGCAAAGTTTAGTTCCAACCCCGATCAGACACACCTGGACAGCTAATCAAACTCTTACTAGGTTTTCTAGAAACATCCTTGTAGGTGTGTCGAGGCAAGTTCGAGGTGCCTCCAGGACAGAGTTTGGACATCCCTGGTTTAGGCTGTTTGTTTTTTTTCAGCAGGGATAGCATACTGGCTAAAGATAAAGATAGTAGCATATTGCATAGTAGACATAGACATGAATACAGAAATAGACATATACAAGAATGTAGACATAACATAGTAGATAAATATAATGTTAGTAGCATATAACACCCAAAGATAATGTTAGTAGATATAACATAGTAGCTAAAGATGATGTTAGCATATAACAAAGTAGCTATAGATAATGTTGTTAGTAGCATATGACATAGTAGACAATGTTAGCATATAGCATGATAAAGTCTAAAGATTATGTTAGTGGCAAACAAGTAAAGAAAAACCTTTCCTACTTTGATTTCAACTTCAGTGCTCTCTGTGTTGTTCTCCCATGTGGATTGCACAGTAGACTCCTCCGCAAATCTAGTATAAGCTTCATGAACCACCTGGAAAACACAAATACACAAGTCAGAAACAAACAGACCACTCATGTGGCTCCACGACAGTACAATAATCAGCAAAATGGCTTTTTCGCACAACAGTTTGCAGTTTAAACCAAAGTCCATTTAACACCAATCTGAATTTTTTTGGCATTAAAGCTATTCTTGAACCAGGAAACCTTTCGTCGTACGTCAGATAAAGTCAGATGTACGTTAAATGTGGAGAATGGTCTGTTATTTCCAGAAGTAAACTGCTACTGATGCTGAAGTGAACTCAAATAAATTGGTGCCTATTTTGACAATCCTCTCAATATGAGGAAAAAAGTGTCCCAGTTTACCTGCATTCCTTTAATAATGCATCTGTCACTCCTGTTTGCCTGCAGAAATTGCCTGTAGCAAGTAACATTCAGCGCTTTTGTTGTTATGACAGACGCAAAAAAAAAACCTGCTAGAAAAATAAATCAAAGGCACTAAAATATGAATGCAACAAATGAGGTGAATATTGCGTTTCCATTATGGCTTGTTGTCCCTCTCCTGAGCTGTTATCTGGCTACAGTGGCAGACATCTGCTGTTGGTGCTCACATCGCGCCGCTGATGCAAACGGATCGCATTTTACAGCCAAAATACTGCGATGTTGAAATGTTGTGCGAAGGCAGGGACAGGAGGTGGAAATGAACTTCAGACTAACCAGTCAAACCGAGTGTGAAAACAGCCAGAGAAATCAGCAGATCCAGAATAAATATTCTGCGCACACATGGCTTATACTGTATACTGTAACATTGTGAAAACAGATGATGCAAATGTATCTGAATCTGATTTCAATTAGATGGCATGTTGTTGCTTGTTTAAAGCACAACAACACTCTCTGGCCGTTCACAGTGTCAAACCATATATACAGTATGGGAATATATTAGTAAAAACCCTGAGACACACACTTACCCATAAGGCTTTGAGGGTAAACACGATGACAAACACATGGACAAGGTGAATTTCAATGGCTGGCAGATGATTAATAGCTGGAGTCTAAGTGGCTGTGTTCAGATTAGCATGCTAGCATAATAAACTTGACATTGCTGCTGTGTGCAGCATTTTGACATGGAGTGTAAAGCAGAAAGATTTTGAAATCGTACATTGAGAAAACGTTATGACTAAAGAATTTAATAACTATACAGTTTTAATAATAATAGCCTTAAAGGGATAGTTCACCCCAAAACATTTAAATTCTGTGACAATTCTGAAAGCTTACATTGAGAAGGGTTAGAAGGAAGTTTATTTAATAACTACAGTTTCAATAATATTAGCAGCTGGCAGATGATTAATTGCTGGCTAGTATGTGACATATTAAACTTATAGCATATTGTGTACTAAATAGTAGCATATAGCAAATAAAGATAATTTTAGTAGCATATAGCATAGTAGCCAAAAATAATATAGCATAGTAGATAAGATAATGTTTGTAGCATATAGCATAGCAGCCAAAGATAATGTAAGTAGCATATAACATGTTAGCAACATTTAGCATAGTAGATAAAGATAATTTTAGTAGCATATAGCATATTAGTAGCATATAGCATAGTAGCCGAAGATAATATTAGTAGAATATAGCATAGATATGATGTTAGTAGCATAGCAGATAAGATAAGCTGTTAGTAGCATAGCATAGTATAATGTTAGTAGCACATAACATAGTTGCCAAAAAAATAATGTTAGTCTATAGCAGAGTAGATAAAGATAATTCTATTAGCATAAAGCATAGTAGATAAGATAATGTTAGTAGCATATAGCATAGTAGAAAAAGGTGTTTAGTAGCATAGCATAGAAGAGAAAGATGATTTTAGTAGCATATAGCATGTTTGTAGCATATAGCATAGTAGATAAAGATCGTTTTAGTAGCATATAGCATAGTAGCTAAATAGCATAAAGCATGTTAGTAGCATATAGCATAGTAGATAAAGATAATGTTAGTAGTATATAGCAGCATACAGTAGCATGGTAGATAAGAACAATGTTAGTAACATATAAGATATTGTTAGTACAATATAGCATAGTAGTTAGTAGAATACAGCAAATGTTATGAATAATAGTTCACCAAAAAATGAAAATTCTGTCACTATTTACTCATCCTTTGTTTGTTTAAAACCTATTTGAGTTTCCTTCCTCTGGTAAACATAAAATCAGATATTTTGAAGAATGCTGTTAGCTGTCGGGTACTGACTTCCACAGGTTCATACTATAAAGACAGAAAAAAATATCATCAAAATATCTTCTTTTGTGTTCAAGAGAATAAAGAAACCCATAAAGGGTTAAAACCACATGAGAAAGAATAAATAACGAGGTCATTTTCATGTTTTGGTGAACTATCCCTTTAATTATAGTCATCTAATGAGGACTTTTCTGTCTTCAATCAAATGCATTTACACTGACAGATTAGCTTCACAGTACCAAAGTGTGTGAGGGGCCGCACAGGAGTCAGAGGACCATGATCAGGTTACACAACATACATCTCGAGTGTGTAAATTATTAATATGGTAAACCAACACCACAAAGGAACCCGTTTAGCTGCATTTAGAGGACAAGACCATTAATGATGAAACCCTTGAAAAAGTCTGGTGAGCAAGTTTATTTTACTTTATTTGTTTTTAAAGTTTAAATACTGTAAGAGAATAAAAAAGGATAGAAAATCAGCTTCCTTCCACAACAAAAATGATCCCACAGCGCCACCTAGAAGCCACACAGAGGAAAGCATTACAGAAAGACTTTTTTTTTAATGCTGTAGGGTTTATTAAAAGTGACTAACCTGTGCACATCATACATATCCTCCTGACACCCAAAGAAAAAAAATCTTTTTCTTTTTTAACCTTTGGGTTAAAAAAAATTCTACAATTTAGAGTTTTTATATTTTGTTTTTATTTTAAATTTTACAGCATGTCCACTGTAGTGGACCACAGGACCATTTTAGTTTGAAACGACCACCAATCAGACAACAAAACTGTATAGGATATGGCTGGAAAGGGATATTAATCCAATATTAATGTAACAAAAACAAAACAAAAACCTTTTTTTCCTTTTGTATTGAAATTCCTGAAAAAGTTTAGTCTGAAAGAACTAAAGAAGTGATGTTAATCCCGAACAAATTTAACATAAAAGCGATTTAAAACTGATTTTCATTCTCTAATTGAAAATCTTGTGGGAATTTTGAAAAATGTCTATGTATTTTTTAAATTGATTTTAAGAGATGCTTCCCTCAAAAATGAAATGTTACGAAGCGTTTACTCACTCTCAAGTGATTTCAAATCTCTGAGATTCTTTTTCTGTTGTTGTTTAAAGAATTTGTTTAGAGAATAATTGGTGGTTCATTCCACTGTGGTGACCACTGATAAAGCAGGGAATAAAACCAAAGGAATGTAAGTAAATAGAGAATGTGTGTCAAATATATTTATGTTCTAGATTTGTTTGCTGGTAATTATCTTGTAAATTATCGGTTATCTCATTAAATAATTCAATTTCGAGTAAACTATACACTCCAAAAAAAGGATTTACATATTTAAAATGTAAATAACATATTTAAAATGAGCTGAAACAACAAAATTCGTAAGGTATTCTGGGACATCTTAATTATTTGAAGTTCAACCCACTTAAATTTGTAAAAATGATTAGGTTACTTAATCGATTTGTGTCGGGACAACATGAAGGAATTATTATTAATTTTTTATTATTTACAGTGTACTTTTAACAAAGTTTTTGGATTGAAAACGTTAAACACGTTTTCATTTCTGACCTGACATCAGTTGTTTCAGATTAAGATGCAGCTAAAACGTGAATCAAAAGTATACACAGCTTAGCATGCTAGCATTCCATATTGAGCACAGCCTTGTATATACAGTATCACACACTTTATTTACAAAGCAAAACCGATTAAATGTTAAAGAAAATGTGACATAATTCAAACACTACACACTTTATGACTCCATTAATCGCTGCCAGCCATATGTACACATTCACACAGCGGCATATAAACAGAAGTCAGCACACATATACACACATACACATACAGTCATATTTACCTCACCATATACATACATTGCATATGTGCATGTGTGTGTTTAAGCACGGCAGAAGCTTTACCACACAGGTGTATATGTACCTTTATACCTATTCATATTAAGACTTCAAATCAGTGCAATACACCTGAAGTTACGCATCTCAGGAGATCTGAGAGGAAAACGGAAAGGAATAATGGACAGAAACACAGTCACTAAAAGAGTGACAGAAGGCCCCGAATCACAACACCGATACAGATTCATCAACTTAGCACTATATAGGAAAATACGACACCAGAACTCAAAGCTCTCTCACCCATAAGGGACTCCATCAGACGATCCTTTAGAGAGGAGAAATGCAACGCAGATGAAGTGTTAAGCTAACCACCACAAAAACCTCTTTCAGAAATAAATGTGAAAAACACACACATTCGGTCTCACTTTGCACTGCACAGACACACAGACAGATTATATTTGTATTGACTGATGGGTTATGAAAGGTAACTGGCAGGACTGGATTGCTTTGCTGCTGGAAATACATCTGAAAAGATTCTAAGAGCTGGAAGGTGTTCTTGAGGATGTGACAACACACATATTGTTAAAAAAAGAGGGAATGGGCAGACTACAAATGACCAAGAAGTAGTATAGGTAAACATAAAATTAACAGATAGCCTAAGGAACTTCATTATCAATGTACAGAAAATAGACAACAAACATTGACCACTCATATTTAATGAAACATTTAATGGTTTATTACCATTATATCCTGTTTCATCATGAGATTAACTACCATTCCAAAATATTAGGGTTGTTTTTATTTTATTAACACTTTTTATTATATTTTTTTCATTATTCTTATGGTGACCAAAACCTAGCAACCTAGCCTCATTCTGAAAACGTACCACAATATACATTTCTGGAGATCGCAAAATATATCCCAGGAGCAACGTTTTTTTGCTCTTTTTGTTTTAGCGAATGCACCAGAGGCCATGTGTATGCTTTTTCAGATCTCAAATTGCTCTTGTGAGTGCCGTTTGCGCCTGCACTTCTTGTGTAAATCCACCAGAGGCCACTGTCGACCGACTCATTGACTGACCGATCGACTGACCCACCCTCCTTCTTCCTTGAACCCAGGGCTTGTGCGTCTATAGAGGTGACCTAGGGTGGTGTCCACGAACTCCCCCCACCAAACCCCACCAGTCTTTACTTTCATGCGCAACACCCCAACCCCTAAAACATCCCCCCCAATCCCCATTCGGCATGATCATTGTTTATTAAGCTTAGAGTGTGGAGCGATAGAATGTCAGTCCACAAGATGATAAACATCCACTGAGGTAAATCAAGAGGTAGTGAAAACTAGCATATCTGTATCTAAGGTATTTGACAGATACGAGTGTATCTGACTCCGTTCATATATTGCTCCGGCGGCTGGCCGAGAGTATCAATACGCAACTATTGCTGTACCGGATGTGAGTTTGGCCGTTCATTAAAAAGGCCTATAGTGTATTCAAAAGCACAGATTGGCCCACCCACCCACTTCCCTACACTTAACCGACAGTGTTTTGAAAAACAATCCAGAAAAATAAGCGATTTTTAACATTGTTTTTTAGACCTTACCACATTCTCACCCTGTTATGTACTTATTTTATTTTATTTTAATTCATCTTACCCGCTTTCTGGAGACGTTCTCTACTAGACTCAAACCCCAAAAAAGTGGTCAACTACTCTCAGCGTCTCAAGTCCACCGATGTACATGGCAAGATAACTGGACAAAGTGGTAACAGCGGGAAAGCTGTCCACATGGAGGTAAGTGGTCAGCTGGTAGTGCGAAAAGGAACGGCGTGCAGGACCAGTGGGTTACACGTGGGGGCTCGTCCAGGATGAGAGTGAGGTTTGGGGGGTGAGTGTAACGGAAGCCAGCTAGTGAAGTGCAATGCAGGTAAACCTCACTCCTCTGACCTCAAAAGATGCTCTAGCGACAGACACACTTTAAAAATGAATTGCAGCCATACGTACTTCTGGATACATAATTTGTGATCTCCAGAAATGTTCAGAATGAGCCTATGTTGTTTACTTGACAGTAAATAAAGTAGAAATAGTATTATCATTATAGTCACAATTAAAAATAACCTGTTACAGAAAAATAAACAGAAAAGGCAAGTGTGTCTGTCGCTACACTCACCCCCCTAAACCTTACTCTCATCCTGGACGAGCCCCCACGTGTAACCCACCGGTCCTGCACCCAACCCGCTCTGAGCTGAGATAGAACCAGCGATTCTTTGCATAGGAGTTGGTTGCTCAAACAAAGAGTCTAAAGACCATGGACTCTAGCATCTTCAGGTCAGAGGAGTGATGTTTACCTGCATAGCACTTCGCTAGCTGGCCTCGATTACACAAGCACTGAGAATTTGTTTTTATTCCTGCTGTAGAGTAGCGTACAAATACTTTAATCTAGAGCATTTTTGTTAGAAATAGGTCAGAATAGAAATAGAATAGAAATAGGTCAGAATAACTAACAGAAAATAACAGCATTTATACAAATATGTTCCTATTTTATTTTATTTTTTTTAACTATTTACTGCAGCCTTTCTTAGTAATCTTTCTAATCCCGAACTTTTGAATGGTAGTCCATCTTACAGCCTTTAGTGCTCTTTTCAAATACAGTGCATCCTCATCTATGTGTGCTTTTATTGAATCTTAGCACTTTAAGTGAACACTAATTCACTTTTGCTTGTCTAGGGTGTCAGGGGTTGATTGGTTTACCTGTCTGAACGCGTCTCCGTCGCCTTTTCCGGCCTGCTGAGCGATTAGGGTGATCTTACGTGCTCTCTCTGCCCGGCGGTGAACCTTGATCAGGCAAGACAGCAAACACACCAGCAGCAGAAATGCCAGCAGAGCCAGCAAGGAGAGGATCGCCACATACAGCTGGGGAAGCTTATAGGCTGTAACAGAAGAAGGTCATAGACAGGGAACAATCTTTAATGTGGAGAGATTGCCCAAGAATGAAAATTCAGACATGATTTAGTTGTCTTAATGTCACTCAAAATCCATAGAAAAAGACTAATATTTGAAACACAAATGAATCTCTGTCACATCGTTCTTTGTAAGTTAATTCACCCAAAACAATTTAAAATGTTCAGAAAAAGATTAAAAATATATATGACTATATAATTCTGAAGAAACTATTCGTTTTGAATTTTTTTTCATATTTAATTTAGGTTTTTATCCTCATTTACTGGTCATATACTGAACACTGATCAGCAAACAATGTTTATAGATTTTATATTTGGTGACGGAGTGATGGAAAGAGAACTGAAAAATCATACTTATGATGTATATATTATTATGTATACTTATAAGTATAAATGTAGTATAAATAGTAAAAGTATCTGTTGTAAATACTACTTAAAGTATGAGTAAAAAGTAGCCCTTTTAAAAGTACTCAAGAGTATAGTGAGTATTATGCTGTAAAAACCTGATGTGTTTACATGTAATTTGTGGATGTGTTTAAACGCAACATTCTGTAGTGCATTTAGATATTGCCCAGCAGACACACAACATCATAAGACATTAATATTAGGTTAGATTTAGGTTTTGATGTCAGGTGACCAAAATTCAAGGTCTAGCCAGCGTCAGGAGCTGTAGCCCCCATATATTTCTACTCAGCCCCCCTAAAACTTTCACGATTAGCTTATAAACTGCACACTAAATTATTGCGCCAGTCCCATTTAATGTGATGTCAGAACTCAACGTTAAGCTGACGTCATTGTCCAACGTTCAACCTAAAATCAACAAAATATCAATGTCTAATATTAGGAAGTTACCAAACGTCGAGCCAACATCTTTAACCAACGTCATACTTATGTCAAATACTGACATAGTAGTATCGTCCACACAATGTCAAGCTAAAACATCATTAGACGTTGATATTAGGTTGATTTTAGGTTGTGTTGGGAAATAACCAAACTCCAACGTCGAGCTAACATCTTAAACCAACGTCATACTCATGTCAAATATTGACATTTATTCGTCAGGTATGGCCACCAAAATTCAATGTCTGATAAACATCATAGCGGTAACGTACCCACAACGTCAAGCTGTAACATCATTAGACGTTGATATCTGGTTGATTTTAGGTTGTGTTGGATAGTGACTAAGCTCTAACGTTGAGCCAACATCTTAATCCAACATCATATTGACGTCAAATACTGACATTTATTCGTCAGGTATGGCAACCAAAATCCAATGTCTGATAGACGTCATAGTGGTAACGTCCACACAACGTCAAGCTAAAACATAATTAGACGTTGTTATTAGGTTGATTTTAGGTTGTGTTGGAAAATTACCAAACTCCAATGTCGCGCCAACACCTTAAACCAACGTCATACTGATGTCAAATACTGACATTTATTCGTCAGGTATGGCAACCAAAATTCAACGTCTAATAGACGTCATATTGGTAACGTCCCCACAACGTCAAGCTGTAACATCATTAGACGTTGATATCTGGTTGATTATAGGTTGTGTTGGATAGTGACCAAACTCTAACGTCAAGCCAACATCTTAATCCAACATCATATTGACATCAAATACTGACATTTATTCGCCAGGTATGGCAACCAAAATCCAATGTCTGATAGACGTCATAGTGGTAACGTCCACACAACGTCAAGCTAAAACATAATTAGACGTTGATATTAGGTTGATTTTAGGTTGTGTTGAGAAATTACTAAACTCCAATGTCGCGCCAACACCTTAAACCAACGTCATACTGATGTCAAATACTGACATTTATTCTTCAGATATGGCAACCAAAATCCAACATCTGCTAGACTTCATAGTGGTAACGTCCACACAATGTTAAGCTAAAACATCATTAGACGTGGATTTCTGGTTGATTTTAGGTTGTGTTGGGAAGTGACCAAACTCCAACATCGAGCCAACATCTTAATCCAACATCATATTGATGTCAAATACTGACATTTATTCATCAGGTTTGGCAACTAAAATTCATTGTCTAATAGACGTCATAGTGGTAACGTCCCCACAACGTCAAGCTGTAACATCATTAGACGTTGATATTTGGTTAATTTTAGGTTGGACGTTGGACACTGCTGTCAGACCGATTTTCATTTCCAAACAAAATGCAACGTCCCCATGACATTAGGGTACAACATCAATCTGAAGTCATGTTGACGTTCTGTGCCTGCTGGGTTGACTTCTATAGTATGAAAAACAAATTCTATGTAAGTCAATTATTACAGGTTTCCAACAATTTTACAAACAAACAAAGTAAATCAAACAGGTTTGTGATGAGTGAAAAGAGAGTAAACAATGAGAGAATTTTCAGTTTTGGGTGAACTAACCCTTCTCTACTCTATAACTTCTCTACTCACGCTCCACATGAAGGTAGACGTCAGTTATGCGAAAGCCTGAAAAGTCCATCACTCGAAAGACACCATTGTCGCTGACTTTGACCTTCTTCAAGTAGAACATGGAGCCTTCCACAGACACCCGACCCTCCAGAGCGGAGTCCAGCGGCACCGTCAGCTCCCCTTGGTCCAGGATAAGACGCTCTTTGTGGCCAGAGTCTGGGATGTAGACCATTTTGACCTTGGTGTGGTCTAGATGAAGCTTGATATTTAGCGTTCCACCGTAATTCAAGTTCTGAAAGATCTGGTGGTCTGTCATACGAAAAAGAAGCAATAGTTAAAAATGCAAGCCATTATTGTTAAGTTTGCAGTGTAAGCTTTGCTAGTCTTTCAAATTTAGAGCAAGATTGTAATGCCATAAAAGCCCTAATGGGAGTGTAACATTCTCCAGCTGACAATGCAGAAATTGAGAATACAGATGCAGCAGATTGTTTCCATAATGTTGAAAGCAGTGCATAAAGCAGAGCAAACTAAGCTGCAAACAGGATAATAACAACACTACTACAATATGTGCCAAGACATGCTTTTTGTGTTTAAATAATGGCAGAAATACAAGTCTGGCTAACTGGCTATGCTGTAAGTTATGTTGCATGATTTATTTAAAAACTCTCCTCTCATCAATTTTGCATCAGAAAGGGAAACTCGTAGAAATGCAAGTGCAATATGATCAGCCCATCCATTTCTTTTCATTGCAAAAGTTTCACTGTAAGCAAACCTTTTAGCAAATAAATTAATTAATAAATAGGTATTTATTAGAGATGCCACGGTTCTCAATATAATATTGAACTGTACGGTACGACCTCCACGGTTCAATACGTGTCTGTGAATTGCGGTTTTCTCGGTTTTGTGTTTAAAAAATTTGTGTGCATTTTATATCTCCCCGAATTGACTGTGTGTGCCTCTCAATCCATGAGCTGAGATGAGGAAACTCCTCCCTGCGAGTAAATATCCAATCACTATGCTCTAAAGTTAGGGGGCGCTTGACCATCATTCCACACTTGAACATTGTGAGCGGCGATGAAGTGCGGCTGACAGGCAACAGTACAAGGAAAGACCAGTGAAGTGAGGCAACAGTACGAGAAAGCGCCAACGTCTTTCAAATCTGTGATGTGAGGACATTTCGATTTTGCCAGTAAGCATAATGACAATACAAGAAAAAACGGTGAACAAAAAATTAACGCAAGCATTGTTTTACACATATAACCATGACTGCACATCTGCAGCGCCGTCACCCAGCAATATCACTGTCTGAAGGCAGAATAACAGAGAAGGTAAAAGTCCTCAAAATAGCAACAATTCCTCGCTGAATGTTTTAAGCAAACATACCCAACTGGTTCCGAGAGACACATCAAAATAACAAAGGCAGTGCGGGTGTTTATTGCTAAAGATTTGCAGCCGTTTTCGGTGATTGGAGATGCAGGCTTTTGTCATCTTATAAAAGCACTCGATCCGCGTTACAGACCACAGTCTCGCATTTTTTTCAGCACCGAGATAATTAGGATGGTTTATTTAAGTTTACTACACAAATAAATATGTTTATTTGAAATGGCCAATTTATCTTTATTAACTTCACATGTATGTTTATTTTCAAACTGTAGGATTTTATGTGTTCCCCAGTTTGTACATGGGCTACCAGAAGCTGTGAGATTTTAGTGTTAATTTTTTTATACAATACACTGGAAACTAGTGTACTTTTCTTGGCTTTTTAAGTAAAACAAAATGAGTATTGTAATCAGGCACGTGCACACATAGGGCTCAACCTGTGCAGTGCACATGCCCTTTTTAGTCTTGGATAGAAAGTGCCCTTCCAAAATTATCTGAAGTGCCCCCCAAACCGCCCCCACCCCCACCAGTTAGCGCGCGACTCCCCCCCACCACCACCAACCCCCCCACCGGTCGGAAATAAAAAAAAATTTGCATTTTTTCCTCCTTGCAGTTGGGATAGAATAACTCTCACATACATTATTATAAAAAATATATATTTTTTCCTGTGTTTGCTGACACCTGCTGGAAAGAAATAAAATTGTTTCCAGGGTGCTAGAACACTCGAGGCCTGAGTTACACATTTCCAAACTTCAGTTTATAAAAAAGCACCTTTTTTGTGTTTATTATAACACAGACAATATATACAACAATTGTTTTCAATTTCAACTGTAATGTATGAAATTTCAAAGGGTTTCCTTTCAAATGATACCAAACTTTTGTATTTACACCTCTGCATGTGGGGATGGGAAGCTTTATAAATCAGAAGGCCAAATTCAGGCGGAATTACCCCAAATAGCCCCAGAGCTTAACTGGTTAATAATAAAATGAGAACATGATATAAGAAACTGCCGTATTTTCATTTTGATATTAACAGACACCAGAAATGTTGAGGCAATATGTAGCTAAATATTTATAAGCCCGTCATCTTCACTGTATGCCTATTTCTTAACAAAATGGAGCCTATAAAATAACTGTCTCCTTTCATTTTCATTAAAGCTTGCTTCATGCTAAATCACCAACTTCCACCAACGTGAACCAAACAAGAGCTGACATGTTGAACAAACCAACCAAACTACCCTATAATGCTCATCGACAGACCTTCATGTCCTATTTTTAAACCTTTATTCTTTGTATTTCCTTCACTTTCTTTTGTACAGTCCTTGCCTTTTTATTCCTTCCATCATTTCAAACATTGAGACAAGCCTTTCTCTTTTATCAAAGGGTGTAAAACTAAACATAATACAATTTATAATTAAGATAAAAACCTAACGCGTTAAAAAATGACGTTTTTTTACCTTTCACGTTAAGGCAGGCCCTCATTCTGACTTTCCCGTCCATGTCCACGATGGTGTAGCTGCCCTCATCGGCTCCTGTGACTACATGCAGGCTGACCCTCTTCTCCCCCACAGTGAGCCGGTTCTCGTATTCCTCCGATTTGACACCGGTCTGGTTGATGAGAAGCACAGGGGGCTCTTCTGTGGTCTGCTCAAGTGTAACTCCAGGCCTGAACTGAAGGGTGTAGGGACCGATCGTAGGGCTGATCGGAATGTGATACGTCTCCCCGAATTTCACCACAGTCTCTAATGCGCAGTCTGGAAGAAAATACAGCGAAGATCAAAATTTTAAATCTATTTATTCATTTGATATGTAACGTAGCAAGTAATGTACTGGGAAACACACACACACACTCATACTCTATAGCCAATTTAGTTTTTTCAACTCAACTATAGCACATGTCTTTGGCCTGTGGGGAAACCAGAGCACCCGGAGGAAACCCACGCTAACCCGGGAACAACATGAAAACTCCACACAGACATGCCAACAGGCCCAGTCGGAACTTAAACCAGTGACCTTCTTGCTGTGAGGCAACAGTGCTAACCACTGAGCCACCATGCCACCCTTCTTTATATCTTATATTTTTAATATTGATGATATAACCTACCTCTGACAATAAGCGCGATTCGTTTGACATCGGCTGGCACTGCAGAGTTCTTCACCATGTAAGTGCCCTCGTCCTCCTCGCCCACATCCTCCAGGATCAGGTGGTTGAGGTGTTTGTTCAGTTTGACTCTTGTGTCCTGAATGACCCCGTTCTGCAGGTAAACCTTCTCTAGCACTGGCTGTGTTTTTGGCTTGAACACCACCACTGCTGTGTCTAAAGCCGACAAGGGAATATGCACGTCCTCTCCAAAGAAAGCAACGCGGTGTTCATCTTTAGCTACACAGTGATGAGGAAAAAAAAGATTTTAGATGCTGTGGACAAACAATTTAATTTACACTAGTAACACTTTACTATAAGTTTGTAATAGGTTATGTTAGTTAATTCATTTACTAACATGAACAAACAATGAACAATACATTTATTACAGTTAATGAAAATACAGTTGTTTATTGTTAGCTCATGTTAACTCACAGAGCATTAGTTATTATTAACAAGTATGGATGTGCATGTTAATAATGCATTAGTAAATGTTGAACTGATTAGGGAATGCTCTACAAGCATTGTACATAATTAGTTTATGTTAATAAATACATTAGCTAATAATAAATACTTTAACTAATAATGAACCTTGTGTGACCTTTGCATTTGACTACTGAAAATTGAGAAGATTTGAAACCTTACCTTTAATAGTTGATGACCAAACTGTAAAAAAAGGGGGGGGGAAAAAGAGTAAATACAAGTGAGACGGAAGCAATGTGCTGCAAAACAAATGCTTTCTCATTTGGAGTTTTTGTCTTGTTGCTTGTTCTAATATCTAAAAATTCTTAAATCAAGAAGCATCTTCTTGACAAGAAGAAATATTGTTTTGTTTTCAGAAATAATAAGTCAGAATTAAGTAGGTTTTTCATTAAAACTAACTAAATAATCCAATAGTATCTGGATGCGGCCTTTATGATGCAAGCTGAGACTGCATGACTCAGCGATGCAATGTCAAACACAATGCACTCAAATGGAGCTAGTGACGTCATCGTTTCGGGTAGGGTTAGGGGTGGGGTTAGGTGAGCCCATTAAAAAGCATTGGATGCAGCCCAGATTGCACTGCACCAGGTCTGCAGCCAGACCCCTTACAAATAATCTGCCATTGTGGTAAGCAAAATTATCTTGCTTTCACTTTGAAATAAGATTAATTTTACTGACCCCATTGACAGATTTTTTTGCTTGTTTTAAGGAAATCCTACTTAATTTTTTGACTTAGACAGTGAAGGAAAGTGCACTGAAAAAGCATACTTAAGTAAAAGTATAAATACTTGCCTAAAAATGTAGTGCAAGTGAAGAATGTGTAAAAAGTAGTCCTTTCAAAAGTACTCAAGAGTAGTGAGTAGCGAGTATTACACTGGGTAATGCTGATGCATTTACATGTAATTTGTGAATGTGTGTAAACGTAACATTCTGTAGTGCATTTAGTTAATGCCCAGCAGACACACAATGCCATAAGACGTTAATATTAGGTTAGGTTTAGGATGTAATGTCAGGTGATGAAAAAATTCAATGTCTAGCCAGCATCTAAGGACAAAGTTTTTTTGATGTCCAATAACAACATCAAATGACGTTAATATTTGGTTGATTTTAAGTTGTGTTAGAAAGTGACCAAAATCCAATGTCAAACCATCATCTTAAACCAACGTCATATTGATGTCAAATGCTGATATTTATTAGTCAGGTATGGCCAGATAAGTCCAACGTCTGATAGACGTCATAGTGGTAACGTCCACACAACGTCAAGCTGTAACATAATTAGACAGTGATATTTGGTTGCTTTTAGGTTGGGCAATGACGTCATCGGCCTAACGTTGAGTTCTAAAATCAACCCGATTTTCATTTCCAAACCAAATGCAATGTCCCCACGACATTGGAATACAATGTCAATCTGACGTCATGTTGACGTCTTGTGTCTGCTGGGTGTTTAAGGCCATTTCGGTCATCATACAGTAAACATCCGTCATCTTTTCATCAGTGACATGCTTCTAAACAGTCTCTGGGTCAATGTGTGTAAAGACTTTGGACATCTTCTTGTACACTTTTAATACTTTCAAACAGTTGCTGCAATTTTAAATCACCCATGTCTTGAGGTAGTTCATTATGAGGCGATTTACCTTCTATGTGCGATTTGATTGGACAGGAATCACAGGACTGATTTTTCTAATCCTCATAGACAGGAAATACTAAAGAAGTGACTGTAGGTTAAGGGAATTTAGTGGAGTAAAAGTACCGATACTGCACTAAAAATGTACTCAAGGGAAATCAAAAGTATACATTTGTAAAACTACTTAGTCAATTACAATTTCTGAGAAAAATTACTCGATTACAGTAATTAGAATATTTCTAATTTGTTATTTTACACCACTGGACTCAGACTTACTTTGCTTATAAAGCGCAATATAACAACAGTTGTTGACCATGGTGCTGTACACGACTTAAGTTAAAAATGATCAAATAAGATTAAAGGAATAAAAGAACATACAATACAACATGAAACAAAAAATAGCAAGCTTAGCTCCATCCAGTATTTAAAAGCCTTTTCTAAAAGGGGACGTTTCAATTTCCCCCTGAACACGGATTCAGTAGAAATTATTTTAATAGAGAGAGGTAGGCTGTTCCACAATTTGGGGCCCACAGTGGAAAAGACCAGCTCTACTTTTTTCTTTAACTTTGATCTGGGAACTTTTAATAATTTCTGACTTGATGACCTTAAACATCTAGCAGAAATGTTAACAGTCTTAAGAAAATGCCTGACTATTTACAACCTTAAAAACAAGGAGTACAATTTTTAACTCTATTCTTCAACATACCAGCAACCAGTGCAGTAAGAGTAAGATGGGGTAATGTGCTCAAACTTAAGAGTGCCAGTAAGAAGTCTACTGTAGCAGCTGTATTTTGGACCAATTGTTGGAGATTTATATAGAATTGACCAATATAAATATATATTATATTTTATATTCAATATAAATTTAATTTTACTGTTTTTGAAATCAAAACAATACTTTTTATTTATTTAGAAAATGCTTCTTGTTTTAGATATTAGGACTAGAAACAAGACAAACTCTAAGTAAGAAAAGTCCATTTTGGATTTCATTCATGCAGTCAACAATCAATATAAATCCATTAGGAAAACATTGAGTGTCTCTTGATCATTTTACTTTAATTGGGAGATTTATAATATCAGATAACATTAGGTTTTAGAAAACAAATGATAACAGAACACACTATTATGACACTCTAAACTGTTCAGAAAGACACAGGCCACATGAAAGCATCTTCTTGCTCAAGCGACAGATCAAATTTCTATTAGATCAAATTTAGCTTACCTATATGACGATGTATTTGCCCTTATAGCTTTAACTAACCGAATCACCTTTGAGTTGGAAATCAGCAGTTATGAAGGAGAATGACAAGGAGATGGGTCTCCTGCTCTCTCTCTCTCTCTCTCTCTCTCTCTCTCTCGAAATATATAAATAGTATTACATTTATGTAAACAAAATTTTAGATTAACAAATGAATGTAGAACTGATTCAGTCTTGAGGGGATGGTTCAAACAAATGTAAAAATGTACTCCGCCTTAAAGCAGTTTCTTTCTTCTGTTGAACAAAAAAATAAGATATTTTGAAGAATGTTGAAAATCAGCAGCATTTCACATCCATAGTAGGACGAAATTACTTTGGAGATCAATGGCTAAGCCTTCCTTAAGTATGGAAGCCCTGAACCGCAAGGTGTTAAAAAAAATAAAGCAATTTTGGTGGTGAGGAAAAAAAAGAAAGAAAGCTTAGGTCGTTTTAACGAGACATTATGACGTTATAACGAGATATTATATTGTTATAACGAGATATTTTGTTGTTATAATGACATTATAATGAGATATTATGTCGTTATAACGAGATATTATGTTGTTATAATGAGTTATTATGTCGTTATAACGAGATATGTCGTTATATCGAGGGATTATGTCATTATAACGAGATATTTGTTATAACGACATAATATCTCGTTATAACGAGATAATATCTCATTACAACGACATAATTTCTCGTTATAATCTCATTCAACCCAGATACTATGTCATTATAACGAGATAATATCTCGTTATAACGACATAATACCTCGTTATAATGACATAATTATGTCGAAATAACGACTTCATGAGGTCGTTAATTCGACATAATTAAGTCGTTATTTTGACATAATTATGTCTTTCTCATTAATCTCATAATATCTCGTTATAATGACATAATTTCTCCTTATAACAACATAATATCTCCTTATAACAACATAATATATCCTTATAACGACATAATATCTCCTTATAATGACATGAGTTTTCTTTTTCTTTTTTTCTCACCACCAAGATTGCTTTTTTTATTTACACCTTGTGGGTCAGGGCTTCCGTACTTAAGATATCTTCTTTTCTGATCAACAGAAAAAAGAAACTCAAACCAGTTTAGACCAATAAGGGGGTTAATAAATGCTGACAATGTTTGAATTTTGGGGTGAACAAAGCATAATTGACTAAAAAGACAAACACCGAAGAATATGTATGCTCTTAAAGCACCACAAACCTGAATATACAGGCTTTAAAAATACATGCCTTCTTTGCAGGCAACAAAAATACACCTTGAGTTAATAGTGAATGAGTTTTATCAGGGACGACAGCGTGCAGGTCTGCCTTCTCTGCAGCACTAACAATATGAAAGGACTAGGAATGCTGCCATGTCAAACTGCCAACTGTGCACTTTCAGCCCAACATCTTAAGATAAACGATGCTGCAAATGTTGCCCTCGTGAAAGAAAGCGATTAAGAAAACTATGCAAATAAAAAGCAAAGGCTTGTGTCTGCTGTCTCTACACTTATTTGTGTATGACTTCATCAGAAATGTTTTTCTAGCCAGATACCGTGAGAAAGTGTTTTTTTATTATTATTCTATATTATCACATAATAATATTCATACATTCATTTTTCTTCAGCTTAGTCCCATATTAATCAGGGGTCACCACAGCGGAATGAACCGTCATCTATTCAAGCATATGTTTTAAGCAGCGGATGCTGTTCCAGATGCAACCCAGTACTGGGAAATACCTATACACACTCATATTTCACATACACATGGTCAATTTAGTTTACCCAATTCACCTATAGCGCATGTCTTTAGACTGTTGGGGAGCAGCCGGAGCAGCCGGAGGAAACCCACGCGAACATGGGGAGAACATACAAACTCCACACAGAAATGCCAACTGGTCCAGCCGAGACTTGAACCAGCGACCTTCTTGCTGTGAGGCAACAGTGCTAACCACTGAGCCACTGTGCCACCCGCATAATATTAGAATTATGCAATTCTGAGTGTTCTTTGCACAGGTGAGTAGGCTTGACAAACCACCTGCAAAAAACACAATCTCACATCTTTCTGACACTTTCCCAGACACTTTCTTTCAATCACTGAGTGAGTGGGTTTGACAAACCAACCACAGAAACATTTTCTCTTTCTATATGCCCTGGACACTTGGCTTAAACTCCATCTTACAAGAGCTTGATAAGAAAAGCAATGTTTACATTGCTTTTAAATGTCCAACCTTAAAATACCTCTTTTGCACAAGATCTCGCACAATAAAATGATGTTATATGTAAAAGTACTTGTATAGTGCGTCGTAGGTTATGTGTATATTTAAGTACGTGTAGTATCCAACCCAGGCTAATTCTGAAAACTACATAAATTTCTGAAGAGCACCAAATACATCCCAGGAGGTATGTTTTTTGCAGTTTTTGTTTTCGCGAATCCACCAGAGCCCGCTGTGTATCTTAAATTTTCCTTATGAGTGCCATTAATGCCTGCTGTTCTCATATAAATCCACTGAAAGTCGACTGACCCACCCTCCTCCTTTCCTAAACCCAACCAATAGTGTTTTCAAAAACACAGATTGACCCGCCCAGCCACTTCCCTAAACCCAACCGACAGTTTTAAAAGCAATCCAGAAAAAGAAAAGCCCTCGCCTGATTTTTACCACGTTTTCAGATTTTACCACATCCTCACCCTGTTTCTACTTTTTAATTTCATTTTTTGGCTTCTGGTTTTGTTTTACGCGCTTTCTGGAACCATTCACCAGACTCGAACCCTGTCATCACAGTCAACTCCTCTCTGAGTCTCAAGTCCGCCAATGTACATGGCGAGCTACTGGACAAACCAGTAACAGCGGGGAAGCCATCCAAGGTTTTAAAGACGAAATGCAGCCATATGTACTTCTGGCTACATAATTTGCGATCTCCAGAAATGTATATAGGGCTACGTTTTCAGAATGAGCCTATGTTTGTAGTATGTACATTGTTAGTAGTTAGTATAGATTACTGCTCCAGTATATTAGTTGTGTATAAGTTAAAAATAGCTCTTATGTCTAGTGTTGTGTTCATATTTATGGTTATGTTTATTTATGTAGCACATAAACAAGAGACATGGCACTTTATTCCACTGTTTGTCCACACATGTAGTGGAATGACAATAAAGCTCAATTTGACATGAATATTTTACTTACTGTCATAAAAATTGCTCATTTGCACAAATCCATACAATTTCATTCTTATGAAAATGTATGATTTCTAATGGAGGTCAATTTTATTCATTCCCAACCCTACCTCTCATAGAGAGATTAGAAAATTGTACTAAAAAATTTACCAAAGAGGTCGTACAAATTAGCTACTATATCAAAAAGTTATGAATTGTTGCGAGATTGCATTGTTTTTTTCAGTGAATTACCTGAGCACATGAGGGTGCTAATGACTGCCAGATGTGTGATGCCCATTTTGGCTGGATATCTGCAAACAACAAAACAGTACAATCAAAATTCCAATATACAAAAATTAAAAAGATCACCTATAATATGGCACATCCTGTAAAACATTTGATTTACTAATATGCCAATTTATCATATATATTTATCTATAATGTTGGCCTCTGCATTATAGGAAACCAATTGGTTCAATTATATTCAGGAAAACTTTAATATAAATTAATGTTACAAGATGAATCTAAGACTTCATCAAATGGAGCTAATCCTGAAACATTAGTGCCAATTGAATCCACCCATGTACGTCAAAAGAGATCAGATATTGCTTTTAGGTCAAACATCCTGACAGTCTAATTTACAGAGCCGAAACTGTAGATCTGATTAAAGGAGGTGATTGCTTGTCTGCCTCTTTTACAGAAGCTATAGTGGCCGTGATATTCAGTTTCTGGCAGAGCTGCTTGGCCAGATTAAGGGCAGCTGACTCTGCCATTTCTGCCAAAAAACCAAGACTATTCAGAGCTCAAATCCATCTCTATACTGAAATCTGATATATAAGAATATATGCAAGCAACATATATGAGTTCATATTGGAATTTCACATAAAATAGATACCATAAATTTTGAAATGTTGCAAATATTTATACAGTATATATTATTTCAACCATTGAAATTAGAAATATGCACACAAATGTTCAAATATAGGCCTATTGGATTTAATTAGCCTATATACATCTATACACACTCATTCACACACATACACAACAGACAATTTAGCTTACCCAATTCACCTATACCATGTCTTTGGACTGGTGGGGGAAACTGGAGCACCCGGAGGAAATCCTCGCAAACATGGGGAGAACATGCAAACTCCACACAGAAATGCCAACTGACCCAGCCGAGGCTCGAACCAGTGACCTTCTTGCTGTGAGGTGATCGTGCTACCCACTGCGCCAAAGTGATGCCCATAATTAAAAATTTTTTAAAATTAGCTAATATAACTGAACATATAGCCTACATATGGCCTATTTGTTAATCAAACTGTCACATGTAAGAGGTAATTTGTGCAATATTCCAAGATGGTGTATATATGACATATTTTATAAATGTCAAATCAAAATATGAACTTGTAGGCTTCACTGTAAAAAATTGGTATGCATGTTATGCATATAGCATATGTTTTTTTGGTCATTGTAACTTGTTAATCATGCTCAAAATTAATTTTCTAAGTTATGAAAGCTATTTTAAGTCAGTTTAACATAATATAAGTTCAATGGACTCATAAGATTAATTTGATTCAACTTAAAAATTTAAGACAACCTGGATTTTTTACAGTGTATAAGTCAAATATGTATGTTGCATATATTGATTATATGGGTATCTGCATCTCCATGCCCTACTGTGGCTGCAATATTTCAACTGATTGACTTCATTGTTTAACAGTAAGCTAATAATGTTGACAAAACGATTAGCCAACACATTATCTGCAATAGTTCTCGTTTACCCGACATATCCCCATGCTCTACTTCCACTTAACAATCGATTCATAACACCGCATATTTAATAAGAAATCAGCTTGTTTTATAAAACCACTTCAAATGAAGCCACAGCCATTTCTCATGCTGAAATGGAGTGAAACTGGCATCAGCTCGCAAAAAAATGCTGAATGAATTACAAGCGGGGTAATGTGACGGTAATGAGTGGTCTTGTTTCAGTCTTTTAAATCGCTGACTCAGTCAGATGATTCAGAATAGCACTGAACCAATTTAACGACCAATTAAATCATCTTTCATAAAAAATTCCGTCAGTATAAAGGCGAAAGTCACCGTGGCGTTCAGAATATCCGTGTTTTTGTGTCGTGAGGGCGCGATTGTTTAGCCGCCTTTTCCTTCGCTATTAACCATATAGAGGCCCGCTGATGCGACAAGGGTGTGCCGCACTCCTCTGCTGGACCTGTCCCGTTAAAACGACCCATTTAGCAAAGTGAGGATTCCTATTCACACATATCACCATTCATTCGTGTTCTCTTACGCAACACATTAGCGTCAACAAGCACAAAAATGAGAACACGCCAGATAAAAACGTGCTGTCTCATTTAGTAAGACAATGAACAGACATCCTAATACCGTAATGAAAAACGACTGTCGGTTCTGTTACGTAAATCAAGCGGTGCGTCGTGAAACATTGCGTTTTTATTCCGCTTCAGCAGCGCTCGGCACACTGGCGTTAATAAAGTCAGCCCCTGAGAGCTGTATGTCATGGCCAGAGACAGTATTTGATGTCCCATTCAGGAGGAAGCTGCATCATTCGACAATGAACTATGAATCAATATTTTCTCGTGTTACCACTTCGATTTCCCTGACAGGGTATAGCCTACAACCAAGGTGCAGGATTCATTAACAATTTGATTTAAAACAAGCAAGTATTTCGAGCATTGGATATTTCGTGCCCATATAGCCTAATTTGTCAAATCTGCACGTGAATGTGAGATTGTAGGCTAATTGTTTGACATCTCTTTGCAGTAGCCTATTTAATAAATAAGACAATGCTGTTAAAATTTTTAAGATGTCCCGACGCGAACTGTTTCTTGCCTTGGAACGCCCCAAATCCTTTGTTAATAATCCTGTATTAGAATATAAAGTTAAAAGGAGCGCTCCTTCATCATTTAACCCTATTGATCCTCTTCACATAAGTGAAAGCATTCAGAAATCTTATAAAGAAGTGCTGAGATTAGCCTACCTTTGCATGTAAATCCAAAAAGAAGTAAAAAAGATGCTTTACAATAAAAGATGGTTTTAAAGGACGATCTTGCTCTTCCTTGCTATTTTCCAACCCTTCTTCATCGCCCCCAATCTGCCAAAGAAAGACACTTCTGTTTTACAAATCGGCGTTATCTGGAGGCTTCGGCTGATTCCGTTTTAAAGGCAATTTATGATCGGCTTTGTTCGGATGCTGTCGTCAATTCCCGGAAAATCTCACTCATCTGGGCTTCCAGCAAAACCCACACACGAAGTAACAGTAACGTATTGGTAATATTTGGTAATTTCGTGACTAACTAACAGACAATCAACGTAAAATAATTAAGAATCCAGACATGTACTCTATTTGTAGGCCTAATAACTAGGTTATTCCACGATTTACTGCCATAATTTATCAATTTAAAAATGTATTTACAGTTGAAGTTAGAATTATTAGCCCACCTTTGATTTTGATTTTCTTTTTAAATATTTTCCAAATGATGTTTAACAGAGCAGGGGAATTTTCACAGTATGTCTGATAATATTTTTTCTTCTGGAGAAAGTCTTATTTGTTTAATTTCAGCTAGAATAAAATAAGGTCAAAATTATTAGCCCCTTAAAGCTATATTTTTCCGATAGTCTACAACAAACCATTATTATACAATAACTTGCCTAATTACCCTAACCTGCCTAGTTAACCTAATTAACCTGGTTAAGCCATTATATGTCACTTTAAGCTGTATAGAAGTGTCTTGAAAAAAGTAAAATATTCTGTACTGTCATTATGACAAAGATAAAATAAATCAGTTATTAGAAATGAATTGTTAAAACTATTATGTTTAAAAATGTGTTGAAAAAATCTCTCTGAGTGACAGAAATTGGGGAAAAAATGAACAAGGGCCGAATAATTTAGAATGACTTCAACTGTATGTATATATATATATATATATATATATATATATATATGAGTTTTTAGTTAACGATGATCAGCTGAAGTGCACTGAAACAATGGTCAAACTGGCCATAAGCTTTTATTTGTAGGGATTTAGTCTCTGATTTGGTTAAGTTACACCAGTAATCATCAATATTCAGCTTTTCGTAATAGTGATTTACTCAGGAATTACTTAGAACAGTACAACATTTTCATTAAAATGGGAAATAAAAGGATTGACAAACTTGAAAAACTAGCTTGAAAAAAAAATTATAGAGTAATTCCATGCAAATGTCAACCTTGCCATGAAAAAAATTAAGTTTTCATCAAAATGTTAAAACTGTTTCTGTTTTTTTTGTGTTTAAGTTTATTCTTTATATCAGCATTATTTATTTTGTGTTGTGCAGTTTAATTCACTGAGTTTTTACAAGGTATGAGGTAAACTCGCTAACTTTTTGGGTCACATCCATAACGCATGATTATTTTCCTTATTTAAAACCTAAAAGTTGTTTACAGATTGATAGTTTTCTAATTGTATAACTCTGTGGTTAGCTGTTTTGGAAAATATTAACAGATGCTTTAATATTATGTTAACATAGACTTTCTCTGTGAATTTATATATTGAATTTTTACTGCAAATGTCACATCCACAACGCCAGAACTGCTCTATAATAGATACAAACATCAGACATTCAAAGCCAGAATAGGCATTTAGTTTGGCAGAGTCAGTGATCAATAATCAAAAGGAAGACACATGGGGCCTTTTTGGTTATAGTAAATGCTGTAGAAACAAAGACTGAGAGAAAAGGAGGGAGAAAATATCTATGTACAGATTAAGAATGGGCAAATTTATTATAACGTAGCATCAAACTTGATTCTGATCAACGTCAAACACTGAAAACAGAACAGACACTTTCAGAAAAAATTTAACTAAAAAACAGTACACAATTTAAAAAAATGGAAAATATAAGACCAGCTGAAGGCGGAGTAAAGAACAAACTGGAATGTATATAGAGGAAATGTGTGTAGCTTCCTAAGAAATAGAAGAGATTACAGCTGTAGTTGCATAACTCCAGGAGATGGCAGCAATGCAACGTCTAGGGTGTCCACACTGCATTCCATTCAAAAGAGCTCATTGCTATGTCCTCCTAATTCCCTTTAAAGAGTTGGGTTTACCATGTGGAGTAACAGATTTATAATGCAACACATTTTTATCTTCAACAAATGTAAGGATAAATCTTAAATCATTTTTTCTCCCAAAGTAAATAATGAGAAATTCTGCAAATAACCCTTACAAAAATTACATGCAGTGTTTCAGGTAAACCATCAAAAGTACAGCACAAAAAATATGTGGTAATTGTGAAGTACTTTGTTAGTTTTTGGGACATTCTACCACAGGATTCTGTGGTACAGTATGTAATACTTCTGTAGTATTCTTGTGGTATTACTTTCATACTGCTGAAGTATTTACCACAGGATTCAGTTGTACAGTTTGCAATATTCCTGTAGTATTCTTGTGGTAGTGTGTGTGTAACCCCGCCGGTCTTACACCACAGCGACCTTCCGCATGGGAGTCAGTTGCTCTAACAAGGAGCCTATAGACCATGGCCTCTATCTGTCGCTAGAGCATCTTTAGAGGTCAGAGGAGTAAGGTTTACCTGCACAGCAGTCACTAGCTGGCCTGTTACACTACACCCCACCTCCCCCCAAACCTCACTCCCATCCGGGTCACGGCACCAACATAACCCCGCCGGTCCTACACCATCCAACCCGCTCTGAGCTGTGATTGATTATTATTATTTTTATTTTTAAATAACATCGTATTAAAAAACACAAATAAAATTATTTTACATGTGCTCCAGTTATTGTTTTTTATTAATTTACTTGGTTAAAGGGCTTACTAAGGACTGCAGTAACCTGGGTTACATGTTGTATTACTTTTACATTTCTATAGTATTTACCAAAGGATTTTGTTGCAATACTCCAGTAGTATTCTTTTAGTAATGTGTGATATTACTTTCAAACTTCTGAAGTTTTTACCACAGGATTTTGTTGTAGAGTATGCAATACTCTTGTAGTATTCTTGTAGTAGTGTATAGTATTATTTTCATATTTCTGTAGTATTTGCCACAGGATTCTGTGCTGTACAGATTGTAATATTGCCCTGATGTTCTTATGGTGCTATTGTCATTTTTGTGCAAACAAGCTTGGTGAATGAAAGCTGTATTGCACTGCTGATTATAAGTAAGTAGGATAACTCACAACATGTTTAATGCTGTCAAAAATTAATTAATTTGCCTGATTTCAACCACCAAAATGCTTTTGCCGTTGCTATAACAGTTAAAATTACTTATTAACTTAAATAATTTGATTATTTACAGATAACCAACTTACTCTGACTGTTATTCTTTCTTGCTTGCTAAGATGAGGACTGGCAGGTTTTCATCTTCACATTTGTTGCCTGTATTTTCCCGCTGTTTTCAAGCAGTTCCAACTTTGTTCCAGAAATTGTTTTTTAGAAAAAGTTTAATATGTCCAGATGTTCCGGATGTAGTCAGAAATGTAGCCTATTTCACATTCCTACCATATGTTTACACTCCAGTCCAGCAGGTGGCAGGAATGTATTTTAAAGTTTGTCTGCTACCCTCCAGGAATAAACAAACACCAGAAGAAAACGACACAGCACAACAAATGAAGACGCCAAACTCCAGCTCAATGTAAAGTGTAAGTAAAGTGTAAGCCTTTCATATGCTCTCTCTGTGGGAAGAGATTTAGGATGAACAGCAACCTTCGCCATCACATGAGGACACACACCGGAGAAAAGCCGTACCCATGCATAAAGTGCGAGAAGAGTTTCAACAGCAAATATAAGCTTGTGTGTCACATCAGGACTCACACCGGAGAGACGCCGTTCGCCTGCCCGCAGTGTGAAAAGAGTTTCAGGCTGAAGCAAGGCCTCGCAAGACACATGAAGATTCACAGCCGAGGGAGGAGTTTCACCTGCCAACTGTGCGGAAAGGCTTTCACCGCCAGAAGCATTTATAAACATGTTGTGAGTGTGAACAGTGGAGAGAGCTCCTTCATGTGCTTTCAGTGTGGAAAGAGTTTAGCAAAACCTTTAGAATCACATCAGGATTGAAACTGAAGAGAAGCTTGTGTGTGGTTAACAGGGCTGAGCGATAAACGGAAGATTCTACAATATTCATTTGCTTGACAAAAAAAATGTATTTTCACATACCATTCATCCAGGGGTGCCCAAACTTGGTCCTGGAGGGCCGGTGTCCTCCAAATTTTAGCTTCAACTTTCCCTAACACAGCTGCATTGATGTTTCTAGAAAACCTAGTAGAAGCTTGATTAGCTAGCCCAGGTGTGTCTGATTGGGGTTATAAGTTACAACTAAACTTTGCAGGACACCGGCCCTCCAGGATTGAGTTTGGGCAGGGGTGCATTAACCAGTAAACAGGCCAAAGGCAGAACAAAACAGACCTACCTGTTTGATCCACGAACTGCATGAAACATTTATCAGCATGGCCGAAAAGAAAAGAGACTAGCTTAGAGGGCCGTTGTCCCTGCAGAGTTATGCTCCAACACCAATGGCCTGCTTCCACTGAGTGGTACGGTACGGGTCACCTTTATCAGGCTTGCGTTTCCACTGCCATTTGGTTGGGCGTGGGGTTCAGTCGACGTCATTTTTGCTCGAGGAAATGTCAAAGTAAAGCTGTACACGTTGTTCACATATCATATGAGAAGCCTTACTCACAAAACAGATGCTTTACACACATAAATACTTGTGTATATATGGTCATTACTTCTATGAACAGGATTTGATCATAACTGCACATCAATCATGACGGGTGTGAAATTGCCGCTTGTGTGACTTTTGTAAATCATATATAGTTGTTTGAAAACATTGACCGATACGTTTTTGAGTATTTTTAAAGAACTGTAAAATACAAGCCTACACCAAAAACGCAGAAACGGTTTAGCTTTTTTGGCGAATGCGTAATGTTTTTCATGCCAAGGTTGACATTTGCATGGAATTGCTCATATATTATTGCGGTGTAATGTCTCGGCTGTGTTTTTAAAAATGGTAGGTCCTTTGTTTTCATTCTTCTGGCTTGTTGGATGAGTGAGTGACGTATGTCTATAAACCAATAGCGTTCAGCTGCGTGTCTTGGAATGCCTTTTGGTACCCCTTTGTTGTGCTAAGTACCTTTCCGAAAAGGTACCCAAAAAGTGGTTTGGACCGGTTCGTTTTTAGCTACCTTTTGACTGTGAAAACGGCCATAAAAGCGTACCGTACTGTACCATAGCTGCATAGTGTCAGTACAGCTATAAACGAGAATGCTCCAATTACCATACCTGCCAACACTTTTGTTTTTCCCGTATTTCACAATCAGCTCCTGCCACCCTCCCGTTTTGTCATTTCTTTTGGGATACTACCATAATTTGAATGGCCAAACTGTCCATGTTTTGTCAAGTTGCCAGCACATCCCCTCGCCCTATTGACAAAATATTTAAACCTCGAAGCATTTTTTTAACTCAATTTGGCAACATGCATTAAAACCCAGTTGCACTGTTGAATTCCCCAGTTCTCCCAGAGTTTCAAAGACAACAACAAGAGTCTCAGTTTCTGGATTTTAAATTGTTTTTTGTGTCAGTTATGTTAGCCACAATGGATTACCATACAGCAACATATATTTACTTGCACTTTAGGCATCGTGTCACATTTGCCCCAAATAGATCTACAAAACAACATGTTAACTTCGAAATGGCATTTATGTGTGGCACTTTGATCTTTGCAGAACGGCTGAATAAACTCCACATCAAATAACCATTAAACATCTTAACTTTGGTATTTGTGACTGTGGGTATCCGTTTCATCAGTGTTTGAATTGTTGTGCTGTGTTTATCTGAGGACATCTTGAAGCTGTCGGAGAGAATCAGCTAATTTGGATTTAAAGGCACAGGCGCACAAAAGCTAAAACTTGACCAAAAAATGTACATATTTAACAGGGTATAATAAATGATGTGATGAGTATTTTGAGCTGAAACTTCACCGCCATTTAGGAGACACCAAATATTTTTTTTATCTTGTAAAAGGGTCATAATAGGAACCCATAAGCAAATGCAGGGCTCTAAATTGTGACCATTTTGGCAAAACATTGTTTTATTTTTCATAATGTAACAGTTGGACTCTTTGTAATAGAAACTTGTGTTATGTGGCAACAAGATCGTTAGAAATGTCATTTTATTGGACATTCATTTTGGAATGTGTGTGTTTATATAAATTAGTAACTGCAGCATGAGTTAGTTTGTTAGTCCTATTAGTGTTGTTGCTCATTCCTTTTTGGTGTGTTGTCCTACAATATTTTAAAGTTGGGATAAGGTTAGCCAGTGTAAAAAAGTTTTTAAAAAGTTAATTTCGAGCCCTGAAATAGTGGTTAATACAGCTGCAGCTAAAAGTTAACTAGCGTTATTTATTAAATTACTCATAAATTTTATTTTATTAATGTCTCTAACGCTAAATCCAACCCTCACGGTAATGTAAAAACAGTTATTTTATTAAGTATTATTCGTATTGTGGTGGTTCATTCTGCTGTGCCGACCCCAGATTAATAAAGCGACAAAGCCGAAAAGAAAAGGAATCAATGAATGTATTCATATTGGTTATCAAATAACCCTTTAAACTATATTTTATTAACACCTACCCCAACCCTAAAACACCCTCAGTCATGTAAAACATATCATTTATTGTTGTAGAGCGTCACAAAAAGTATGCTATTTGATGTGAGTATCTGCAGCTGTATTCCATCGAGACTTGACAGCAGATTCTGCCCGGCCTTGCTGATGAGGATGTGAAGTATTGTGAAGGAACTCCAGGAGATGGCAGTAATGTAACATCTAGTAAGCGAGCTCCTGTTAAATCCCAATGAGGATGATGAGGAAAAAAAACTGAGTCCTCTCATCATATTATACTCATCTAGGAGTGAAACATCTGGCTGAGAGCTGTCTATTGTCTGTCACACAGGCAGGAGCGCGCAGTATCGTTGCTTTCTGACACGCGCGATTCATTTGCGCGTCACATCCAATCTCAGTAGCAAATCTTCGCGGTGACGTGCATCGACGTTTATCGCCGATATTTAAAAAAAAAATAAAGATTTAAGAGACCCAACTGTCTTCAGCTGTTGTGAAGGTGAGTTCTGCACTTTAATTATCTGTGACTTAAGTGAATGCAGAGTAGTTGTGTAATGTTATTTATTAATATATGACAGCCCATTTTAAATGTTCTTGATTCAATGCAAAATGAAAAACGAAGCTCAAATTAAAAGCAAACAATACAAAACTAAGTAAAAATAGCGGGTGTAAAGCTATAATAACTTATGTGTTTACCGCCTTTCAAAAACATTAAAATAGTTTCAAATGTCTTAACAGGACTGGTGTGAAAAAGTATTTGCCCCTTACTTAAACACATTTTTACTCCTACAATTCTATGACTTTTCCAGAACTTTTAAGTACATTTTCATGGCATAATGTTTCATGTAATGTCTACATATACATGGTAAATAATAAGAAAACGATGACGTCCATATTTATTACAGCATATCACAGAACACTCAACAATCTCTTAAATTTGTTATTATATCTATGTAAAACAGATTTAGATAATGCTTACACAGCACAAACAATGTGAGAGGACAGAAAAGAAGTAAAGACAACTACCTATATTCAAGTTAGGGCTGCACAATATATAATTTCAGCATCAATATTGCAATGTGTGCATCCGCAATACTCACATTGCAGGATATGCAATGTTGGGATTATAGATTCATACATAGTTTAATCATTAATGGAGTAAATGTTTATCATCTGCATGCATTTTAAAGAGATAGTTCACCCAAAAATTACTTACCATTTTCATTACACCCGTTACACTTGTTTTAAACATTTCAGTTTTCTTTTTTTTAAATGAACACAAAAATAATATAATTTAATAACTCCTATAGTATTGAAACAAGTGAAGTGTGAGTAAATAATCCGTACATTTTAATCTTTGAGTGAACTGTCACTTTAAGGCCTGTGACTGTGTAAACATTTCAATATTTCAAATTTTAAAACATCAAGAAATTTATTGTAACTTTAATAAAGATTAAATAAAATACAATGTAGACTATGCAGTGTTGGTTATTCAATACCTCAATAGTGAATACCTGAAAACAATAATTCACTTTTATCTTTACTATATTTTATATGATCTATGTTATATATTATTCGAGATTCACTTCTCTACAAAATCCTACAATTTTTTTCTGCTTTTCCAAAACTTTTCCAGGCCTGGACAATGCCATGTCAAAATTTCATGACTTTTCCAGGTTTTTCATGACCATGCAGTTTTAAAATGAAGGATTTTATTATTATGGGAAAACAAAATACAAACAACATACCCCTTTGTAAAAAAAAAAAAAAAAAAGTGTTTGCCCCCTAAACCTAATAAGGTTAGGCCAGACTTAGCAGCTGCTACGCTGTGGAGGAATTTTGGCCTACTCATCTTTGCAGATTTCTTGTAACCATCTCTCAGGTGGAATTTCCTCCAACCTGGTGATGGCAAGCCACCTATTTTTGGTGGGGCACCATGGCCTTGGACTTGTAGGTGCTTATTCTCATGCTGGCCATGTCACACTCAGCAGCAAACTGTCCTAGTGCATGCTGAAGGTCTATACTGGTGGGCATTTTCAAGTATCTTGGGGTTTTGTTCACAAGAGAGGGAAGAAACGTGAGATTGACTGGCAGATCGGTGCAGCAGTAATACGATCACTATGCTGGTGCGTTGTGGTAAAGAAGCTGAGAGTCGAAAGGCAAAGCTCCTGATGTACCAGTCAATCTACAATCCTACTCTCACCTATGGTCATGAACTTTGGGTCATGACCGAAATGGCAAGATCTCATATACAAGCGGCCGAAATGATTTTCCGTCACAGAGTGGCAGGGCACACCGTAATAGATAGGGCGAGGAGCTCTGTCACCCAGGAGGAGCTTGGAGTAGAGCTGCTGCTACTCCACATTGAGAGAAGCCAGCTGAGGTGGCTTGAGTATCCATTTCAGGTGCCTTCTGAACACATACCTAGGGAGGTGTTCCAGGCTTGTCTCACCAGGAGGAGGCTTCAGGGAAGACCCAGGACATGCTAGAGGGACTACGTCTCTTGGTTGGCCTGGGAACACCTTGGAATCCCCCTGGAGGGGAGGCTGGGTTTCCCACATGAGACTGCTGCCCCCACGAACTGGCCCCGGATAAGCAGAATGAATTAAATGAATGAACCACATGTGTCAGATTGTTGTGGTGTTGTGTTAAAGCATTGACCTTGAAAGTTAGGAAATTGTAGGTTGTTCTCTACTATATATGCTTGCATATATCTCTGCGAGTAAACTTGTTGCATTTTTGCATGCCTTTTACTTTCTCACCACATGTTAAACACAAACATATCAGATTTAGTTGTTTAAGAATAGGGTGAAATACATTTCAAAAACAAGGTTGTGTTGGTGCCCAGTAAAAGTCTGTTCTGTCTGCTATTAAATGATTATCTAACCATTACTTTAGTTATCTAACCTTAATCATGCTTGCTCTTATCTGTTAAAGTTTACTTTAGATCAAATGGATATAAAAGAAGAAGACTGTGCACCCAGTCATCAGTCTGGGATGTATTTTACAGAACAACCGAGCCTAAAGATTGGAGAGTTGCCTTTCATCTGCAAACAGCGTGGAGAGATTTTCACAACTAACCAAAGCCTCGAATGTCACACAGTGATTCACACCGGAGAACAAACTTATATTTGTGCAGAGTGTGGAAAGAGTTTCACACTAAAGCGGTATCTTAAAAATCACATGAAGATTCACATTGGAGCTCATCCTTTCACTTGTCCAGAGTGTGATAAGTGTTTTACGGTGAAACAAAGCCTTGAAACTCACTTGAAAATTCACACTGGAGAAAAGCCATTCATCTGCCCTTACTGTGGTAAGAATTTCAGAATGAAGCATAGCCTGGACGGTCATGTGAGGATTCACACTGGAGAGAAACCTTACACATGCCAAGAATGTGGGAAGAGTTTCACAGAGAAACAAAACCTTGAAAAGCACTTGACGATACACATTGAAACAAAGCCTGGACATTCACATGAGAATTCACACTGGAGAAAAGCCTTACTCCTGCCCTGAGTGTGGAAAGAGTTTCAGAGTGAAAAAATGCCTTGAAAACCACATCAAAATTCACACCGGAGAGAAACCTTACATGTGCCAGGAGTGTGGAAAGAGTTTCACAGAGAAACAAAACCTAGAAAGGCACATGAGAATTCACACTGGAGAAAAGCCTTTCGCCTGCCCTGAGTGTGGAAGAAGTTTCAGAGTGAAACAAGATCTTAAAATTCATGTGAGAATTCACACTGGAGAAAAGCCTTTCTCCTGCCAACAGTGTGGAAAAAGTTTCTCAGAGAACAAGAAACTTGAAAGTCACATGAGAATTCACACTGGAGAAAAGCCTTTCGTCTGCTCTCATTGCGGAAAGAATTTCAGAGGGAAACAAAACCTTGAAAGCCACATAAGGCTTCATACCGGAAACAAGCCTTACACCTGCCCTCAGTGTGGAAAGAGTTATAACCAACAAAAAAGCCTTGAGATTCACATTAGGACTCACACCGGAGAGAAACCTTTCCCTTGTCATCAGTGTGGAAAGAGTTTCACACAACAAAGTACCCTTAAGGGTCACATTAGGATTCACACTGGAGAGAAACCCTTCACTTGCTCTCAGTGTGGAAAGAGTTTTATAGAGAAAACAAAACTGGAGAGGCACAAGAAAATTCACTCTGGAGAAAAGCCGTACATTTGCCAGCACTGTAAAAAGAGTTTTACATTGAAGCAAAGCCTGGACATTCACATGAGGATTCACACTGGAGAAAAGCTTTACACCTGCCAACAGTGTGGAAAGAGTTTTACAGAGAAACACAAACTTGAAAGGCACATGAAAATTCATACGGGAGAGAAGCCTTACAGATGCCAACAGTGTGGAAAGTGTTTCAGAGAAAAACAGTGTCTTGACGTTCACACTAGAATTCACACTGGACAAAACCCTTTCACTTGCTCTCAGTGTGGAAAGAGTTTCAGATTGAAACAGAAGCTCATATCCCACATGACAGTTCACACTGAAGTGAAGCCTGCACTTGGCATAGAAATAGTTTTAGAATGAAACAAGGCCTTTCAAAAGTTACACGAGAACACACTGGGGACATGAAAGAAAAGCTGAAACTTCACATTCCCTGTACTCGATGTGGAATATTTAAACAAATACCATGAAACACAGTTAAATTCAGAGTTGTTATGCTGTGTTTACATCAGACGCGGTATGCACGAATAAATTTCGATATTCGGGTGTAAATAGACGCGTGAACATTTTGAGTTTACTTGATTCATTCCCGCATCAAATTCGCTTCATTCGCACGTCAAATTCACTTCATAACCGATGCAGATTCGCTTCATGGGCTGGGCTTCTGTCTGCCTTGTGACTCTACATTTGTTGCTAAATGGCTAACATGGATTTCATTGAGAGAGTTGCTGTGTTTATGTGCTTTAGGAAGAATGAAAAACAGCGTTGATTTGTTTGGAGCTGTGCCTGAGTCCACTATATGCATTCTGAGGTGCACCCAGCTCTGTGAACTCATCAAAAAAACTATACCTTTCAGCAGTGCTTCTGAATGAGCCGATCCCATTTTGATGAACAGGTGTCGGCAGGAGGATTTTATCCCTGGACACCAACAACAGGCACTACATCATAATCATACCCCCACAAGAGCAAGCTCCTGATTGGTTAACGCGGTACGAATGTCTGCTGAAGTTCACATTTTTGAACTCGCCATTTGCACAAAACACGCGTTAACCGTGTCAATCGCGCAAGATGCTCAACTCACGCCATTCACGCTGCCTCAGTTGTGCGTATCACGCTGCCGTATATCTATTCACGACTTTGCATTGACTTAACATGTAAACCACTCACCCTTAATGCTTCTTCTGCGTCTGGTGTGAGCACAGCATTAGTGTATGTGCACAGAAAACACTTTCAGAATATTCTTCATTTAACATCACTTCATAGTTTCATCCTTATCCAGTGTATACTTTGTTACTCTTTAGATATTATAAGCCATTGCAATAAACAGTTAACATGACTGATTCAATTCAATTATTTGATTATTTATAAGTGACAGATAACTAACTAGCTCTGCCTTTCATTCTTCCTTTGTTGCTAAGATGCCTTGCAGGTTTTCATCTTCGCATTTGTTGCCTGTATTTTCTTGCTGTTTTCAAGCTGTTCCATATTTAGCTCCAGGAACTGTTTCTTAGAAAAAGATTCTTATGTTCAGGAGTTTCAGATGTAGTCAGCAATGTAGCCTATTTCACATCTCTACAATAATGCGCTCAACACTCCAGTCCAGTAGGTGGCAGGAATGTATTTTAAAGTTGAAGACGCTAAGCTCCAGCTTAATATAAGGTGCAAGATAAAAGCTATTAGTCTAATAAATATTATTTAATATAACGATGTAATATAAACAACCCCAAAGCAGAAAATGTTATGACAATGTGGAAAACGCAAAAAAAAGAAAGTAGTGATTTATAAGTTTACTTTGACTTCTATTTCATTGCAGACAATATGAACAGAAAATATTTCATGTTTCGTTTGGTCAACTTCATTTCATTTGTAAATATATCTTTCCTGTCATTCATACCTTCAATTCAACAAGAATCTTCATTTATCTATAAGCGATATGACCACATGGGCTCAGGACTACTTTGTCAAATCTTTGTCAAGTACCACAATATGTAGTTACATTCACAAATGCCAGTGAAAACTGTACTGTGCCAAAAGGAAGCCCTATGTTAACAGTGTCCAGAAGTGCTGTCAACTTCTCTGGGCTTGGAGGCATCTGGGATGGATCATCACACAGTGGAAACGTAAACTGTGGTCAGATGACTTGGTATTTCAGGTTTTTTTTTTTTTTGAGGAGAAATGGACACTGTGTACTCCGAACCAAAAAAGAAAAGGAGCATCCAAACCGTTACCAGTCCAAAAGCCAGGGTCTGCTATGATCAAGTGCTCTTGGCAAAGGTAACTTGCACTTCTTTGATGGCACCATGAATGCTGAAAATAGAAATATTGGAGCACAATATGCTGTCTTCTTTTGCAGGGACGCCCAGGCATAATTCAACAAGACAAGAATGCAAAACCACATTCTGCACATATTACAATGTCCTGGCTGAAGAGGATACAGGTACTTGACTGGCCTGCCTGCAGTGCCGACCTGTTTCTAATAGAAAATGTGTGGTGCGTTTTAAATTGCAAAATACGACAACGCAGACCCTGTACTTTTGGCCACCTTTAGACTTGTTTGCAGTCATCAAACATCATCATCTTGTGTCTTAAAACATCTTTTAAGTGTTGTGAAAAGGAATGGCAACATTACAAAGTGGTAAATGCTTTACTCCTCCAATTTTTTTTAAATGTGTTGCAAGAACCAAAATTGGAATGAGTTTAATTTGGAAAAAACGCAATAAAATCATGAGGAACAAATTAAATAATGTTTGTTGTATTGTCTGCAATAGAATACAAGTCAACGTGAATTTAGAAATCACTCATTTCTTTTTTAATTTTCACTTTTCATACTGTCCTAACTTTTCTGATCTGGGGTTAGAGTTTAAACACTTTTGTGGCAACAGTCTGCAAATTTAACCAGCTTCTGGTGGCCTTTGTATCTCCGCCCTCTTTTAAAAAGTGGACTGGGAGCACAATCTCATTTGAATTTAAAGCGAGAGTCACCAAAATGGTACAATTAGGATCAAAGACTAAAAGGAGTCGCTTCAAAGAGTTATAAAACATTGTTTGTGGTGTATTTTGAACTGAAACGTCACACACACACTCTAGGGACATCAGCGACTCATTTTTTTACATCTTGTAGAAATGAGCATAGTAGGCACCTTTTTAAAGCCTGATAAAACAGCATGGACATTCTCAACACTGACACAATTAGAATGTATTTAAATCTACTAATTACACACATTTACCACACATGTACTGTTACACCTACTGTAACTGTGGTATTGTATTTGAAATTTTTACATTTTATGATACACTGTATTCCATATTTTTAATAAACAATTATATAAAATAAGTATTTTTTATTTAGTTAATAAAAAGGACTGGACTTTAAGGGAGAATATAACATTGAAGTGAAAACAACAGATGGCAGTAATGCAACTTATGGATGTGCTACAGTTAACTCTAGAAGAAGAAGAAAACAGTCCAGTCCACTCGTCGATTAAAATATCTGGCTGAGGGTTGTCTATTGTCAGTCACACAGACGGGAGCGCGCAGTATCGTTGCTTTCTGACATGATTCATTTGCGCGTCACATCCAATCTCAGTAGCAAATCTTCGCGGTGACGTGCAGCAATGTTTATCACCGATATTTCAGAAAAATAAAGCTTTCGTCTTCAGCTATTGTGAAGGTGAGTTCTGCACTTTAATATTTCTTTAATAACCTGTTACTTATGTTAAGAAAATGTAGATTAGTTGCTTAATGTTATGTATTTATATGTGACAGAGCCCATTTTAACTTCATTTTTTTGTTCTTGATTTAAATGCAAAACGAAAAGTAACGCTTAGATTAAAAGCAAACAATACAAAACTATGGAAAGATAGAAGGTATAAACCTATAATAACTGATGTGTTTACCGCCTATCAAAAATGTAAGTGTCAAAGTAGTTTCCAAGTGTTAGCAGTGTACTGCACAATGCAAGAGGACACTACATACGCTCCCCGGCCACTTTATTAGGTACAGTTTACTGTTAGCCTACCGGGTTGGACCCACTTTTGCTTTCAGAACTGCCTTAATCCTTTGTGGCATAGATTTACTGAAAATATTCCTCAGAGATTTTGGTCCATATTAAACATCTAAAGTTACATTAAACATAAATTTTAGGGAAAATGATTACCGTTCTGTCCGTTGCCTTGTGTCCGTTATTTAAAGGGCACCTATGGTGAAGTATCTACTTTGGACAGCTGTTTGGACAGACATACAGTTGAAACCAGAATTTTACATACACTGTATAAAAAGGCACAATCATTAAAAAAAAGTCAAATGTTAATGTTTTCAGATGTAAGTTTTTCTCTTTTAGGTAAAGTTAGGATTATCACATTTGTTTCTGTTATGCTTAATAGCAGAATAATGAGAGAAATATTTTTTTTTAGAAATTGTTATCTTTTCTTGAAAGTCAAGTTTACATACAATAAGACTATTATGCCTCTGAAAATGCTGAGATAATGGTTTCAAGGTTTTGGAAGTTTTTGATTGGCTAATTGCCAACATTTGAGTTATTTGAAGGCACAACTGTAGAATAGTATTTAAGGAAAACCTCAAACACACTGCTTCCTTGTGTGACAACATGGGAAAATCAACAAGCCACAATCAACAAAAAAGCCAGATTACAATTTGCTAAATTACACTGGGAAAAGAATAATGTTTAGGGACATGTCCTGTGGGCTGATGAAAATATTATTGAACCTTTTTGGCCATAATGACCAGTTTTACATTTGGAGGACAAAGTGGAAAGCTTACAAGCCTAGGAACACCATCCCAACTGTGAAGTATGGGGGCGGCAGCATCATGTTGTGGGGCTGTTTTGCTGCAGGAGGGACTGGTCCACTTCACAGCACAGATTGCATCATGAAGAAAGAACATTATGTAGAAATACTGAAGCAACATCTCAAGACGCCAGCCAGGAAATTAAAACTTGGCCACAAATGGGTTTTCAAACAGACCATGACCCTAAGCAAACTGCCAAATTAGTTAAAATGTGCTTATTGACATATAATAACATGTATTCTGTCACATTTGCATGCAAAAACAGTGCAATGCTAAACGTGCGTGCTGTCTGTGTGTGTTTGCGCTGTGTGTGTGTGTGTGTGTGTGTGTGTGTATATCTGTGTGTGTGCTTGAACTTTGTAACAACATTGTGTGTGACTCATCAGTGTAACTCCACAACAAATGCATCAAATATTCATTAGGAAAGTTCTTACTGTAGTATTTTTCACAACATTACGTGAGATCTTCTTCCTTCATGTCTGTCTGTTGTCTGAAGAAGCCGAGGGAGGCACGCTGACAGGCACGTGGAAACGGTGGGCATGGAGGACTAGCCTTAAAGGCCCATGAAACCCCCTTGTTTCAGCGGGGTGTTTTCACACCTCTACTTTGGAAAAAGTCTGGAAAAAAAGTGTCCTAAAGTTTGGTGGTGGTGCTCACACGTTTACACTCGGTTTTAGTCCATAATATTGTAGTGATGTTAACGTAAGGTAAACTTTATTAACTTAGAAATCATTTGAGTAAGGTCCGTCTTTAAACACTGAAAGAGTACTGCTGACAATACGAACTAACTTTGCCTTTGAATAAACAAACAAAGACCACTGATCGCTCACTTACCAAATTTGTAGCGACAGGACAATCAACACAAACTGGATCCGCAACTTTATTAAAAGGAGACGAGCGGCAATTCCGGATTTCACCATTTCCATATGAGAAAAGCTCTCGGGTAAACAATGTTCCTTAGACACGTATTGCTATGGCGCGTCGCGTGCACTGTAATCCACACGTGAGTCCAGCTGCAATCTCATAGAGGAAAAATTAAAACAAAACCTTCACTGCAGCAAATTATAAAAGCAACACTGACAACCCATAACTCCAAACAATTCATGTTCTTCTGCTTGGCAACACAACACAGCGTCTCTCTGCCGTCTGAACACTGTAACTGTTAAAAACAGTCTTGCATATTAATGAAGTTGCACCGCATACATAATAGAGCACGCTAATTGGTTTGAACCAAGTCTTTCATAAGAATGAATGCAGCACACTCAGAGACGTAATAAGGAACTCCCAGGTACAGACGTCCAGTCTACACACCTGAATACACGCTAAGATCTCATGGCCGTGACGCAGCTTCAAAAATTAGTTTCAAACCGGAAGTATGAGTCTGCTCGAAATAACGCAAAAACAACTAATTTTCACGTTTTTAGTGTCCTAATAGTGTTTTTAGCAGTGTGGGACACAAATACGACTGTCAACAGCTCAAAAAATGTTTTGGTGTTTCGTGACCCTTTAAAGGCCCAGTTCACAAAAAACGCTACCTGATGCTAAGAGCTGTAAAATAGAAACTTTGGAAAGCTATAATAAATAATCTGATGGGTGTTTTGAGCTGAAACTTTACAAACACATTCTGGAGACACAAAACACTTGTATTAAATCTGGAAAAAGGGGTAACCTAGGCGGCCTTTAATTCAAATGATGAGCACGCACACACGACACGCAGACTTGTAAAGAAGAACATAGTTTGAGTTCTATTAAGTTCAACATCAAACCAATGTTATATTTCGACCAAATGCGTCGTGTAGCCTATATGTTTAAGACTTAACTTTATTTTTACATTAAATCAACATTTTATCCTGGATGTAATAACCTTCCGACCAAAATATGAATGTTGATTCAATGTCAGAATTTTATTGAGGACTGTTACTGACGCTTATAACTAATAACCAAATGATTTACTGAAATCATCTGAAAGTTCTTTACTGTTCCATGTTTTTGTCATTTGTAGATAATGACTCTCTATTTACAGTCATGCTAGTGTGAGCCAGTGCTTTCAACAGGCCGGGCCAAGTCAGTAGTCTAGGAGCTTGAGCAGTGAGGCCGAAATCATGTCCTGTTTCCACTGTCGGAGCAATAGCTTTCTGTGCTTTTCTTTTTCTGTTAAAAACAAACTTAACAGATTATATTTTTCAATGGTAGGGTGAAATACATTTAAAAAACAATGTTGTGTTGTTGCTCAGTAAAAGTCTGTTCTGTCTGCTATTAAGTCATTGTTAAACCATCACTTTAGTTATCTAACCTTAATCATGCTTTCTCTTATCTGTTAAAGTTTACTTTAGATCAAATGGATATAAAAGAAGAAGACTGCGTCTCTCAGTCTGGGACGCATATCACAGAACAATCGAGCCTAAAGATTAAAACGGGAGAGACGGCCTTCACCTGCAAACAGTGTGGAGAGATTTTCACAACAAACCAAAGTCTTGAAAGTCACAAAGTGATTCACACCGGAGAACAACATTATTTTTGTTCAGAGTGTGGAAAGAGTTTCACTCAAATGCGGTATCTTAAAAATCACATGAAGATTCACGCTGGAGATCACCCCTTCACTTGTCCGGAGTGTGATAAGTGTTTCACAATGAAACACAGCCTTGAAAGTCACTTAAAAATTCACACTGGGGAAAAGCCATTCACCTGCCCTGACTGCGGAAAAAAATTCAGATTAAAGCAAAGCCTGGAGGGCCACATGAGGATTCACACCGGAGAGAAACCTTACACATGTCAAAATTGTGGGAAGAGTTTCAGAGAGAAACAAATCCTCGACACGCACTTGACGATTCACACTGGAGAAAAGCCTTACTCCTGCCCTGAGTGTGGAAAGAGTTTCAGAGTAAAAAAGTGCCTTGAAAACCACATCAAAACTCATACTGGAGAGAAACCTTACACATGCCAAGAGTGTGGAAAGAGTTTTGCAATAAAACAAAACCTAGAAAGGCACATGAGAATTCACACTGGAGAAAAGCCTTACTCCTGCCCTGAGTGTGGAAGGAGTTTCAGAGTGAAACAAGATCTTAAAATTCATGTGAGAATTCACACTGGAGAAAAACCTTTCTCCTGCCAACAGTGTGGAAAAAGCTTCACCGAGAACAAGAAGCTTGAAAGTCACATGAGAATTCACACTGGAGAAAAGCCTTTCGTCTGCTCTCATTGCGGAAAGAATTTCAGAGGGAAACAAAACCTTGAGAGCCACATGAGACTTCACACCGGAAGCAAGCCTTACACCTGCCCTCAGTGTGGAAAGAGTTATAACCAACAAAAAAGCCTTGACATTCACATTAGGACTCACACCGGAGAGAAACCTTTTGCTTGCGATCAGTGTGGAAAGAGTTTTACTCATCAAAGTAACCTTAAGGGTCACATTAGGATTCACACCGGAGAGAAACCTTTTACTTGCCCTCAGTGCGGGAAGAGTTTTATAGAGAAAACAAAACTGGAGAGGCACAAGAAAATTCACTCTGGAGAAAAGCCTTACGATTGCCAGCACTGTAAAAAGAGTTTTACGTTAAAGCAAAGCCTGGACATTCACATGAAACTTCATACCAGAGAGAAACCGTACTCCTGCCAACAGTGTGGAAAGAGTTTCAGAGTGAAACAGAAGCTCGTATCCCACATGACAGTTCACACTGAAGAGAAGCCTGCACTTGGCGTGGAAGTAGTTTTAGAATGAAACAAGGCCTCAAAAGTTACACAAGAACATTCTGGGGAAGCTGAAACTTCACATTCCCTGTGCTCAATGTGGGATATGAATATAATTTGCATGTATTAAAACAATTCTATGGAACACGCTTCAATTCAGAGTTGTTAGTGTACAGTATGAGCACAGATAACACTTTCAGAATATTCTCCATTTAACATCACTTCAGTTTCATCCTTATACAGTGTATACGTTGTTTGTCTCTAGAAATTATAAGCCCTTGCAATAAACAGTTAGAATGACTGATATAATTAAATTATTTGATTATTTATAAGTGACAGATAACTAACTAACTCTGCTTTTTATTCTTCCTCTATTGCTAAGATAAGGACTTGCAGGTTTTCATCTTCGCATTTGTTGCCTGTATTTTCTTGCTGTTTTCAAGCTGTTCCATCTTAAGCTCCAGCAACTGTTCCTTAGAAATAAATTCTTATGTTCAGAAGTTCCAGATGTGGTCAGCAATGTAGCCTATTTTACATTCCTACAATAATGCGCTCCACACTCCAGTCCAGTAGGTGGCAGGAATGTATTTTAAAGTTCAATACGCTATGCTCCAGCTTTATATACGGAGCAAAATAAAAGCTGCTGGTTTAATAAATATTATTTAAGATAACGATGTAATATAAACAACCCCAAATCAGGGGTTCCCAGGAGGATAAAGGTACTTGAATGGCCTGTCTGCAGTCCCGACCTGTCTCCAATAGAAAATGTGTGGTGCATTTTTGAACCGCAAAATACGACAACGCAGACCCTGTACTGTTGGCCACCTCAAGACTTGTTTACAGTCATCTCACATCATCACAGACACCTAGTGTTTTTTTTTAGTCCCTAATTGTATTTTTAAGTGTTGTGAAAAGGAAGGACAACATTAAAAAGTGGTAAATGCTTTACTGTTCTAACTTTATAAAATGTGTTGCAAGAACCAAAATTGGAATAAGTGTTTACTTAGGAAAAAAACACAATAAAATCTTGAGGAACACATTAAATTATGTTTGTTGTATTTTCTGCAATAGAATACAAGTCAACGTGAATTTAGAAATCACTCATTTCTTTTTTTATTTTCACTTTCCATTCCGTTCTAACGTTTCTGATTTGGGGTTGTAGTTTAAAGGAGACCTATTATTGAAAAATCACAGTTTAAACACTGTTGTGGCATCAGTCTAGCTCCGCCCTCTTATGAAAAGTGGACAGGGAGCACAATCTCAATTGAATTTAAAGCGACAGTCACCAAAATGGCACCATCAGGATCAAAGACTAAAAGTGGTCGCTTTAAAGATTTATAAAACATTTTTTTGTGAGGTATTTTGAACTGAAACATCACACACACACTGTAGGGACATCAGAGACTCATTTTACATCTTGTAGAAATGGGCATAATTGGTTCCCTTTAAACCCTGATGAAGAAGCATGGACATTCTCAACACTGACACAGTTAGAAGGCATTTCAATCCACTAAGCACCAACATTTACTACACATTTACTGTTACGCCTACTGTAACTGTGGTATTGTTTTTAAAATGTAGACAATTTATGACCAATTGTATTCAATCATTTCTTTTATATATATATATATATATATATATATATATATATATATATATATATATATATATATATATGTTTTATTTATATATTTTTTATTTTTTAGTTATTTAAAAAGGACTAGACTTGGAAGGGAGAATATAGAGTGGAGGAACTATGACGTCACTTTGTAGGCTAATCGGCTGCTAGCATAAAACTGGTTCCCTCGTGAAAATCCCTATAGGATTTTCCCATAGGGTTTTCGAAGATTGCGAATAATACGCTCTGTGTTCAAACACTGTTCATTACACTTACACGTTTTGTTCAGCCGGATAATTGTCACACGAAAATATAACATTGAGCACTTTTGGATCTTAAATGCAAACGCAAGACTTGAAAAGCTAACATTAGGCTATAAACGGACTACAGCGCCCTCGGGGCGCTCGTCAGTGACGTCAGCGCCACCCTACTACAGACGACTTATCAAGCTTATTTTTAGAAATAACGTCCATGACAAAGAGTTAATCTCTCAGTATATTATATTGTAATCCACGCTATATATTATAAACTAATAAATACGCAAACACACATAGACCTTTGTGCCTTTTGGATCGTTTTTACGTGGGAAATACATGCTTTGCTTTGCTTTGCGGTTGTTCTAAAAGTTTAAAAAATGTGTATAAATGTGCCTATATAGTATTATTATGAGACATATTTAAATAAGTGTATCGCTCGCGTGCACACAGCCCGCTTACCTTAACAGACGACGGCGTGAGGAGGAACAAGTCTATCAAATGCCTGCAGGTTTCATCATTATGGACACAGAACAACATTTAATATTCCTTTTGTGTCACGAAGTACAGCGAAAAACAGCCCAATACAGTCACATCTGCTATACGTTTTATGGAGTGTAAATATTGCAGTTATGGCAGAGTTAAATGTGTTGATGAAGAAAAAAAGACGAGAAATCACTTGATCACGTTAAAATGACAGTTAACATGCATGTATTTTTACACATTTATTCACACGTTTGCATTACTGAGAGCAGGAAAGAAACTGAGCAGTATCTTCATATTATCGTTTAATTAAAATGAATGATCAACAAATGAATCTTTTTTGACAGCCTTTACATGTGAAGGAATTATCTACACACAATCTGAATTCTCAATTAGAATAATACAACAAACTATAAAATACTATTCTGAAAATACTTAAATCACAGACAAATCCAAACGCCCAAGCGAGCTGCGCTCCAGACCAGATCAGCTCGATGACGTATAATGCCCCCGACGCCGCCTGTAGTCTCATTTAGCAACTTGATAGCAACCGTCTTTTTAAAGAAGCATAATCGATTTAAAAGTTGATGAGTGTGCTGTAACTGATGTGTTTTATGTCGTAGAACAAAACGTGAAAGTATATTGAGTTGGTGTTGGCCACGGACCTTATTTGAGCGATTTTACTGAAACCCCATTCAAAAAACCCATTGACTTTGGGACGAGGGAACCGGAAGTGCTAAAATGCTAACTCGCTTCCGGGTTTTTGCATACAAATTGACGTCATAGTTCCTCCACTCTATAATATAGAAAACGAAGACTAAGTGAAAACAGCAGATGGCAGTAATGCAACTTATGGATGCCAGCCACAGTTAACTCCAGAAGAAGAAAACAGTCCACCCGAGTCGTCGTAAGGAGTGAAATATCTGGCTGAGAGCTGTCTATTGTCAGTCACACAGACAGAAAGCTCGCAGTATTATTGCTTTTCTGACATGATTCATTTGCGCGTCACATCCAATCTTAGTAGCAAATCGCGGCGACGTGCAACGACGTTTATCGCCGACATTTTAGAAAAATAAAGCTTTAAGAGACCCAACCGTCTTCAGCTGTTGTGAAGGTGAGCTCTGCACTTTAATATGCTTTCAATATTGTGTGACTTTAATATGTTGGGTGAATGTAGATTAGTTGTGTATTTATATATGACAGAACCCATTTTACAATTTTCCTTGATTTAATGCAAAACGAAAAACAATGCTTAAATTAAAAGCAAATAATTCAAACTAAGGAAAAATAGATGGTTATAAAAAAGCAATAACTGATGTGTTTACGGCCTATCAAAATGTTAGTGTTGAAATAGTTTCAAAGTGTTTGCAGTGTACTGCACAATGCAAGAGGACACTGATACGCTCACCGGCCACTTTATTAGGTACACTTTACTAGTACTGGGTTGGAGACACTTTTGCCTTCAGAACTGCCTTAATCATTTGTGGCATAGATTCAACAAGGCATTGGAAATATTCATCAGAGATTTTGATCCATATTAAACAACTAAAGTTACATTTAGCATAAATTCTGGGGAAAACGACACATAATCGTTAAATATAACGTACTTACCTTAATTTACCGTTCCGTCCTGTTTAGTTTAAATGATGAGCATGCGTACAACGTACTCGTGCAGAAGAACCAAGTTCAAGTTTCAACATCGAACCAATGTTATGATTTCGACCAGATGCGTTGTGTAGCCTAGATGTTGAAGACTCAACTTCATTTCAACATTAAATAAATGTTTTATCCTCGATGTAATAACCTTCACACCGAAATAATGAATGTTTATTAAATTTCGAAATTTGATTGACGACTGTTACTGATGCTTATAGCAAATATTCAACAGTTTTCGTCTTGCCCAGTCTTTTTCTTATGGTGGAGTCATGAACACCTACATTAATCGAGGCAAGAGAGGGCTCTAGTTCTTTGAATGTTGTTGTGGGGTTGTTTGTGAACTTAGATAAGTTTTCGACTTTGCTCTTGGGATAATTTTGGTTGGCCAGCCATTTTTGAGAAGGTTATTTAGGCCCAATTCCAATTCTATTTTTGTACCCCTACCTTTTACCCTTGGCCCTTACAATCGACGGTTAAGGGAAAGGGTTTTAAAATTTACCCCTAAGAATTGGGACAGCACCTGCACACATCATCATTTGCCCTCGCGATCTCATGCTTCATGTGAGATCAGACGATCACAACTGCTGTAGTTATTCCAGTTGTTTTTATTTATATATATATTTTTTTATTTTTTTATTTTTTTGATATTTATTTTCAGAAAATCACTGAAGGCATATATTATGTTATCATAACGGTCTAATGTGGCAATAAGATCGTAACTATACTGTCTATTTACACAGAGGCCATATTCATTTATGTAAACACACCAAAAACAACATTAACATTACAGCAGACACTGAAAAAAGCTCATTCTCAGCCTCTAGACATTACTGACAGGGTATTCGAGTGTCTGAATGTTGTGTAACTGCTGTACAGAAGTTATTATTAGGGATTATAGATTGCGGAATTTAACATTTTTTTTTAAGGATTTTTTTTTTAAGTGTGACGTCAGCAAAGTTATGAACATTTTAAAACGTTTGTCGTAAAAATGTGTAATAATGACAAAAAATACTAATTTGTAAATCTCTTTACTTCCGGGTTCAGCAACGCTGTCGCTGTGGCTAGTGTATTCTGGAAAATTGTCTTACCCCTTGGTTTAGAGTGTGGTCCTGGAAAATTTTCGTTCAAAGGGCTATTCGCCCATTCCCCTTAAACCCACGACTTCAATGTAAAGAGAATTGGGACACCACTACTCCTTGGCGTGCACATGCAAAACGAGGGGTAAGGGGAAGGGGAAGGGCTAAGGGGTAGAATTGGGATTGGGCTTTACTGTTGCATGTTTTTGCCATTTGTAGATAATGACTCTCATTGGCCGCATTTTCCACTGTCAGGCCAGTGTGAGCCAGGGCAATAGCCTGGGAGCTTGAGCAGTGAGGCTAAAATCATGTCGCTTTTCCACTGACGGAGCCATAGCCCGCTGTGCCTTTTTTTTTTTCTCACCACATGTTAAACACAAACATAACAGATTTTATTTTTCAAAGATAGGGTAAAATACATTTTTTAAAAAAAAACAAGGCTGTGTTGTTGCAAAGTCAAAATCTGTTCTGTCTGCTATTAAATCATTGTTAAACCATTACTTTAGTTATCTAACCTTAATCATGCTTTCTTTTATCTGTTAAAGTTTACTTTAGATCAAATGGATATAAAAGAAGAAGAAGAAGACTGTGTCTCTCATGACTCTCAGTCTGGGCCATATTTCACCGAACAACCGAGCCTAAAGATTCAAACTGGAGATATTTTCACACCGATCCAAAGCCTTGAAAGTCACAAAGTGAATCACTCAGAAAAACAAACTTTTATTTGTGCAGAGTGTGGAAAGAGTTTTACACTCAAGCGGTATCTTAAAAATCACATGAAGATTCACACCGGAGCTCATCCTTTCACTTGTCCGGAGTGTGATAAGTGTTTCACAATGAAACACAGCCTTGAAACTCACTTGAAAATTCACACTGGGGAAAAGCCATTCACCTGCCCTGACTGCGGAAAAAAGTTCAGATTAAAGCAAAGCCTGGACGGTCACTTAAGGATTCACACTGGAGAGAAACCTTACACATGTCAAGTGTGTGGGAGGAGTTTCAGAGAGAAACAAATCCTCGATAAGCACTTGACGATTCACACTGGAGAAAAGCCTTACTCCTGCCCTGAGTGTGGAAAGAGTTTCAGGGTGAAAAATTGCCTTGAAAACCACATCAAAATTCACACCGGAGAGAAACCTTACACATGCCAAGAGTGTGGAAAGAGTTTCACAGAGAAACAAAACCTAGAAAGGCACATAAGAATTCACACTGGAGAAAAGCCTTTCGCCTGCCCTGAGTGTGGAAGAAGTTTCAGAGTGAAACAAGATCTTAAAATTCATTTAAGAATTCACACTGGAGAAAAGCCTTTCTCCTGCCAACAGTGTGGAAAAAGTTTCTCAGAGAACAAGAAACTTGAAAATCACATGAGAATTCACACTGGAGAAAAGCCTTTCGTCTGCTCTCATTGCGGAAAGAATTTCAGAGGGAAACAAAACCTTGAAAGTCACATGAGACTTCACACCGGAAACCAGCCTTACACCTGCCCTCAGTGTGGAAAGAGTTACAACCAACAAAAAAGCCTTCAGATTCACATTAGGACTCACACCGGAGAGAAACCTTTCGCTTGCGATCAGTGTGGAAAGAGTTTCACACAACAAAGTACTCTAAAGGGTCACATTAAGATTCACACCGGAGAGAAACCTTTCACTTGCCCTCAGTGCGGGAAGAGTTTTATAGAGAAAACAAAACTGGAGAGGCACAAGAAAATTCACTCTGGAGAAAAGGCTTACACTTGCCAGCACTGTAAAAAGAGTTTTACGTTGAAGCAAAGCCTGGACATTCACATGAGGATTCACACCGGAGAAAAGCTTTACACCTGCCAACAGTGTGGAAAGAGTTTTACAGAGAAACAGAAGCTCTTATCCCACATGACAGTTCACACTGAAGAGAAGCCTGCACTTGGCGTGGAAGTAGTTTTAGAATGAAACAAGGCCTCAAAAGTTACACAAGAACACACTGGATATCTGAAATAAAAACTGAAATGTCACGTTGCCTTTGCTTAATGTGGAATATGAATATAATTTGAATGTTGTTTAAAAAAAACACCATAAAACACTTTCAGAATATTCTCCATTTAACGTCACTTTTTAGTTTCCTTCTTGTCCAGTCCAGTGTTTCACTCTAATAATTATAAGCCATTGCAATAAACAGTTAGAATGACTGATTCAATTAAATTATTTGATTATTTATAAGTGACATATAACTAACTCTGCCTTTCATTCTTTCTCTATTGCTAAGATGAGGACTTGCAGGTTTTCATCTTCGCATTTATTGCCTGTATTTTCTTGCTGTTTTCAAGCTGTTCCATCTTTAGCTCCAGGAATTGACCCTTCGCTATAAGCCACACCCAAAAATTGGCACCCACCAATCGTGGCTTAGCAACCGTAGTTACGTGCAGGGGCTCTGGCAAGCTTTCGAGTGAGGGAAACAGGCCATAGTGTTTTGCATATGGATTGTGCAAATCTGACACCCGGTTTCCTAAAAGTTTGGACTGGGTGGTGGAATTTTTGCCCTTTTCAAAACCCAAAAAAATAAGGAAGGAAATGCCAGCGTGGATCATGCTCTGTGAGGGGCGCTGAAGGAGTGGAGTTAAGTTGGTTTTGTTTTCGATATTCCTGACACATTCAGTGAAAGACGATGATTGTATATTAAATTCACTTTAATGCGTGATAGGACTAAAAAGTGGCCATAAACAAATATTTTCTCAATTCAAATGAGTAGCGGCTTGGATCCAGAAAGAGTATTCTATTTGTTACCGATATGTCACGACTTAACAAGCGGATAAGCGATATCACCACATGGGCCAGGACTACTTTGTCAAGTACCACAATATGTAATAACATCCACACTGAAAACTGTACTGTGCTAACTTTTAAAAAAATGTGTTGCAAGAACCAAATTTGGAATATGTGTTTAATTTAGGAAATAAAACACAAATCTTGAGGAAAACATCAAATAATGTTCGTTGTATTGTCTGCAATAGAATACAAGTCAGCTTGAATTTAGAAATCACTACTTTCTTTTTAATTTGTGTTTTTCATACTGTCCTAACTTTTTCTGATTTGGAGTTTAAAGGAGACCTGTTATGTGAAAATCACAGTTTAAACACTTTTGTGGCAACAGTCTGCGAATTTAACCAGCTTCTGGTGGCCTTTTTAGCTCCGCCCTCTTTTGAAAAGTGGACAGGGAGCACAACCTCATTTGAATTCAAAGCGAGAGTCACCAAAATGGCACCATCAGGATCAAAGACTAAAAGGGGTCGCTTCAAAGAGTTATAAACATTGTTTGTGAGGTATTTTGACATCACACACACACTAGGGACATCAGAGACACATTTTACATCTTAAAGATATGATGGAAAATTGTTGGGCACGATGAATATTTTAATCCTCAAGTTTTATATGAGAATTGTGTCCTCAAACAGATGGAAAGGATTTTGAATGATCCAACTAATTTTTTGTTTTCATATTACAAACTGCTTCCCTCTGGTAGGAGATAGAGTCCCAAAGTGTAGGTTAAACCCTTATAAGAAATCCTTTGTACCTGTTTCAGTGGGTTTATTTAACAAGAGTCTATCTAAATAAGCATTATAAATTTTGCAACTGCTGTATTTTGTATTGTTTTTACTGCTTGTTTTTAGTGAATGTCTGCAGCAATATGGCAATGGCCATAACAAATTTCCTGTCAAGGACAATAAACTTTACTACTACTACTACTAGAAATGGGCATAATATTTTCCCTTTAAAGCCCGATGAAGCAGCATGGACATTCTCAACACTGACACAGAAGGTATTTCAATCCACTAAACACCAACATTTACTACATATTTACTGTTACACCTACTGTAACTGTGGTTTTGTATTTAAAATGTGGACAATCTATGTTGAATTGTATTCAATAATTTATTTATTAGATATTTAAGGAGGACTGCTGGACTTGAAGGGAGAATAAAATAACAGAGCACGAAGACTAAGTGAAAACAGCAGATGGCAGTAATGCAACTAATGGATGTCAGCTACAGTTAACTCCAGAAGAAGAAGAAAACAGTCCACTCGTCATAAGGACTGAAATATCTGGCTGAGAGCTTTCTATTGTGTGTCACACGGACAGAAAACTCGCAGTATTATTGCTTTTTCTGACATGATTCATTTGCGCATAACATCTAATCTCAGTAACGAATCTTTGCGGCGACGTGCAACGACGTTTATCGCCGATATTTCAGAAAAATAAAGCTTTAAGGGACCCAACCGTCTTCAGCTGTTGTGAGGGTGAGTTCTTCCTTTAATATCTCTTTAATAACCTGTGACTTATGTTAAGTGAGTGTAGATTAGTTGTTTAACGTTGTGTTTATATATGGAAAAAGCCCATTTTACAATTTTTGTTTTTGATTAAATTCTAAACCAAAAACGACGCTTAAATTAAACGCAAACAATATAAAACTAAGAAAGATAGAAGGTATAAAGTTACAATAACTGATGTGTTTACGGTCTATCAAAATGTTAGTGTTAAAATAGTTTAAAAGTGTTTGCAGTGTACTGCACAATGCGACACTGACATACCGTTCCCGGCCACTTTATTAGGTACACCTTACTACCGGGTTGGACCCACTTTTGCTTTCAGAACTCCCTTAATCCATCGTGGCATAGATTCAACAAGGTACCGGATATTTTCCTCAGAGATTGTGGTCCATATTAAACATCTAAAGTTACATTTAGCATAAAATCTAGGGAAAACGACAAATAAGACGTCGAATATAATGTACTTACCTCAGATTACAATTCTGTCCGTTGCCTTGTGTCCGTTATTTAATTCAAATGATGAGCACGCGCATGACACGCTGACTCGCGCAGTCCTCTTATCAAGTTTCAACATTAAACCAATGTTATGATTTCGACCGTATGTGTTGTGTAGCCTAGATGTTGAGTCTTCAATTTCTTTTCAGCATTAAATCAATGTTTTATCCTCAATGTAATAGTCTTTCGACGTACCGATCAAATAATGAATGCTGATTTACCGTTGAAATTTGATTGATGACTGATAATGACGCTTATAACCAATAATCGATAATGATTCAACGTCAGCTTGCTATCTGGGATGATAGCATCACGCTGCAGCTGCTACCGATTTGTCGGCTGCACATTCATGATGCAAATCTCCTGTTCCACCGCATCCCAAAGGTGCTTTATTGGATTGAGATCTGGTGACTGGCGGCTATTTGAGTACAGTGAACTCATTGTCCTGTTCAAGAAACCAGTCTGAGATGATTTACGCTTTATGGCACGGCATGCTATCCTGCTGGAAGTAGCCATTAGAAGATGGGTACACTGTGGTCATAAAGAGATGGACATGGTCAGCAACAATACTCAGGAAGGCTGTGGCGTTGACACAATGCTTAATTGGTCCTAATGGGCACAAAGTGTGCCAAGAAAATATCCCCCACACCATTACACCACCAGCCTAAGCCGTGGATAAAAGGCAGGATGGATCCATCTCCAAGCTTTCATGTTGTTGACGCCAGATTATGTCCCTACCATGTGAATGTTGCAGCAGAAATTGAGACTTATCAGACCAGACAACATTTTTCCAATCTTCTATTGTCCTATTGGTGAGCCTGTGCGAATTGTAGCCTCAGTTTCCTGTTCTTAGCTGACAGGAGAGGCACCTTTTTTGCTTGGTTGTCACACTTTTTAATGTTTCAGATCATCAAACAAATTCAAATTCAAAGATAACACTAGGAAACACATAATGCAGTTTTAAAATGTTGAAAAGGTTATTATTAAGGGGAAAACGAAAAACAAAATTTCATAGGCCTGTGTGAAAAACAATGTATAAACCTAAATAACTAGTTATTATTACTAGCCTTAGCAGCAGTTACTAGGGTTGTTGCGATACCAATAATTCCAATGACGATACTATACCAGCTGAAGTATTATAATACCAATACTGTATACCGATTTTAATACCGATACTGTAATTCATAGTTTAAGTCTATAAAAAAAATAAAGAAATATTGTATTTCATGTTATAATGGGCCTACCTGAATTGAATTCATAATTCCCTTATTGTTGAAAAAAGTATTTGCACATAACTTCACCTAAAATGCATTAGTTGTTTATTTTGTAGATAACTGACCAACAAAAAAATACATTAAAATAAAGATACAAATTATAGCGAACTAAATTTGTTACAAAAAGGGCAAATTAGGCTATATGAAGTGATCAAAAGAGTTTTGTTTCTTGTTGCTCTTTTGGGATTTTCCTCTTTTGTTTTTTTTTTTTTTTTTTCTTATCAGGTAAGAATTCATTGTAATTCAAAATTTTACTTTGTGAGTCGCTCTTTTTAAGAGATTGTTGCGGTTGTTATAGCTACTAAATCATATTGACAGGAACACATTTTAACTGATTCTGATTAGAACTGAAGCGTCAGAAAACATGCAATAGGCTCATGGTTTCTGCTACATTGATTCTTCCATGGCTGGATGCCACGCCAAAATTGATCCTGCCACGACTACATTACAGCTCTCTTTCCAAACATTCAGTTGTGTTTTTTTTTTTTAATAGAGGGTGGTAATCGCACCAACACGTATTAAAACATTTTATAACAGTGCAAACTTTTCTGTAACCGTACTAGTGCTGTGCGTTGTTTGTTGAACCCTTTAAGTTACGTGCTGACTGATTGACTCGCTGGCTGACTGACAGGTGCGTGATGCGTGAGGCCAGCAAACACGTTGTATAGCTGTTTCACTTTACATTAGGACGCATTAATACCGCTCTGTAGGTCTATAAGAGACATTCATAAATATTCCTAGCAAATCTAATAAATGTTGGAGACATACTTGTTACATAAACGCACTAAATCGCACTTTAGCAGTGTTTATTTGAGAGCGCACAAGAAGATCTGCACTATAGCAGCGTATATTTGAGGGGGCATGCAAGAAGTTTTGTGCACAAGCAGAGGAAATCGGCGCGCAAGCAAAGCGATCTGGACTTGTAATACTGCGCTCATGACATTTGTCATTGAAATAACGCCACAGGTAGTTGATAAATCTTATCACAGCTGGAAAAAATCCTAGAGGAAACACTGATGCTACAATAAAAGGTGTGAATTCTACAGTTTTCTACTCAAATAATATTGTATATTGTGCTTATGAGCATTTAAGTGACTTTTCCACATGCAACATTATGTATTGTAGATAGACCGTTAATGACTATACTACCGTTTACAAACTACCATGGCACCACCAGTATTTTGGAGTTATAATATTACTGTAATACTATAGTACCGGTAAACTGTGCAACCCTAGGAGTTACAGCGCTAAATATTGCCTACTTATTTTTGCATAATTGTCATAATTCAGCCACATTTTTTGGTTTGCGAGCATGAGCCACCTTTTTCATGTCAATACATTTCAATAGGGTTCTGTTCCGGTGATTCATAAGTATACTTTCTGGTGTGCTTTGATTCATTGTCCTATTCATTGTCCATATGGATATGATGGAGTCATGAACACTCACATTAACTGAGGCAAGTGAGCCCTGCAGTTCTTTGGATGTTGTTGTGTGGTCGTTTGTGACCTCTTGGATGAGTTTTTGACTTGTCCAATGTCGGAGCAATAGCTGGCTGTGCATAACAGATTTTACTAATCAAGGTTAGGGTGAAATGCAATTTAAAAACATAAATTTGTTCTTACCCAGTAAAAATCTCTTCTGTCTACTATTTAATTATTATTAAACCATTACCTTAGTTATCTAACCTTAATCGTGCTTTCTCTATTTTTTTAAAGTTTTACTTTAGATCAAATGGATATAAAAGAAGAAGAAGAAGACTGTGCCACCGATTATCAGTCTGGGATGCATTCCACCGAACAATCGAGCCTAAAGATTCACACTGGAGAGTCTGGAGAGTCTTTCACCTGCAAACAGTGTGGAGAGATTTTTACAACAAACCAAAGCCTTGAAAGTCACAAAGTGATTCACACCGGAGAACACATTTTTATTTGTTCAGAGTGTGGAAAGAGTTTCACTCAAATGCGGTATCTTAAAAATCACAGGAAGATCCACACCGGAGATCACCCATTCACTTGTCCCGAGTGTGATAAGTGTTTCACAATGAAACACAGTCTTGAAAGTCACTTGAAAATTCACACTGGAGAAAAGCCATTCACCTGCCCTGACTGCGGGAAAAAATTCAGAATAAAACATAGCCTGGAGGGCCACATGAGGATTCACACAGGAGAGAAACCTTACAAATGCCGAGAGTGTGGAAAGAATTTCAGAGAGAAACAAATCCTCGATAAGCACTTGACGATTCACACTGGAGAAAAGCCTTACTCCTGCCCTGAGTGTGGAAGGAATTTCAGGGTGAAAAAGTGCCTTGAAAATCACATCAAAACTCACACTGGAGAGAAACCTTACACATGCCAAGATTGTGGAATCAGTTTCGCAGTAAAACAAAACCTCAAAAGGCACATGAGAATTCACACTGGAGAAAAGCCGTACTCCTGCCCCGAGTGTGGAAGGAGTTTCAGAGTGAAACAAGATCTAAAAAGTCATGTGAGAATTCACACTGGAGAAAAGCCTTTCTCCTGCCAACAGTGTGGAAAAAGTTTCTCAGAGAACAAGACACTTGAAAGTCACATGAGAATTCACACTGGAGAAAAGCCTTTCACCTGCTCTCAATGCGGAAAGAATTTCAGAAGGAAACAAAACCTTAAGAGCCACATGAGACTTCACACTGGAGACAAGCCTTACAGCTGCCCTCAGTGTGGAAAGAGTTATAATGAACAAAAAAGCCTTGAGAATCACATTAGGACTCACACCGGAGAGAAACCTTTCGCTTGCGATCAGTGTGGAAAGACCTTCACACAACAAAGTACCCTTAGAGGTCACATTAAGATTCACACCGGAGAGAAACCTTTCACTTGCCCTCAGTGCGGGAAGAGTTTTATAGAGAGAACAAAACTGGAGAGGCACAAGAAAATCCACTCTGGAGAAAAGCCGTTCGATTGCCATCACTGTAAAAAGAGTTTCACGATGAAGCAAAGCCTGGACATTCACATGAGAATTCACACCGGAGAAAAGCTTTACACCTGCCAACAGTGTAAGAAGAGTTTTGCAGTAAAACAGAAATTTGACAGCCACATGACAATTCATACCGGGGAGAAGCCGTACACATGCCAACAGTGTGGAAAGTGTTTCAGAGAGAAACGAAAGCTCGTATCCCACATGAAAGTTCACACTGAAGAGAAGCCTGCTGCTGGCGTGGAAGTAGTTTTAGAATGAAAAAAGGTATCAAAAGTTGCACGAGAACAAGCTGGGCACATGGAATAAAAACTGAAACTTCACATTGTTGTGCTCAATGTGGGATACAAGTATAATTTGCATGCTGTTCATTTCAGAGTTGCAAACCCAAACTATACTTTTTTGCGCCCTGATGTTAGTGTATGCGTGCAGTTGAACAGTTCCTAATATTCTCCATTTATCGACACTTCATAGTTTTATCCGTATCCAGTGTCTACTTTGTTTCTCTCTAGAAGTTATAAGCCATTAAACGGTTAACATGACTGATTCAGTTAAAATTTTATATTTATGAGTGGCAGATAACAACTTACTTAGGTTTTCATCTTCGCATTTGTTGCCTGTATTTTCTTGCAATTTTCAACTTTAGTTCCAGGAATTTTTTTATTAGAAATAGTTTATAGTGTCCATAAGTTCTGTATGTAGTTAGCAGTGTAGCCTGTTTCACATTCCTACCATATTGAAAGGGGTTTGACCTGGTGCAGTGCAATCTGAGCTGTATGGACTGGCCATAGGGAGCACTGGGACATTTCTTGGTGGCCTGATGGTCTATCTGGCCTGCCACCCTGTTTCCGACCCCCTCCAACTTCCTTTTCTGACGGTGTGATAACGTTGGATAATGTCATGGTTTCGTGGTATTGTGATCACTGCTCTAATATATATATTTTTTTAAATGTCTGGGTTAAAAACAAAACATTTATTCCCTTTTGAACACAATATATTTTATTTTGAGAAACATTTCAAATGTTTTGGAATAGTAAAAGTGTCAGGTTAAATGATTTATTGACTTCTGTCTTCATTTGTTTTAAAAAACTGATTTTTGTACAAGTTAAAACGACATCTTTTCTGCTGGAGCCACTGTTTTTACTGTAGCTAAAGATGTAAATAAAATATTGTACACATCTTAAAAAAGAGTATTGCAGAAAATTTTGACTTTTAAAACCCTGACTCATCCAAACAGCGGTACACCTTGAAAACGGTTATCATCCCATGCCTAGTTATGTGTATATTTATTACTTCATTCGTTTTCCTTCGGCTCTTACTGAGTATGTATATATATATTATATGAAATTATGAATAGCCTATCATATATGTAGCAAGGCATTAAATCGCTTACTGTTTATTTCTTTGCATTTTCACTTTATAAACTATAAAATCATGCGTCTCACATGTTGTGTCTGATTGTTTTAGTCTGATTTTGTGAGCCAACTGACAGCTGTTCGCTCTCCTCCTTTCCCCTGCTCTGCCGACCACACCCACTCCCCCCTCTGCTCACAGCGCTTCACGCCCATCATGAAGCGTTTTGGAAAAAATTCTGAAGACTTGAATTGAAAGAGGGGCGTTACATGACCCTTTTGAAGCAACAGTCACCACAATGGCAGTATCAGGATTAAAGCTAAAAAGGGTGCTTGAAAGAGTTATAAAACATTACTTGTGTGGTATTTTGAGCTGAAACCTCACACAGACTCTAGGGACATCTGAGACTTATTATACATCTGGTAGAAACGGACATAATTGGTACAGCCTGATGAAACCGCATGGACATCCTCAACATTGACAGAGTCAGAAGGCTTTCCAATCACCAACATTTACCACACATTTACTGTGACTGATATTGTTACTAAAATGTGGTATTGTATCTTCATTTATACCACGTCATACCACGTCATTGTCATCCCCTTTTTAATACAGTCCAAGCCTGTGCAAGCTCTTTTAGCTCAAGATTAATTCAGCACAGGGAACAATACAGGAAGTCCTTTTTACCAACAATGCTCAGATTGTATAACCAAAGTCATACTAGATGAATTATGCTGAATTGTAATAGCATTAATACTGTAGATATGGACTAGTGTCTACTCGTTCTTTGAAACTAAGGTGTGCAGTTTGAATATAACTTTATTAATATTATTGCCTTTTTATATATGTAATTTATCTTATAATATGGAAAGCTTTGATGTGATGTGAATTCCCCTTTGAGATTAATAAAGTCTAAACAAACAATAATGAATTGTATTCCACCTTTCCTTTAATAGATAATAATAAATAAATGAAAAAAAGGAGTTTGTTATTAAGATATAGCAATTTTCATTTTTACTAAGATACTACATTTAGACTAACAATTTCTTTTCTAACAAGTACTATAGAAAGAATATGACTTTTTTATTATGCTACCAAGGTTGATCATAGTTTTATTAAACATGATCCAAGTACTCTGGAGGGGGGAAAGGCTTATTTTTCATCCAAACAACAACAAAACATTAACTTTTAAAAGATAAGCGGTTAAAGGTTTTACTGTTTTGGGTGGCAAACATGAATTTACATCTTTATCCTACTCGGTTATTATTTTGTGTTTTTATAAGCTTGTAAGTGAAGGCCAAGAAAGATCATTTGTATTTAGTTAGTTCAGACTGGACTGAAAGGGCGAATATTAGACTAAGTGAAAACAGCAGATGGCAGTAAAGCAGCTTTTTATAGATGCCAGTTGCCTATAAACGCCAAAGAAGAAGAACAACTGAGTCCACTCATAATAATAAACTCATCTAAAGAGAAGTGAAACATCTGGCTGAGAGCTGTCCATTGTCAGTCACACAGACAGGAGCGCGCAGTACTGTTGTTTTGACGCGCGATTCATTTGCGCGTCACATCCAATCTCAGCAGCAAATCTTCGCGGTGACGTGCAACGACGTTTATCGCCGATATTTCAGAAAAATTAAGCTTTAAGAGACCCAGCCGTCTTCAGCTGTTGTAAAGGTGAGTTCTGCACTTTAATATGGCCTCAATATTCTGTGACTTATGTTAAATAAATGTAGATTAAATGTGTATGTTAATTCATTCATGACAGAGCCCAGTTTGGAATATTTGTTCTTGATTCAATGCAAAACTAAAAAAATGACGCTTAAATTAAAAGCAAACAATACAAAACTAGGGAAGATTAAATGTATAAAGCGATAACATATGTGTTTACCACCTATCAAAAATATTAGTTAATATACAACCCCATGGTTTTGCATAACTTTGTTTAATTTTTGAACAAACATTTTTTATAATATTTCCCTCCAAGCGGACACAAGACCTTGCTATGTTTGGTGTTTCAGAACACTCCCTCGCCCTTCCAAAACATCTATAACAAAGCCTTACTGTAGCCATGACTGTGGCCAAGTAATACTAAAAAACTGGAAATCTTTACCTGCTTCTTTTCGAATCTGGTTAATGGATATGGCCTCCGTTATCCACTTGGAAAGGCTCAGATTTATCAGGTCTAATTCCAAAGAAAAATGGTTTGCAACCTGTGAACTCTTTCTTGGATACTTAGACCTAAAGCATGCTCTATCCAAATCCAGCACCCTTCATGAAAACTGACTGGCACGCTACCTTATAGGAATTTTTGATGTCTATATACTGTGTAATACTACAATTTGTATTCCCAACAGCTGAACCCACATGTATGGCAATTCATATATATACCTGCAAAGTGTGTGTGTATATATATATATATATATATATATATATATATATATATATATATATATATATATATATATATATATATATATAAATAAACCCAAATCTGAAAAGATTGGGATACTATGTAAAATGCAAATCAAACAGAAAGTAGTGATTTTCAAATTTACTTAGACTTGTATTTCATTGCAGACAATATTAACAAATTATTTCATGTCTTGTCTGTTCAACTTCATTTCATTTGTAAATATACATCATTTCCTGTCATTCAGACATGCAACACTCTCCAAAGAAAGTTGAGACAAGCAGTATAGGGCTAGTAATCAAATAAATTGGTTAAATAATGATGTGATTGAAGGTGATGTCAACAGGTGATTGTAATTATGATTTAGTACAAAAGCAGCATCCAAAGTCTAGTCTTTTAGGAGCAAAGATGGGCAGAGAATCCCCAGTTTGCCAACAAATACATGTGAAAATTAATAAAACGTTTCACCATCAACAATACATAACATAATTAAAAGATTCAAGGAATCTGGAGGAAGTTCAATGCGTAAAGGAGAAGGGCACAAGCCTAAGCTAAACAACTGTAATTGCCAATCCCTAAAGCGGCACAGCATTAACAATCATCTATTCATCTATAAGCAATATCACCACATGGACTCAGGGCTACTTATCCACAAATGCTAGTTAAAACAGTTCTGTGTCAAAAGGAAGCTCTGTTATGTCTACTGCCCAGAAGTGCCGTCGACTTTTCTGGACTCTGAGACATTTGGGATGGCCACTAACACAGTGGAAACTGTAGTCAGATGAATAAGTGTGTTTAGATATTTTTTGGAATAAAAGGATGCTGTGTGCTTCATTTTCAAAGAACAAAAGGATCATCCAGACCGTAGTGGTGGGCAAAGCGAGGCTTTATGAAACCCTGAAACAGTCGAAGCAAATGTGTCGAAGCTTCGAAATGTTTCGAAACCCCACTCTACGATAACACCTAGTGGTCATCTTTTAATGTATTGCACTGAAACAGCTTCATTTGAAACAGCTTGAAATGCTTTTATACCAGTTGGTAATGCTTTATTCTTGTATCAACATCCGAATAAATAAATTTGTCTTGTTTTGGTCATGAAACAGGGTTGTTGCTAGATCAGACACAGTTGGCAAGAAGTTAACAAGAATCATTTATTTTATTCATTAAATTTCCTATTTATTGTATTTTAGTAACGTTTACCCAAACCCTAAACCCAACCATCACAGTACTGTAAAAATATGAATTATTGTTGTACAGTGTTACAAAAATTATGCCAAATTAATGGCGTATCCGCAGCTGTATCCTATTTAGACTACACCATGAAACAGAAACATGATTAACATACATAAAACCATGATTTCAGAGTATTTGTACAAGTCGGCATTTGAACCCAAAAGTCATTTGAAGAACAGTATCAGCGTGCACACGCACAGTCCACTAGGCCATATCAGACAGAAGATGCTCCTGACCCTGGTAGTCAAATGCAGATTCGCCAGGTCTCGTAATGCTTCTAAATTGATCGATGCTTTAAATCACTTTAGTCACGTGACCAGGTGTTTCGAAACACTTTAGTCACGTGACTTGAGTGTTTCGGATCATGCTTGGGTGCAGTGTTTCGAAACACTTGCACTTCGAGATCTCGACACCGTCGAAATGTCAGTTTCACGTCAGCCATCCCTACCAGACCATTACCAGCAACAAGTCCAAAAGCCAGGATCTGTCATGGTCAAGTGCCCTTGGCAAAGAACTTGCCCTTCTGTGATTGCACCATTAATGCTGAACACAATATGCTGCCTTTTGCAGGAACGCCCATGCATATTTCAACAAGACAATGAAAAACCACATTCTGCACACATTACAAAGTTCTGGCTGCGAAGGAAGAGGATACAGGTACTTGACTTGCCTGTCTGCAGTCACGACCTTTCTCCAATAGAGAATGTGTGGCACATTTTGAAGCACAAAATGTGACAATGAAGACTGTGTACTGTTGCACACCTCAAGACATGTTTGCAGGAAGTATAGGACAAAATTAAACTCAAAACACTTCATCACGTGGTGTCCTAAAACCCTAAATGCCTTTAAAGTGTTGTGAAAAGGAATTGCAACATTACAAAGTGGTAAATGCTTTACTGGTCCAACTTTTTCAATGTGTTGCAAGAACCAAAATTGGGATACGTGTTAATAAAAAAAGTCTTGAGAAACACATTAAATAATGTTTATTGTATTATCTACAACAAAATACAAGTTAAAGTAATTTTAGTAATCACTACTAATCGAAATCCCAATAGTGGAAGTTTTTCACATAGCATTTCTATTTCTTCCCTCGCGGAACAAGAGTTGTTTTCTAACCTTAATCATGCTTGCTCTTATCTGTTAATGTTTCCTTTAGATCAAATGGATATAAAAGAAGACTGTGCACCCAATCATCAGTCTAGGATGCATTTCACAGACCAACCGAGCCTAAAGATTCACACTGGAGAGTCTGGAGAGCCTTTCACCTGCAAACAGTGTGGAGAGATTTTTACAACAAACCAAAGCCATGAATGTCACACAATGATTCACAACGGAGAACAAACTTTTATTTGTTCAGAGTGTGGAAAGAGTTTTACACAAATGCGGTATCTTAAAAATCACATGAAGATTCACTCCGGAGATCACCCCTTCACTTGTCCCGAGTGTGATAAGTGTTTCACAGTGAAACAAAGCCTTGAAACTCACTTGAAAATTCACACTGGGGAAAAGCCATTCATCTGCCCTTACTGTGGAAAGAATTTCAGAATAAAGCATAGCCTGGAGGGCCACATGAGGATTCACACAGGAGAGAAACCTTACCCGTGCCAAGTGTGTGGAAAGAGTTTTAGAGAGAAACAAAGTCTTGAAAAGCACTTGACGATTCACACTGGAGAAAAGCCTTACTCCTGCCCTGAGTGTGGAAAGAGTTTCAGAGTGAAAAATTGCCTTGAAAATCACATCAAAATTCATACTGGAGAGAAACCTTACACATGCCAAGAGTGTGGAAAGAGTTTCACAGAGAAACAAAACCTTAAAAGGCACATGAGAATTCACACTGGAGAAAAGCCTTTCACTTGCTCTCACTGTGGAAAAAGTTTCCGAGTTAGTAAAGATCTTAAAATTCATGTAAGAATTCACACTGGAGAAAAGCCTTTCTCCTGCCAACAGTGTGGAAAAAGTTTTTCAGAGAACAAGAAACTTACAAGTCACATGAGAATTCACACTGGAGAAAAGCCTTTCGTCTGCTCTCATTGCGGAAAGAGATTCAGGGGCAAACAAAACCTTGAAAGCCACATAAGACTTCATACTGGAGAAAAGCGTTACACCTGCCCTCAGTGTGGAAAGAGTTATAATGAACAAAAAAGCCTTGAGAATCACATTAGGTCTCACACCGGAGAGAAACCTTTCGCTTGCGATCAGTGTGGAAAGAGTTTCAGGCAACAAAGAATCCTTAAGGGTCACATTAGGATTCACACTGGAGAGAAACCTTTCACTTGCCCTCAGTGCGGGAAGAGTTTTATAGAGAAAACGAAACTGGAGAGGCACAAGAAAATTCACTCTGGAGAAAAGCCTTACACTTGCCATCACTGTAAAAAGAGTTTCACGATGAAGCAAAGCCTGGACATTCACATGAGAATTCACACCGGAGAAAAGCTTTACACCTGCCAACAGTGTGGAAAGAGTTTTGCATTGAAACAGAGGCTCATATCCCACATGAAAGTTCATACCGGAGAGAAGCCTTACACGTGCCTACAGTGTGGAAAGGGTTTCAGAGAGAAACAGTCCCTCGACATTCACAACAGAATTCACACTGGACAAAACCCTTTCACTTGTTCTCAGTGTGGGAAGAGTTTCAGAGTGAAACAGAAGCTTGTTTCCCACATGAGAGTTCACACTGAAGAGAAGCCTGCTCCTGGCGTGGAAGTAGTTTTAGAATGAAACAAGGCTTTGAAAAGGTTTCATATGAACACACTGGGCGCAGTAAATAAAAAATAAAAACTTCACATTGCCTGTGCTCAATGAGGGATATGTATATATTTGCATGTTGTTAAAAAAAAACACTATGAGTTGCAAGCTCAAACTATACTTTTTTGTGCCCGGATGTTAGTGTATTTGCACAGTTGAACAGTTCCTAATATTCTCCATTTAACGACACTTCATAGTTTCATCCTTATCCAGTGTCTACCTTGTTTCTCTCTAGAAGTTATAAGCCCTTGCAATAAACACTTAAAATGACAGATTCAATTAAAATATTTGATTATTTATAAGTGACAGATAACCAACTCTGCGTTTTTATTCTTCCTCTATTGCTAAGATGAGGAATTGCAGGTTTTCATCTATGCATTTGTTGAGGGCATTTTCTAGCTATTTTCAAGCTGTTTCATATTTAGCTCCAAGAGTTGTTTTTTAGAAACAGTTTGTCATGTCCAGAAGTTCCAGATGTAGCCAGCAATGTAGTCTATTTCACATTCCTACCATATTGTGCTCCACACTCCAGTCCAGTGGCAGGAATGTATTTTAAAGTTAGTCTGCCAACCTCCAAAATTACACAAACACCTGAAGAAGATGACGCAATATAACAAATGAAGACGCTAAGCTCCAGCTCAATAAAATGTAAGATAAAAGCTATTGGTGTAATAAACATTATTTAAAATAACAATGTAATATATACAACCCCAAATCAAAAAAAGTTGGGACAGTATGAAAAACGCAAATAAAACAAAGTAATAATCTCAAAATTTACTTTGACTTCTATTTCATTGCAGACAATATGAACAAATTATTTCATGTTTTGTCTGGTCAACTTCATTTCATTTGTAAATATTCTTTTCTGTCATTCAGACCAACAAAACATTCGAAAGAAAGTTGAGTCAGGGGCAGTTTAGGGCTAGTAATCAGGTAAATTGGTTAATTAATGTTGTGATTTGTAACTGGTGATGTCAACAGGTGATTGTAATTATGATTTTGTACAAAAGCATCATCCAAATCTTTCATTATCCCAAGGATCGCTAGTTTGTCAACAAATATGTGAGGAAATTATTGAAGAAAGAAACAAGAAAGACTAAGAAAGGCTGGAAGACATTTGGTTATTTTCCCTTCAATAGTGCATGACATGAATAAAAAATTCGAGAAATCCTGAAGAATTTCAATGCATAAAGGACAAGGGCGCAAACCTAAGCTGAACAACTTTGATCTCCGATACCTCAGGTGGCACTGCATCAAGAATCTTCATTCATCTATAAACGATATCACCACATGAGCTCAGGACTACTTTGTCAAGTACCACAATACATAGTTACATTCACAAATGCTAGATAAAACCATACTGGTGCCAAAAGGAAGCCCTATGTTAACAGTATCCAATGTTGACTTCTCTGGGCTTGGAGGCATCTGGTAGCCCATCACACAGTGGAAACATGTACTGTGGTCAGATTAATTCATATTTCAGGTATTATTTTTAGTAATGGACACTGTGTGCTCCAGACCAAAGAAGAAAAGGATCATCCAGACTAGCCGCGTTTCCACTATCGCGCCTAAAGCGAGCGAGCCAGGGCGAGCCAAGGCCAGTGGGGTTTCCACTGTCACTTCCGGGGCCTAATCGGGCCAAAGCGGGGCTTTCTTGGGGCCAGCGGCCGGCCTTTTTCGGCCCGCCGAATACCTTGGGCCAAGGAGGGCCAGCTGGGGCTTCGGGGCGGAGTGAAAGAAGAGGCGGGCAGTTTTCTGATCGCACATGAGTACATGCGCCAAACAAATAAAGAAATAAGGGAAAGAAAACATCTAGCCTTATAGTCTGGGGTCTTTTTGCGTATGATCACCCTTATGTTTCGCTTTTAAATGTAAGGCTGCTGCATAAAATAATAAAGTAGTTTTAATTTATAGTGACGTTTTTTGCTGCGTCCTGCTTTGTTTCAATAACGCATAATAATCAATACACCATATTAAAGACACAGCAGACAGTAAAGGTTTTCGAGAGTTTTTGTCAAGTTTAAAATGTTTGTTTGTGCGCGTTTAATGCCTGTATGTGTGTGTGAGACTAGGCAAGAGCGCTCCTTCACAGCTCTGTTATGCCGCGAGCGGCTTTTTTCTTTCTTTATTTTGGAGATAATACACAATATAATTACAACAGAAGGACATAAAACTTAACAAAATACGTGCCCACTTTCGTAGACTTTAAACAATATAGTGTCATATCTTGATAAAATAGCCTAAGCTATAATGAAATATAATTTAAAGAATTACAAATATCGGATAAATATAAAATCACATTAAATAAATAAACCAATATAAAATAAACAAAAGCTAGCTATATGTAGGTAGCCTATATACAATACATAAATCGAGCCGTTTTAAAGCATATAGCCTATAACTTTCATTTTACAAAGACCTGTCTGAAAAAAAAAAAAAGATTTTCGATATTTTATAAAAACAATTAACACCGGAGAAGGTTTGAAATATTATTTATAAGTTTTATAAGTTATTTTATAAAATAATTTTATAAAATTATTTTATAAGTATTTGGATACGATGATATAAATCAAATCGCGCAAACGGAGCATTATTTGGGTGAGTGAAAGCAGAATCTCCTATACCTTTTTTTCTGTCACCCAGTCATGCGCAGCGCTCGCTGCTTTAAACGCATATGGGGGAAAGCCCACACACAAAATGTGTTCTATATACTCAAACAACTGTTTATGTTTTTATATGACGTGGTTAAATTTATAAATGAAACTTTAAATAAAGAGCTTTAGTGAATAGCTGCCGAGCGCAACAAATATGGCTATATTATATAAGGCTACTCGCTCTTATGCTGAAACACTTAACACGACTTCTATCAAAACGAGGATGTTATAAAATACATGCCATATCGAGTTATAAAGGAGAATTTCTGTGGCTTTATATTATGGATGTGTGCGCTCTCTGTGATGGGTCCCTGCGTTCGGCGAGAGCAGTCGAAGCACAATGCCAGTTGGTCGGCGAGTAAACAAATGTAATGAATGGAAATACACAGGTCTGTGCGTATAGACATTTCATGTACTGCTGAACAGTAACGTGTCATTTGTTTGTTTCGGATGTCTTCATTTTAATGGTTTCGTTTCGTGATGATTCTATGGTGTGCTTTATCTGCCTCATTCCCGCTGGAGTGGGCGGGTTGTGTGACGTTTGATTCGGGGACGTTCTGGGGGCGGTGTTTGCGTGACGCGCTGTGAGCTACTAGCCCGTCAGTGGAAACGCGACATGATTTCGGCCTCATTTCTCAACCTCCCGGGCTATTGGCCCGGCCCGGCCCGATTAAAGCCCTGGCTCGCACTGGCCCGATAGTGGAAATGCGGCTACTGTTACCAGCAACAAGTCCAAAAGCCATGGTTTGTAATGGTCAAGTGCCCTTGGCAAAACTAACTTCCACGTTTCTGATGGCACCATTAATGCTGAAAAGTACATAGAGATTTTGGAGCACAATATGCTGCCTTCTTTTCCAGGGACGCCCATGCATATTTCAACAAGACAATTCAAAACCACATTCTGCACACATTAGTCCTGGCTAAAGAGAATACTTTACTGGCCTGCCTGCATTCCTAACCTGTCCCCAATAGAGAATGTAGGGTGTATTTTGAAGCACAAAATGTGACAATGAAGACTCTGTTGGCCATCCTTATCTTGTTTGCAGGTCTCTCAATGTATTTTAAATGTTGTGAAAAGGAATGGCAACATTACAAAGTGGTAAATTCTCTACTGTTCTAAATTTTTACAATGTTGCAAGAACCAAAATTGGAACATGGAATGTGTTTATTTTGGAAAAAAACTATAAAATTCATGAGCAACACATTAAATAATGTTTGTTGTATTGTCTGCAGTGAAATAGAAGTCGATGTAAATTTAGAAATCACAATTTTTTTCTGTTTTCCATACTGTCCCAACTTTTTTCGAGTTTGGGTTTGTAAATTAAGGAGACCCTTTATTATGCAAACATTTTTATTTAAACCCAGTTGTATTGCAGCAGTCAGTGAATACAACCAGCTTCTCATGTAAACATTTATTCATTTTTTTTTTATAATCACACTTCATAAAACAGGCTCTAAAACAACCTAATTGACATTCTCCCTTTGTAGTGTCATGAGAGGGTGTAAGCCCCGCCGATTAGTGAGGATCTTTACCTCATTAGCATATGATATTAGTCTTGTTTTTGAATCTGCTGCTTTGGTGACCCATAGTTCTTTGTAGCTCCACCCCGGTATGCTGGCAGCACAATTCCATTTAAGTTTAAAGCGACAGTCACCAAAATGGCAGTATTAGGATCAAAGACTGAAAGGGGCTGCTTCAAAGAGTTATAAAACATAACTTGTGGGGTACTGAAACGTCACACACACACTGTACATCAGAGACTCATTTTACATCTTGCAGAAACGGGCATGATAGGTTCTCTTTAAAGCCTGAAGCAGCATGGACATTCTCAACACTGACACGGAAGGCTTTTCAATCCACTAATCACCTACATTTACCACACTTTTACTGTTAAACTTACTGTAACTGTGGTATTGTATCTGAAATGTAAATCATTTATAGTTGTATTCCATCCTTTCTTTAATAAAAAATAATAAATAAAAAGTGCAGTCATTTTTGTTAATAATATATAGCAGTTTTCTTTTGTACATTAGGCTACTATTTTTTTCTAACAAATACCAGTTTTACTGAACATGATCTAAAGTATTATGGGGTGTTTTTTTTAATGAAATTTAAAAATAAATCAATTTTACCTTTTAGAAAAACAGGCTAAATGTTTAACTGTTTTTAATAATGAATATAAACATCTTTATCCCTTTTAGTTATGTAGTTTTTAGTTACTGTAGCCTACTCCAAAAATCATTAAGATAAATCAAAGGAATGCATTTAAATATGATCCAAAATAAAACTGGTATAGAAAGCAAATAAAAGGAGAGAAGAAGTCATCACCGGTAGATTGAGGATTGGTCATAGACTAAATAAGATTTTATCGGAAAGTGTCCTACTGAATTATGTAATAAATGGCAGGTGGAAGGATACATGAGTTTAAAGATCAGCTTTGTGAAATTGACATAGGAGAATATCATTTTAAAAATATAATGGAAAGTATAAGGTCAAGGAAGATATATATAAGAACGAAGACTAAGTGAAAACGGCAGATGGCAGTAAAGCAGCTTATGGATGCTAGCTGCCAAACTCCAAAGAAGAGGAAGAAAAACTGAGTCTACTCATAATAATATACTCATCTGAAGAGAATTGAAACATCTGGCGGAGAGCTGTCCATTGTCTGTCACACAGAAAGGAGCGCGCAGCATCGTTGCTGTCTGACACGCGCGACTCATTTGCGCGTCACATCCAATTTCAGTTACAAATCTTCGCGGTGACGTGCAACGACGTTTTTCGCAGATATTTTAGAAAAATAAAGCTTTAAGAGACCCAACTGTCTTCAGCTGTTGTGAAGGTGAGTTCTGCACTTTAATTGCCTTTTAAAATATGTGACTTATGTTATGACTGTAGATTAGTTGCGTTCTACCTGCCAACACTCCCGTTTTTCTCATATTTTACACCCATCTCCCGTCACTCTCCCGTTAATTCTCGGCGAAAACTCCGGTAATTCCCCCCTCCCTCTCCCAGTTCTCATCTTTTTGGTACATTCGCCAATAATAGTCTCCCGGTCGTCAACTCGTATCCGATCGCTGCTGCCCGAAACCCACAACCCCCTCGGGTCCTAACTTTTCTTACACAGAAGAACCCCCACCCCGCAGGCAAATGATGGCAGGTATGATTTAATTGTGTATGCTAATTTGGCCAGCTTGGAATTTTTGTTCTTGATTTAAACGAAAAACAAGGAAACAATTAAAAACTAAGAATAAAAATAGAAGGTATAAAAGTGTAATAACTGATGTGTTTACCACTTATTAAAAATATCAAGCTCATGTTATTCTACTGTTTTTTTTTTTTGTTAGGAATAATAATTTATGCAGTCATGCACATGTTTTGACATAATATGCCGGTGGTTTAATGCTTCGTAAAAGTTGCAAACACCTTTACTTATATCAAAACGCAATTTTTGATGCTAAATTTAATTAAACAGCCAGTTATTCCTTACGCCAATTAAGAAACATGAATAGGCATAGGCTACTATAATAAAGAAAATTGGCTCTAAATCTGAAACTAAATAAATTGCTAACTCGACACAGCGAAAGTGTAAAACCTGCAGAACGCAACAAATGTGGAAAATTGTTGTGTATCATATTTAACAAATTACTACGAATTTGATGTAATTTTGCTCACATGGATAATTGAATATTAATCAGATGATGTCATTACGCTGCTGTGCCATCAGCCAATCGTTGCATTACTGATCATGATTTTGCGGATCAATATATCTGTCCTTTACAACACATGCAGTGATCTCAGATCGGTTCATCCAGACATTTTAATCTGATTCACAAACCTGTTTGAAGAACCAAATTAAGACCTTAAGAGATCATTTATGAAGATTAAAAGATCCCGGATATCTGCCAAATCATCTTAGATAATTTAAGCAAGGTATGAAGAAAGGACCCCAGGTCCTGAAGCAGCAAAACAGCCCCAGACCATCACACCACCACCACATTTTACTGTTGGTATGTTGTTGTTTTTTTTCTGAAATGCTGTTACTTTTACCAAGGGTGACAATTAGCAAGGCCGAGTAGACGTGTCCTCACCAATATCCACTGATTATTGAAAGTTCGCCACCAATAATTGAATCATCTCCTAAATAATATAATGCTCCGTCAACTGTCATTAACGCGTATGTACTGAAACATCTATAATCTTTACTCAAGTGCTACCTCCCCCAAACACATATTGACAGTGTGATTGACAAATCATAAAATCATCTACATTTGCAGCATGAGACATGCTTGATTCAATGTTATTTCTAATTCTTAATTAGATTAATTCTAATTCTCTTAATAATTTCTTAATTATTTAATTCATTTAATAATGTTTTAATACCATGAAATAGAACGTGCTGTTTTATTTATGCTCTCAGAAAACGAACAAAAAAATTACGTCATTTTTTAGCTTAAGGTACATGCATATAATGGTGTATATTTGCAAACATGTGTTCAGATGCGGAGCTAAGTGATTCTGCACAAGTAAACCCTCAGTAAACGTAAGTCTTTATTAGAAGACTTTTTGGTCAGAAATGCCTTTAAATTAGATCCCCACCAATATCAAAATTAAATCGATGCCCTTGACTTGCCATCTTCCTGCCTAAACCACGGCGAATGAAGCTCTGCACAAGACTTTTGGCCAGCGGAGAAATTAAAATGGTCGTGCCCAACTGAGTCTGGTTCCCTCAAGGTTTTTTTTCTTCACTCCCATCAGGTGAAGTTTTTTTTCCCTCTCCGCTGTCGCCACTGCCTCGCATGGTTCAGGATTGGTAGAGCTACGCATCGATGAATTGGCTCTTCAGTGTTTGAACTCTCAGTAATGATTAAATCACAATGAACTGAGCTAAACTGAACTGAACTGAACTTAAACACTAAAACCTGAACCACACTGTTCCAGTTACTATGACCATTTATGTGAAGCTGCTTTGACACAATCTACATTGTAAAAGCGCTATACAAATAAAGCTGAATTGAATTGAATTGAATTGACTTTTACGCCACACATCATGTGACACATACCATCTTAAAAGTTCAACTTTTCTCTCATCAGTTCACAAAGTATTTTCCCAAAAGTCTTGATCATCAAGATGTTTTCTGGCAAAAATGAGACCAGGCATTATGTTATTTTTGCTCAGCAATGGTTTTCGTTTTTCCCAGTCTTTTTCTTATGGTGGAGTCATGAACACTCACCTTAACTGGGGCAAGTAAGGCCTGCAGCTCTTTGAATGTTGTTGTGGGGTCTTTTGTGACCTATTGGAAAAGTTTTTGACTTTGCTCTTGGGTTAATTTTGGTTGGCCAGCCACATCTGGGAAGATTCTCTACTGTTCCATGTTTTTGCCATTGGTAGATAATGGCTCTCATTAGCCACATTTCCACTGTCAGTGCAAACCAGGGCTTTTATCTGGCTGGGCCAGGCCAATAGTCCAGGAGCTTGAGCAGTGAGGCTGGAATTATGTCGTGTTTCCACTGTTTGTCCAATAGCTCGCTATCTAGATGAGCACCTTCATGCTCAAAAACACCTTTTAAACCTGAGAAATACTCTCGACAACTGATAGTTACTGGCTGCTGTGTCTTTGGGCACATGTACTCACATGAGATCGAAAAACTAGTAAAATGATGGCTGACCATCTTTACCAGACTCAAGCAAACTTCGCCTTTGCTTTCACTCTGCCCCAGCGGGCCCTCTTTAGTTCAAGGTATTTGGCAGGCCAAAAAAGGCTGGCTGCTTGCCCAGAGGAAGCCCTGCTTTGGCCTGATGAGTCCCTGAAAGTGACTGTGGACATACGACTGGCCCTGGCTTGCACTGGCATGCTCTCTTTAAGTGTGAGAGAAGAAATGTGGCTTTTGTGGACCGGCAAGGTGGCTCAGTGGCCTCTGGGCTTTCAGTTTCCCCCTAATCTAAAGACACACGTTATAGTCGCCTTCAGCCGCTCTTCAATACCGGTCACCCCCACCCCCGCTTCTCAGTATGCCAAAAATGATAGAATTGATAAAAGACAAAATTTTAGGACAATGCCATATATAAAGCAATCGCTTGAATTTCCACAGCAAAACCTTATGAAGTGAATTATAACCTGGTCTGCTGTAAATTATCATCTCTGACAAATCTGTCATGGTTGACATGATACCACACTCGCTGTTCAGCTAGTTTTTACTTCTGATTGGTCACCTTCAGATAGGTAGGCTCGTTTCACACCTCAGGAATTTTAGCCGACAGCTCCCAAATTTTTTTTACACGTTTGTAACTTTCACACGGTACAAGCCACGACCATACAAGCATACAAGATTTTCACACAACTTCTCCCAATAAGAAAAATGCTTACAAGCTCATACCACAGCAAAAATGCACCATGTACGCCTTTAGATGGTGCAGTATTTTGAGATATTATTTTAAGATACTTAAATTTCCCACTCTGTGTCAAACATATCAGATGTTGTTTTTCAAGGATAGGGTGAAATACATTTTTAAAACAAGGCTGTGTTGTCGCCCAGTAAAAATCTGCCTTTGAATTATTATTAAACAATTACCTCAGTTATCTAACCTTAATTGTAATTGCTCTTATATGTTAACGCTTAGATCAAATGGATATAAAAGAAGAAGACTGTGCACCCAATCATGAGTCTGGGATGCATTTCACTGAACAACCGAGCCTAAAGATTCACACTGGAGAGTCTGGAGAGCCTTTCACCTGCAAACAGCGTGGAGAGATTTTAACAACAAACCAAAGCCTTGAAAGTCACACAGTGATTCACACTGGGGATCAAAATTTTAATTGTGTAGTGTGTGGAAAGAGTTTCACACAAAGGCGGTATCTTAAAAATCACATGAAGATTCATACTGGAGATCACCCCTTCACTTGTCCGGAGTGTGATAAGTGTTTCACAGTGAAACAAAGCCTTGAAACTCATTTGAAAATTCACACCGGAGAAAAGCCATTTATCTGCCCTGACTGTGGAAAAAAATTCAGAATAAAGCATAGCCTGGAGGGCCACATGAGGATTCACACCGGGGAGAAACCTTACACATGCCAAGAATGTGGGAAGCGTTTCACAGAGAAACAAACCCTCGACAAGCACTTGACGATTCACACTGGAGAAAAGCCTTACTCCTGCCCTGAGTGTGGAAAGAGTTTCAGGGTAAAATTTTGCCTTGAAAACCACATCAAAATTCACACCGGAGAGAAACCTTACACATGCCAAGAGTGTGGAAAGAGTTTCACAGAGAAACAAAACCTAGAAAGGCACATGAGAATTCACACTGGAGAAAAGCCTTTCGCCTGCCCCGAGTGTGGAAGAAGTTTCAGAGTGAAACAAGATCTTAAAAGTCACGTGAGAATTCACACTGGAGAAAAGCCTTTCTCCTGCCAACAGTGTGGAAAAAGTTTCTCAGAGAACAAGACACTTGAAAGTCACATGAGAATTCACACCGGAGAAAAGCCTTTCGTCTGCTCTCATTGCGGAAGGAGATTTAGAGGGAAACAAAACCTTGAAAGCCACATGAGACTTCACACCGGAGAAAAGCGTTACACCTGCCCTCAGTGTGGAAAGAGTTATAATGAACAAAAAAGCCTTCAGATTCACATTAGGACTCACACCGGAGAGAAACCTTTTGCTTGCGATGAGTGTGGAAAGAGTTTCAGGCAACAAAGTACACTTAGGGGTCACATTAAGATTCACACCGGAGAAAAACCTTTCACTTGCCCTCAGTGTGGAAAGAGTTTTATAGAGAAAACAAAACTGGAGAGGCACAAGAAAATCCACTCTGGAGAAAAGCCGTTCGATTGCCATCACTGTAAAAAGAGTTTCACGATGAAGCAAAGCCTGGACATTCACATGAGAATTCACACCGGAGAAAAGCTTTACACCTGCCAACAGTGTGGAAAGAGTTTTACAGTGAAACACAAACTTGAAAGGCACATGACAGTTCATACCGGAGAGAAGCCGTACACATGCCAACAGAGTTTCAGAGAGAAACCGGGGCTCGTATCCCACATTAAAGTTCACACTGAAGAGAAGCCTGAACCTGAAGTGGAAGTAGTTTTAGAATGAAATAAGGCCTCGAAGAAGTTACATAAGAACACACTAGGTGCATGAAACTTCACATTACCTGTGCTCAATGGAGGATATTTATATAATTTGCATGCTGTTTAAAAAAAAATGCTGTTAAATTCGGAGTTGCAAGCCCAAACTCTACTTTTTTCCCGGATGTTAGTGTATGCGCACAGTTGAACACAGCTCTGTTCATATTCTTCATTCAACGACACTTCGTAGTTTCATAAAAATGTATTTGAACTCGTTCCAAGTTGCAATATAGTTTTTACCCACTTACATAAGTGTTAAACTAAGTTTACGCAACAAGGATCGTTACGTATTGAGTGTAATATTTGTAACAAAGCTAGCGTTTTGGAAGTGCTCTTGCAAAGCAACACAAACAGCACGCAGAAGTATATATGCATGACTATGCGCAAGGCAGGTGCCATTGGTCATGCCGATCACTCGACGCAGAAGTATAAATCAAGAGTACAAATTTATTGGGACCCATACAGTCCCATACGGAAAAATTATGTACGCAATATATATATATATATATATATATATATATATATATATATATATATATATATAGCTATAACTGTAGCTAATGTATTTTAAGCCTACAGTCAAGTACATGAATATTAAGACATTGACACAACTATAACATTTTTAGCTCTGTACGCCAACAAAATAGATTAAAATAAAATAGATTTAAAGTAAAACAAAGATGTGCTTTAACTGCAGACTGTCAGCTTTAATTCGAGGGAATTTACGTCCAAATCAGGTGAACGCTGTAGAAAATACAACAGTTTGCATAGGTGCCTCCCATTTGTCAAGGGACCAAAAGTAATGGGACAGAATAATAATCATGAATCAAACTTTCACTATTTAGCACTTATTCATTGTTGCTCTTAAAGTTGTATAAATTGCTTCCTTGTCCTCATTTGTAAGTCGCTTTGGATAAAAGCGTCTGCTAAATGACTAAATGTAAAATGTAATATTTGGTTGCAAATCCTTTGCAGTCAATTACAGCCTGAAGTCTAGAACGCATGGACATCACCAGATGCTGGGTTTTATCACTGGTGATGCTCTGGTCTTCAGCAAGTGAAATTCATGCTCAATCGGATTCAGATCAGGTGATTGACTTGGCCATTGCCAATTATAATTTTACAAGCGATGTCAATATATTGATTTCTGTGCATTATTTTTCTATCCATGACCTTGTTACTTCAGGCGGGAATTTGATCCCATACGTTATAAATACAGCAAATGGACAATATTAGAGCTGTGTTGATAAAGGAGAAGGACACCGTTTTTGACTCTACTGAAGGCTAGCATGCAAGTGTTGTGGATTTTACAGTATGTGGATAATGTATTTATGGTATAAACTTTATGCATATTTATGAACACTAAGAAAAATGGATTTGATTAACTGTTTATTCATTAGAACCAAATAAAGGTCATGTTTGTATTTACAGTTGTTTGCACATTTTAAATGCGGTCATCATCCATCAATGGCTTAATATCTGTAGGACAGTAAATGTGATGTGGTTTACGTTGTTGGTCCTGATCTTAAATTGTACAGATGCTAAATAAAAAATTGTTATTAAATTTCAAAATCTTGCCTTTTTTTGTCAGTAAATGTGGTGTGCATGTTAATGTTGACCCCTGTCTTGCATTCTATATGCAAAAATATATGCCGTTTTCACAAAGTGTGCTTCTAAAGGTGTACTAGGTTGTATGTTATATTATTTTATTATTATTATTATATTTTTTGTACATTTAATATTATTATATTTGTATTATTATTTATTATGTTTAAATTTGATTTTATAGGACAGAGAGATGAGATGCAAGGGATGCAAAGAACTTTGAGTTGGGACTCAAACTCGGGTCACTGTGAACATGGATAGCGCTATGTGTTGACGCAATAACCACCAGGCTATTGGGGTAAACAAAAAAATAAACTGCATTGCTGTAATGTTACAGCTACTGATATACTGCAATACACTATCTAATCTAGTCATATTGGTGTAAATTAACAGCAAACATAATACATCGTATTACATCATATAGATGCCTTAATATCTGTGATTCTGTCACTCCGCACACGCCAAGTCACCCTCAGTGAATGGATGATTACATTTACATTTCTACAGTTACACACAATCGATTTGTGTTGGGACAACATAAAGCGATCATGTTAACATACTAGTTTTTACAAATTAAAATGAGTTTTAAAGTTGCTCAAGATTTGTGTTGTTTCAACTCACTTTTAGTAAATACTTTTGAACTATCAACAAAACAATTTTCTGAGTGTATGTATATGTCATATGCTGCTATCCAAAACACGACTGTTATGTTACTGTTTAAATCTGATACTGTGGTTTCTTTTACAGAGAAAAAGTGCAAGAGAGAGATACGGCTATTAAATAATCAGCTTTACTTTGGTGATTTGCATTGATTTACATTGTGCGCTTTGTTTATATTGTGTCAGAAAACATAGTGGAATGCAACTCGCCATGATGTAGCTTCCCATTCATTCTCTGTATGTATGTATAATGTATAAGGAAAAGACGAAAGGTTTCATTCAGTGGATGACCCGTGTTACCACCTAGCTTTTGCTCATTCTGTGATTATTTAAGGGAAAAATATGAATAAAAATTTGTGAAATATTATTTTGATTTAGGTCGCTGGTTCAAGTCCTGCTGGGTCAGTTGGCGTTTCTGTGTGGAGTTTGCATGTTCTCCCCGTGTTTACGTGAGTTTCTTCTGGGTGCTCCGGTTTCCCCCACAGTCCAAAGACATGCGCTATAGGTGAATTGGGTAAGCTAAGTTGTCCGTAGTGTATGAGTGTGAATGAGAGTGTATGGGTGTTTCCCAGTGATGGGTTGCAATGGGAAGGGCATTCGCTGTGTAAAACGTGCTGGATAAGTTGGCGGTTCATTCCGCTGTGACCCCTGATAAATATAGAGACTAAGCCGAAAAGAAAAGTAATGAATGAACAAACATAGATAGGTTAGCAACAATTTAGCAAACATTTATAAATGTTTAATGGTTGAATTGGTTCAACAATGGTTGCTGGTATGTCAAATAATACAACTAATCTACTTTGAATAACATGTTAAAATTTATTTTAGAAAATTATTAGCTGCTGTTGTTTATATTTATATAAAATATATGTTTTATTTTGTCCAATGAGTATGTTCTCATGTCACACTCAGTGTGTCCAAGTGTGTAGTGAACCGAGCCCATCAGTGCCCTTACTAGTGGTCGAATTTGTGCACATGTCCTACTGATGAACGACCTCGGGAGCTTGGAAGCTGATTGAAACACACCTCATGTTAACAGTGTTTATTTCCCCATTTGTCTTTCCTATAGATGAATTACCAGCCTACATCACGCATGACGTCACAAGGGTTCAACTGCGCATACCGGTTGCAAAAGACAAACAGAAAACATGTCGTGTTGTGCAGTAGAATGCCAAAATCGAAAATCAAAAAATAGAAAATTTTATCGATTTTATCACATATCACCTACCTACACTGCTTTTAATGCCAACCGCAGACGTCTTCAGCTAACAGCCATTAAAAGAGCTGAATGGAGTGAGGACCTAATTGAAAATGCTCGACTATGCAGTTCTCATTTTATATCAGGTAAGTTCACGTTATGCTGACTCATACACATTACTTGATTTTGACTTTAAACGACAAACATTTATGTAAATAATGAGTCATATGCTTCTCTGATGAAAGAACACTGTACAGTTATAAAAGCTTAAGATGAGCTAACGTTAACTACCTAGCTTGTTGTTTTGCTAGTTAGTCTGGTGCCAACGGCTAGCTATTGTTTTCAAGTAAATAAAACAACAATAAAATGTTTTTGGCAAACTGCAATTTGTAAGTTTAAACCACTCAGCACCACAGTTCACATAATACAGAAAAACACTGGAATGTTTTCCCATTAAAGAACGAAATCACATCTTGGATGGCAAAGGCATGAATAAATAATGTATTTTCTTATTCTAGATATAAACTGATCTTTAAAAGGAAAAGATTACAAAAAAGTGAAAATTTATTCTCACTATTTACTCTCCTCAAGTGGTTTCAAATACTGTGGAGGTCAATGGTTACAGGTTTCCAATATTTTTCCAAATATCTTCTTTTGTGTCCAACTGAAGAACGGCACTCATAAAGGTTTGACACAAGTAAAGGGCTGAGTAAATGATGACAGAATTTAGATTTTTGGGTGAAGTCATCCTTTAAGACAGGGGGCATCAAAAGTTTTCTCAGACATGTCCCAGCTCCAATCCTACCCCTAATCAAGTTTTTACTAGCCATACATAAAAACTTCCAGGCACGTGTGTTGAGGCAAGTTCTTTAAGATAAGGCAAGTGCTTTAAGATATATTATCACTATTTTGCAGCCCACAATAAGAAAGGTTTATCTCTGACCGTGAGATGGCGCCAGTGTGTGATCCGGGCGGGGCGCCTCCACCATCATCATCATACGCTGCTAATGGTTACAGGCTGCTGGATTACTGCGTCTCTTGTCTTGCACCGTTAAGAAAAAAACAGCAATCGTGTTATAAATAACCCTACTGATATTTACTAATCATTCAGCCAACGGTAAGATTTTTTCCTCACAGATATTTTTCTTTTTCAACTGATTATTCTTCAAGAGCTTTTACGCTGTCGTGACGCGCTGGATGTAAACACTGGATGAATTCCATTGACTGCTATTCAATATAGCGAATTTATAGGCGAAATACTGTTTATTTGTTCGTTGTTTTTCAAGTTTTGGCTTTTATTCGACAAAGAAAATACATTTTGCTTTTGTTCTTTCAGTAGGGTACGATATTAGGCAACGTTTAAAAAATATGAATATTATAGCTCTAATATAATTATGGAGGCACCTCCCAATGCGCCCAGCCCGTGAGACTAGAGAGACGATATAATACGTAAAAATGCATTTTTTTTTCATTCAAAGAATCTACGAAATAAATTATAATTAACGGTTGTGTATTTGATATCAAATTAGTAGAAATGCACTTAATTTTTCATCTGTCACATTTAGTGCTCTGGCAGGTATTTCTTGTATGTTTCTTGTATTTGTATTCCTCTTCCGTTTATGCTTAACTTAATTATCAAGGCAAGCCCACCATTTCCGAGAAGCAGCGATCGATAAAGCTACTTAAGCTTTGCTAAATGTATGACAGGGATTGAGGAGGAATGCGAATTTTAAAAGGATATTGATTGATATAAATTGCTTTTTTTGTTCTTTGCATTTGGAAACTGTGGTTATGTTAAACTTTGGTATGATGCTTCTGTCTTTATAAAAAAATTATTATTTAATTTTAATTTGCGTTTTGAAAACGTAATGTTTGCATATTTTAATTATGATAATCTAAATAATGTTTTTGTTATTAATCTATGAATTTTGTTTTTTGTAATCATAAGCGAAAATTTTCAAAGAAAAAACCCTGCTTCACTTTGTTTTATAAAGAACTGATAAATGGCTTTTGTAGTATTCAACATATTGCTCATAGAAAAGCCATTAAAACTGTCCATTTGTGCTCTGTTTACTTCATTTTTTTGATTAATGTAAAGGTCCTGCTTGTTTGTTATTGTAAGAATTTTATTTCATTATTTATACTCTTGTTTTTTGTGTTTGTTTTATTTCTTTTATTTTTTGTACTGTTATTTTTTGTTAGTATTATTTACCTTCTATCACTGTGGCATTGTTTTGTTTGTTCTATTGTCATGTATTTGTTGTTTAATAATATTAATACATTTGTTTTTATAATTTGTTTTATTTCGGCTAGAATAAAAGCAGTTTTAAATTTTTTAAAAGCCATTTTAAGGACAAAATTATTAGCCCATTTAAGCTATTTTTTTCCTGATAGTCTACAGAACAAACCATCGGTATACAATAACTTGCCTAATTATCCTAACCTGCCTAGTTAACCTGATTAACCTAGTTAAGCCTTTAAATGTCACTTTAAGCGGTATAGAAGTGTCTTGAAAAATATCTAGTCATATTATTTACTGTCATCATGACAAAGATAAAATAAATCAGTTATTAATAATGTGTTGAAGAAATCTTCTCTCTGTTGAACAGAAATTGGGGGAAAAAATAAACAAGGGGGCTAATAATTCTGACTTCAACTGTATAGTTCCCTAGTGATTGTAACTGTATTCTGCTGTTTTCATCTTTCTGTTTTCTCAACAGTCTAAAAATGTTTTATACCTGCGGTCCCAATGAGGCAATGGTGGTGTCAGGTAAGACTAAATATCACCATGTGTCTATATATCCAGTAGAGAACATAAAAACATCTTAACCTGCATGACGTGACTTCAATTTCAGGTTTCTGCCGTTCTCCACCAGTCATGATCTCTGGTGGGAGAGTGTTTGTTTTTCCATGCGTCCAGCAGATTCAAAGGTATGATCCTCTCTGTGTGTCTGTTTGTATATTATTGCATGCATGGTTTTCATAACGAGTATGATCTTTTTCTATCTTTCTTTTCGATCTCAGGATCTCTCTGAATACTCTGACGCTGAATGTAAAAAGCGACAAAGTGTACACACGTCATGGAGTGCCCATCTCCGTCACTGGAATCGCACAGGTTAATAATTAACATGCACACACTCTCAAATAGGCTGCAAACATAATCTAAAGTTTAGGAAATTCGAAATGTTCTTTTGTTTATTTAAAATGTCCCAGATTGTCTTTTATTATATATATATATATATATATATATATATATATATATATATATATATATATATATATATATATATATATATATATATATATTTGAAATAGGCTCATTTACAGGTCACCTAGAGTTAAACAGTTGAGTTTTAGCATTTTTTTATCTATTTAGTCTTACTTTTGATCTGGTGGTAGCACTTTTAGCTTAGAGTAACGGAGGCTAGTGTGTGCTGTGCAGGTAAACCTCACTCCTCTGACCTCTAAAGGTGCTCTAGCGACAGACGCTAGAGGCCATGGTCTTTAGTCTCCTTGTTAGAGCAACCGACTCCCATGCGGAAGGTCACCGGTTCGATACCAGCTCGGAGCGGGTTGGGCGGTGTAGGACCGGTGGGGTTACATTGGTGCCGTGACCCGGATGGGAGTGAGGTTTAAGCCTGGTTTATACTTCTGCGTCAAGTGACCGGCGTAACCCACGGCGCATGCAACGCGCGTGGCTGTGCATTTATACTTCTGCGCGCTGTCTCTGTTGGTCTGCATTAACACTTCCGAAACGCTAGTTGGCAGTGAGGTGTAAATGTTCCTGTGTCGAGTTTCTTCGCTGCTTTTTTGCTTTTCCTGAACACTTCCGGGATGTACAAGTGGCTCAAACTCGCTCATTTTGAGGCAGGAACTGGCGGACGAGCAACAACTTTAACTATGAGGTAAACACAAAACAAAACTTTCCATCCCGAGCTCCTTCACGGGACTTCACACTTGTAAACAATCGCTACATTGGGTTCGCGGCATTTGTGCAGCTCCCGGTCCCGCCCCGACTCGTCAGCGCTACCAAGCCGACCAATCACAGAGCTTGCGCTACGCATCGTTGCGACGTGTAGTTACATTTTTTGAGAGGTGCACGTCAGTGACGGCCACGGCGAAGGGCTATGCGTCAGCACTGTAGCATACGCCGGTGTTTGACGCAGAAGTATAAATCAGCCTTAACGGGGGTGAGTGTAACGGAGGCCAGCTAGTGTGTACTGTGCAGGTAAACCTCACTCCTCTGACCTGTAAAGGTGCTCTAGCGACTGACACTAGAGGCCATGGTCTCTAGCCTCCTTGTTAGAGCACGCGACTCCCATGCGGAAGGTCGCCGGTTCGATACCAGCTCGGAGTGGGTTGGGTAGCGTAGGACTGGCGGGGTTACATTGTCTTAGCTAATAAATCATTGATTCGGATTAGAACATTAGCATCTGGCTCACAAAAAAAAAAAGTTTGGATAATTCTCCTATTTGAAGCTTCTGTACTATCTTCAGTAGTTCTATCATGTACCAAGACCAACGAAAATCGAAAAGTAAAGGGTCAAGCTGGAAAATTAACTTTTTCTTTTTGAGCGAGATGCTAATGGACTAATCTGATTCAATGAGCTAAGCTAAAAGTGCTCTGGAAATTGGCTGAATGGATTCAAAAATGGTAAAACTGAAATGTTTAACTCTAGGGGAGATGTAAAATGAGTCTATTTATGAAAAAAGTGGAGTGTTTCTTTAATCTTTCTGTAGATAGTCAGATGTTCTTGATTTTTATATGGACAAACAGAATTGTTTCTCTCCCTCAGATGAAGATTCAAGGACAGAATAAGCAGATGTTGGCTGCAGCGTGTCAGATGTTTTTGGGCAAGTCAGACAGTGAAATTGCCCACATCGCCTTGGAAACGCTGGAGGGCCACCAGAGAGCCATCATTGCTCACCTCACTGTGGAGGTAAATGCATACAGTGTGCAAACAGTGCTCATCATGCAAAAATATGGCACTCTGCGTATTTGGAATGGGTAATACAGCCAAATAAAACATCACTATAAAATATTTTGTTTCAAAAAGAAAGTACTGATATGTTTTATCGTACTTGGCAAGCTATTTTAGATCACATTAAAAAATAAACCCTTCGTTATTTTTGGAGTAGAACTTTCCCTGATCTCTCTCTTTCCTTCTCCTAATTCCTTTTGTATATTATTATTTATTTGTATTTTATTTTAATATTATAAATATATTTTAATAGAACCTAAATGTATATGCGTGCAACAAGTTTTATTTGTTTGTATATAATAAAGAAAAAGTTCAAAATCTGTATTGCATGTTTCATATACTTTTGAACACAAAATATATATATATATAAATTTTGTAGCAGTCAATATCAATGATTATCATGATCAATGTAAAATCTTTATTCATATCAAGTTTAAAGGCAGATTGTTTTATTTGAGTTTAGTTGAGTTTTGCCATTTTTGTATCCATTCAGCTGATCTCCAGGTCTGACTAGAGCACTTTTAGCTTCGCTTAGCATAAATGATTGAATTGGATTAGACCATTAGCATTTCGTTAAAAAAAAAAAAGTTTCAATATTTTTCCTGTGTAAAGGTGATAAAAATATCACAATAAAATATTCTGTATCAGTCGATATTGATGGTCATCATGATAAATGTAATTGGGATGGGAGAATAGACGTGATGGTAGTATCCAAGTAATAAAGGTGTAGGCGGGGGCTGTTGCGGGTTTGTGGTGTTACTAAATGAACCATTGACCATGCTCTAGCAGCGGGATTATACCAAAGTTGAGGAGTACCAAAAGGTTGAAATGTAATTATGGGAGTTTTCTGGAAGAAATAACAAAACGGCAGAGTGGCAGAAGATGAGTGTGAAATACAGGAGACTCGCGGAAAAAAACTGAAGTGTTGACAGGTATGGTTTAAAGGTCTTAACATTTTGAGTGAAAAGTAAACAAAAACAGTAAGCTTACTTTTGTGGCGCTTTGTCAGAACATCACAAACATGTCAACCAGATCAACATTTCACAAATCTGAGATATAATATTCACATTATTCATATTTAGAAAACTCGTATTGAAAGAAGTTTTTGTATATAAATCTTTAGGTGATCATAATCATAGGTTAAAATGTGCATATATCATCCCATTACCATGTTGTTACAACCTAACCAGTAACTAAGTGGTTTCTATGATAAACACTAGCCTGAATGCATTAATTATGAATACAAATCCATATGTAATGTAATGTGTATTTATATAGCGCATTTATTGTGTATGGCCATACACCCGAAGCGCTTCACAATCATGATGGGGGTCTCTCCACACCACCACCAGTGTGCAGCATCCACTTGGATGGTGCGACGGCAGCCACAGGACAACGGCGCCAGTGCGCTCACCACACCAGCTGTTGGAGGAGTGGAGAGACAGTGATAGAGCCAATTCGGTTGAAGGGGATGATTGGGAGGCCATGATCGGATAGAGGGACTTTGGCCAGGACACCGGGGTTACACCCCTGCTCTTTCACGATATGTTATAGCTTTATAATAATTATAACAATAATTAACTGTAATTATATTCCATGAATACATGTCTACATTAGTCATTTAATGCAGTGTAAATGTATATCTTCCAGTTCTGCCACAACTATGGTGCAGTTACTGGTTCTCCAATAAATTCACTGAATTATTATAAACATTATTCAGTGTAGTGACTTTAAAGTTCGCATGAACCGGACGCTGCGATTGTTATTTTTTTTCTGTATTGTGATGCAGTTACTAGGGAAACAGAATATTAAAAAAGAAAACAGTGGGCGTGGCTTGGACTGAATGGATGTAGTAAAGTAAACGTTTCATTCAGAAAGATCAGCAACTCACAGAATGGTAACTTCCACGTTGCTGGAGACGATGTAACAATTTTATGGCTGATTATTATCATATATTCTGGAATTGTCCAGCAATCCAATCTTATTGGTTAATGGTGGTCACTGAAATTGAATCAATACTGGGTTTTAAGATTGATCATAGCTTTGGTACTATATATTTACGAAACATACAAACCGATTTTAATGCACAAGACAAATACCTTCTCATAATACTATTAGTTGCTAGTAAAAAAGTAATAACCAAGAAATGGTTGGAAGAGATTCCACCAACAAAGGATGAGTGGATAACAATTGTAGATAATATGTTTGAAATGGAGAAACTCACCTTTTCTTTAAAACTAAACATGGATAAATGTTATAAAAATTGGTCAAAATTGTTTATATATAAGAATACAGAAAATATATAATTTGCTAGAAAATGCTTTGCAATGAGTTCGAACCCCCCTCCCCTTATTTATATTTTTATTTTTATTATTACTTTATTTTTTTCAATATATGTACATGTATATGTATATTATATATGTGTAATATTTAGTTTGGACCGCACATTACAGATTGTAAAAGGCTGAATCATATGGACTTGAAGGAAACTATGTTGGTGTTTATGCTTATAATACAGTACCTTTTACAGGTGGGTTGGGGTGGGGGCAAATGGGAGAGTAACCTGTACTATAAAACGACTGTATAAGAAGAATGAAAAAGTTGTATGTGATGCCTCTGCTGATCTGTTTGTTCCGTTTTGTTAAAACGAATAAAAAACAAAAGGAAAAAAAAAAAGGAAAGATCAGCAACAGGGTTTTGAAAGAATTATTACAACCTAACAGACGCCACCTTGTCACCATTTTTTTATTGTCAAAACTGACAGTTGAAGGGGCGTGGTTAAGTGTGTAAGCCATGCCCATTACCTCAAAATCACTTAATCTAAAAAATTAAACTGAAAACAAACAGGAAGTGCATTTTCAGATTTTAATTAAAGATTAGAAGGGCAAACTGTTTTTTTTCTTAATGACATGAAGAGATTAATTGTTCAACAAAAATCTGGCAATGTGAGCTAACAAAATCATGTTTAGTTTGATTTCTTGAGTACTTTAACACTTCTTTGACATCTTTAGGAGATCTACAAAGACCGCAAGAAGTTCTCCGAGCAGGTGTTCAAGGTGGCTTCATCTGACCTGGTGAACATGGGCATCAGTGTGGTCAGCTACACACTCAAAGACGTTCACGATGACCAGGTCTGTTAGCCCTATTTGTGTCACCGTGTTTATCAATTTCAGTATTTGAAGGGTTAGTTCACCTAAAAATGAACAATTACAAATTACCCTTATGTCGTTTCAATACCACAACTTTCATTCATCATTGTAACAAAATTTAAGATATTTTAGATCAAATCTTAGAGCTCCCTCATTCCTGTAGTAAACTTACACCCTGACCAAATGCGACAGATAGAGGCGAACAGGCCCGGATTGGCTAATCGGGAGGATCGGGAGAATTCCCGGTGGGCCGGTCCATTTTTTGGCCGCGAGGGCCGGTGTCCCTAGCTCCAGAATCTGTTGCTTACAGCAGTCACACTTTTAAATGAATGTATTTATTTACTTGACCACAGTCTTCTTATTCAATATTTTACCGCAGCTCTGCTCTTTTTATCTATTTTCTCGCAGCCTCGTGATCAACATGCAGCCTGCAGGTTGATTGTCATGTAACTGTTGTGGTCGAGTGGTTAGCACGTTAGGTTTCAACACCACCAACCCGGGTTTGATCCTCGTCTGAGTAATTTGTTTTTGCATTTTTATTGTTAAGACATAAAATACTGTCAGGGTTGTTGAACATTTGAAGTTCTAAAGCAGCTGTTTTCTCAAAAAAGACGTGATAGTTTAATTAGCAACTGAATTGGAAATGACCTTATTTCAATATAGTCAGTCGTGAACTGAGGTGGGCCGGTCTGAAGCTTGAAACTCCAGGGCTGAAAAGGAGTCCCACTCCGGCCCTGGAGGAGAACAAAGTCATATTTGCAGTTTTTGAGCACACAAAAGTGTTCTTGGAGCTTCATATGATTACAGCTGGATCACCGAAGTCACATGAAATGTTTCGACAAGGTTTTTAGTTTCTTTCTGCACTCTAGCCTAGTATTACTGCTGTCTGTGTAGGGTCAGAGAGCTCCAGGATTCATCTAAAGTATATTAATTTGTGTTCTGAAGAGGAACGAAGGTAATAGGAGTCGGAATGGAAGTAGTAGTGATCTGCACTCATATAAATATTTCATATTAATGGGTTTTTATTTTACTTGTTTTTTTCAGGAAAGAAAACCACAAAGGTTTCAGATCTTTAATTTACAATGTAGAAAACAATGACTGTATATTTTGATGATTTTAGTTGTTGGATTTTTCATTGTTATACAGTTTGGGTGATGGTGAAATAGAATAACTGATGATTACATGATTTTGTATGTGAGTTTTCTGAACAATCTATCCTTTTTCTTTAATGACGGTGATGTCTTTTTGAGGATGTGATACATCTCATGATCAATATTGTCCAATATGTATATGGAAGTAATATGACTCTTTAATGGTTGAAAATTGAATAATTAATGACTTAAAGGTGATTGAAGACTTTAAAGAGGGTGGAGGTAGTAAATGGTTTTTACACAGTGGGGAATGCCTTGAGTTTTGCTTAATGAAGAATGTAAAATAAAACCAAACTATTTAATATACTTGAAATAAGCTGCCAACAACCTAAACAAAGCAAGAGCGTGGTGCAGACCATATTATTAAACAACATGAAAGAAGATGAATATAATGAAACAATCCTTTATCATTGAATCAGATTAGACCATTAGCTTCTAGCTAAAAAAAAAAGTTTTAATAATTCTCCCATTTAAAGCTTGACCTGTCTGTAGATTCATCATACACTAAGACAGACAGAAAATAAAAAGTACAGGGTCAAGCTTTAAACAGGAAAATGATCGAAACTCTTTTTATTATTGAGTGAGATGCTAATGGTCTAATTCGATTCAATTGTTTATGCTTAGCTAACCATACTATTAAACAACAGGAGAGAAGACATTGTCATTTCTGGGTGAAATAATCCTTTAAATGGCTTAAAACCACGAGATGTGTTGAATCAAGTCTTTTTTTGTTGTTGTTCAGGATTACCTGCACTCTTTGGGAAAGGCCCGTACTGCACAAGTGCAGAAGGATGCTCGTATCGGTGAAGCTAAGAACAAAAGAGATGCAGTAATCAGGGTGAGACTTTCCTCTAAATACAGGCTACTTTCTAAATATCACCTCATAAGTATTTGATTATACCTCTTCATTTCTCACTTTCTCTTATAGGAGGCTCATGCTATGCAGGAGAAGGTGTCTGCTCAGTACATGAATGAGATCGAGATGGCTAAAGCGCAGAGAGACTACGAGCTGAAGAAGGCCATCTACGACATTGAGGTCTTCACCAAAAAAGCGGAATCTGAAATGGCCTATCAGCTCCAGGTAAAAACACAGAAAAGACTTTTGGTAGCCCTTTATGATCTAATAGACCTTCTAGTCCTTAAAACACATATTAGTAGGGCTCTATGGAATTCATTTGATTATTATTATTTGATTTCTTTTGGATACCGTTGCTCCATTTTCACTTTGTACTAAAATATATTTAGTAATCAAAAGTCATGTCCAGCGGCGACCCGGGTTCGATTCCGCCTCGCGGTCCTATGCTTCCCCTTTCTCTGCTCCCCATGCTTCCTGTCAATTCTCTCTACTGTACTATCAAAAATAAAGATGAAAATCCCGAAAAAATAATTATAAAAAAAAAAAAGTCATGTCCACTTTATTGTAAACAACAAATGATATAAAAGTCAACAAAATTGAAATTTTAGGAACCCTATAAAATGTTTTAAGTTTTTTTTTTACTCAAAGAGTTAGTTCACAAAAAACGAAAAAATACTCTATTTACATTCCCTTAAGTGGTTCCAGATCTTTATGAGTTTTTTCTGAGGAACACAAAAGAAGATAACCTGAAGTAAACTGAAAATACTCATACTAACACTCCAAATACTATGGAAGTCAATGGTTACAGGTTTCCAACATTTTTCAAAATATCTTCAACATAAGAAAAAGACATTTTTGCACGAACTAACCCTTTAAAAAGTAAAATTAAACTAGACTTTTATTTTAACGGATTGTCGTGATTCGTGAACATGCTGTGAGTTTTCATGTGTACGTTATGATGATAGCTCCGGAAATTAAGTTCACATATATGGACATACAGCCTGTTCTACAAAACAAAAAATCACAAAGACACAAAGAATATGCAGATATCATATTTATAAAATAGAGAAAATAGGACAAATATGTCACTTCACCTATGCTTGTTGCATATATTTGTGTCCAACATGGTCTCACACACAACCACAGCGCATCTAAGAGACTAAAATGAAATCAATATTTTACTCTAAAACAGGGGTCACCAATCCTGGTCCTGGAGGGCCGGTGTCCCTGCAGGGTTTAGCTCCAACCTTGCCTCAACACACCTGCCTGGATGTTTCAAGTATACCTAGCAGGACCTTGATTAGCTTGTTCAGGTGTGTTTAATTAGGGTTGGAGCTAAAATCTGTAGGACACCGGCCCTCCAGGAACAAGTTTGGTGACCACTGCTCTAAAAAATAAATACTGATGATGCTCCGTCTGATAATAGCGTGTTTTGTTCCTTCAAATCTTCCACATGTTTCTCTCAACTACCTTTTATGTCATTTATTCACGACTTCACTACTTTTTCGCATGGTCGAGATCTAAGCCCTTTGCTTAACCTTCTGGTGATCAGAAAACTCGCACAACCGCTAACAATAAAACAACAGTATTTAAAGAACATGTATAATTTAGGATTAGATCCTCATGTCTGATGAACTACTTATTCATAAAGTCTGGAAATAACCTACAAAATTAGTGAAATTTACATCTACTTGAAATTTACGTGTTCACAATCCACTGCAAAAACACTGTGCTGTACTTTTGTCTAGGTGGCGAAGACAAAGCAGCGGATCGAGGAGGAGAAGATGCAGGTGCTGGTGGTGGAGCGATCGCAACAAATCACGCTGCAGGAGCAGGAGATCTCACGCAAAGAGAAGGAGCTGGAGGCCAAAGTCAAGAAGCCCGCCGAGGCCGAGCGATACCGCCTGGAGAAACTGGCTGAAGCCGAGCGGTGAGATACGCACCAGTTCAACTTCTTACGTTTACTTAAAATAGAAAATGAAAGTGAATTTAAACAAACGCCAACATTTCCTCAAATCGTCATAGATAGATATGACACTAACAATTTTGCACCAGTGTCATCATGCTAATTGTGATTATTTTATATAACAAACGCACAACTAAACTGCATTACAGTTACATCACCACTACACCTAACAATTTCTATTATTTTAGGTTACGGTACCGCCTACAAAAGTCACAGATCTAATCAAAACACAAGGATTTGCATGAGAAGTGTAAGGCCCTGTCCACACGAACATGGGTATTTTCAAAAACGCATCTTTTTCCACAGTTTTGCTGTTTCTCTGCACGAAAACGTGTGACTAAAACAAAAATTTTATGAAAACTCCAGCTAAGGGTGAAGACATTCTGAAACTCCAGGTACAGTGTGGTCATGTGGACACTATAACTGGAGTTTTTACCTCATCACATCAGCGTGTACGCTCTTTTTTCCTTTCTAAAAGGGCAACTCGGCTAGGTTCATAGCAAATGCAGAAAATTAAAATGTTGCAAATACGTGGCAAATGCACCAAGGCACAAATGAAAATCCACTTCTGTTCTCAAGTTTGCGTTGTCTTGTATATAGAATCTACTAGCGACAAAAACTTAACCAGACTAAAAGTGTCATTATCTCTGCCTTTTGGTTTCGGTGTGCCCTTAACATGCATCACAGAGCATTTTTGTGTTCTCATGTGGATTCTTTTTTAAACTAAAGCGGGGAAAACTTAAAAAAAAAAAAAAGTACCCATGTACGTGAGGGCATGGCCTAAGAAACTTTCCTACACACAGTTGTTTCGTAGACAAAAACCAGACAAATGTCTTAAAATACAGAATTAGATCAATGCCTGTGATTGCCGTAACATTAACGCAGTATGAGGGAAACAGTTGATTCCAATGTGCATTATTTTCTAATAATTCAACAGCCCATTACACTACCCTGACACTAACTTGACCATTTAATGCTCTTCAACAGCCTTCAGCTCATCATGGAGGCAGAAGCAGAGGCTGAATCCATCAGAGTAAGCGATTTATCATATTTGTCATTCAGAACAGCATGCTTTTCTTACATTTTTTGTCTTGTTTCTAGTCCAAATTTCTAAAAAAGTATTTGATCAAGAAGAATTTTCTACGCAAGCAAAAAGCATCTTCTTGTTTTCAGAAATAATATGCCAAAATTAAGTAGGGTTTTTTTTTTGCATAAAACAAGCTAAATAATCTCATATCAAAAGGAAAAACACAATTACTTTGCTTGTTTTAACGTCTTAAGGCCAAAGGTGTTTTTTTTACATGCATTTTTATTTTTCTTTGCTATATGGGCTTATTGGAACCTACTCAGAATAAAACCTAAGTATCATCTTTTGATGTGATGTACTTTAAGAGAAAAATGATGTCCAAATATGTGGATTTGTGGTCCGGATTTACATAAAACACTTTTTCCTGCCTGTTTTGTAATGCATGTTTAACATGGAACATTTTTGAACATATTTTGACTTTCAGAGAGTAAAAAAAAAATTTTTTCCCCATTTTGGACAGTTAAAAATAGTGTTTGGGACATTTCATATGCTGCAAAATGAAGGATGACACTGTATGTCTGTAACAAAATATAAAACATTCTAAATATTTTAAATAGTCACTTAAGAACTCACATGTGCTGTCCACATATGTGGTCACCAAGGCCTAGGAATTAAAGGAAAAACCTACTTAATTTTGGCATATTATTTCTGAAAACAAGACAATAAGGCCGCATTTTCACTGCACTGTTCGAGTGAATAAACTCCGATTTGTTTTCTCCCATGTGGCACAGATCTGATATGGCCCATGTACATGTAAGCAGGAACAAATCACATGGACTCCAATTTACTCAAATCAGATTCAAGCCTTGTTCATATGTGGAAATTTATCCAATATGAATCAGATCTGTGTTCTCGTGTCTGCAGTGTAAGCAGGTAGAACGGATTTTCACCTGTCAATGAGAGTCGCACGTCATTAAAAACCGTAGCGAGTGACGTCAAGTCTGACACTTTCATTTCAGAACAGACCTCAGCAGAGACGCAAACCTTAAATCTCATACACGAGGACTAAAACAGCTTTTATATTGTTGTATAGCACAGGTATAAGCATGTTAACGAGAGCGAGAGAGAGCAGTGTCCGCCACGTAACCAATATAAACTAGTGCATACATCACATGCATAAATCATGCCATAGACATTATATTATATTTATTATAGACTCTTTAATTATCAGCTGTTAGTCAGCGCCTGCTTTTTTTTTTCCTGATCATTGCGTCTCTGCCGTGTGTTGAAAGATGATGTAAGCAGGTCAGCAAACAAATCGGATACAGTCACAAAATCGGAATTGACCATCAAGATCTGCAGTGTAAATGCAGCCTAACTTGTGCTGGTCTAGAAAATGCTTCTAGATTGAAGACTATTTAGATATTTGGACTAAAAACAAGACAAAAAAAATTGAAGAAAAGGATTTTTGCAGTGTATGTATGACAAATAATTATGAACAAGACGAAAAACTTAAGTAAATAAATATGTTTTTAACTTTAAGGGTTAGTTTACCCCAAAATAAAAGTTTACTCACTATTTACTCAAGTGTTCAGAGTTTTGAGTTTCTTCTTTTGAACACAAAGATATCTTGATGATTGTTGGAACAAGTTAGCCACTGGAAGTACAATGGAAGTCAATGGATACTAGTTTCCAGCATTCTTCAAAATAATCTGGTGTTCAACAAAAGAAGGAACTCAAACAAGTGGAAAGTGAGAAAATAAAGGCAGATGATGATATTCTGGGGTAAATTCAGATATGAACTCAATTTACTGTGGTCAGGTGAGAGGAGAGGCAGAAGCGTACGCTGTGGAGGCTAAAGGTCGTGCTGAAGCAGAGCAGATGGCAAAGAAAGCTGAAGCCTTCCAGCACTACAAAGAAGGTGCAATGGTGGACATGCTGCTGGAGAAACTTCCAATGGTAAGACGCAATATTTGAGTTGACTTCTCTGCATGTGTGGAGGCAATATAGAAACGTTTTGCAAGTCAACATAAGCAGAAAGCAGTTGATTGAGTTGATGTCCTGTATTAATGGTAAATTGTATGTTTTCTCTTCATTAGATGGCTGATGAGATCAGTAAGCCTCTGTCAGCTACAAATAAGGTGACTATGGTCTCCAGCGGAGGTTCAGAGATTGGTGCTGCTAAACTGACAGGCGAAGTCCTCGACATCATGACCAAACTGCCTGAAACCATCGAGAAACTGACCGGCGTTAACATCTCCCAGGTCAAAATCATTATTATTATTTCAAATTATACACTAAAGTAGTTTTAATACAAGTGACTGTACTGGAGTGTGAATATGTTGATACTATATTGTTTACACTATTGACCTTATTCTTCATTGTGGAAGTGCGCTTGTTTTTGCGATTGTTTTAGAACTTAGAACTTTTGATTCAGTTGCCTAAGGTAGAAATGGACTAGGCATAATAAATGGCAGAAAACGGTCAAACTACTTGTTCTACAAACAAGTGTGTTCAAGGCTAGATAAAAAGTAGAATAATATAATGTTGAAAGATCAGTTTGCACCATCAAGCACAAGCAGCATAACAAGCTGTTTTTAATGTTAAAAAAATCAATGGAGTTGAACTAGAAGTCTTGAGTCAAAAATATTTCAATGGCTGCTCCTACTCGCATGTGAAGAACAAGGTTAATATAGTTGGCTAAAAAACATTATGGGTCAAGCAGTACATAAAAAAACAAAAACAAAGTAATCATAAAACAGTATAAAAACAGTACCAAGATGGCTGCTTAACCTTTGGTTTATGTAACATCATACAGTGCTTGTAAATAAATGTGGATAGAAACATAAAATGTAAATAAGTGGGCGTGGCTAATGCACGTGTGCCATGCGTGAGGCTTAGAAAGACACTCCATGTTTTCAACAAGAAGTGCTCGCTTAGTTTCTATATATTTATACACGATTTTATTTTTTTTTAAGGAAAAGATATTTCCTTAGTGTTTACATATTTATATTTTCATGTATACCTTTTTTTTCCAGTTACATATATTTGATATTGTAAGAAGATGTTACTTAAGGAATGTTTATAAAAACTGAAATGTTACACACAGTGGCATTTGTTGTTTCATGTAAAGTCATATTTTGTTTACTATATTTATAAGGTCCAAAACAAAATACAAAATTAGCAAAGGAGATCAACTCCACTTCTTTTCTTTAATATTCAAGCTGATGTGTTAGATACAGGGTTCATACACAATTTTGTTACTAAAATTCGGTGACTTATCTAGGACTTTCAAGTAAATTGCTAGGATCTAATGTGTCATGTAATTTCTACGTATACATTGTAAATAATAAGAAAAACAATGAATGTTCAAATTTTTTACGTCAATATAATAAAACATGCAACTATTTAGTTAAAATTTCTATTTATATCTATGTAAAACTAATTTAGATTATGCTTACACAGCACTAATAATGTGAGAGCACGTTTTTGACCAAGGATAGAATAGATTTGTATTCAATTATATATTTGTAAACTAATTTCCACAACTTTCTGGGTTTGGTTTATCTGTTTTTCTAAGACTTTTCCGGGGGTCCATTCTTAATACATTGATTACTCAGTTAGCTGGATTTGGTTATTGATGATTTGAAACAATCCAGGATCGTTTCGTTCTTCAAAACTCAGAATTTTAGTCATAGCAACAGGTCTGGTAGCTCAAACCTGTTTTTTTTTTTTTTAGGAAAATAATTTATGCAGTCATGCACATGTTTTAACAGATAATATGATGGTGATTTAATGGTTCTTAAATGTTGCAGACACCTTTACCAATATTAAAATGCTATTTTTGATGCTCAATTAAATTAAACAGCCAGTTATTCCTTATGCCAATTAAGAAACTTGAATAGGCTTAGGCTACTTTAATAAAGAAAATTAGCTCTAAATGTAAAGCTAAATAAATTGCTTAAATCACTCCACACATGAAAGTGCAAAACCTGCAGCTCACCACAAATGTGGAAAATTCATTCAAATCATTTACTATGAATTTGATGTAATTTTACTCACATGGATAATTCAATAATAATTAGATGATGTCATAACGCTGCCGTGCCGTCAGCCAATTGTTGCATTCCTGATCATAATTTTGTGGATCAATATATCTGTCCTTCACAACACATGCAGTGATCTCAGATCAGTTTATCCAGATATTTTAATCTGATTCACAAACTTATTTGAAGAACCAAATTAGCCAGAGATCACTTATCAAGATTAAAAGATCCAGGATCTGCCAAATCATCTTAGATCATTTAAGCGCGGTACGAAGAAAAGACCCCAGGTTTTCCATGACCGTTTAAACCCTGTACATAAAGCCTTTCTTTCCATTTTCTGGAATAACTACCTTTATTTTAAAAAAAAAAAACTTCATCGTGAACAATATTGTTACCATGATACAAACTTTCACATCCCATTAATTAAAATGTTGGTCATACTGCCCGTCCCTAATTTAATTAATATGTAGTTTGTGCATAAATATATATATTTACTGACTCCGCATTTCTCTTTCTCTTTAGGTGGCCCGAACCGGCTGAAGCAGTTCTCCGACATGAATACTGTATGCATGCTTCAGAAATCTTTTACATTTTTCTCTGACTTCTCACATTTTCCTTCATGTTCGTTTTCTCCAACTTCCTCCTCTTTCAATAAGTCCATTTCTACCTTCATCATTCCTATCTTCCACTATATCTCTATTGTTTCCCATGTTTCTCTCTCTCTCCACTTCCTGTCTGTCTTTGCCTTGCTGCCAAAACCCAAAGTGCATTGAAATCAAAACCTCCAGGGAAGAAAGCTGTTCTTTATATTTTGTAATGCAATCATAATAAGACAGTGAAGTCCAAGTATCCACTGAAAGCCATTAGTCGACGCAGCTTTTATCACATTCACCAGTCGTTTTTCCCTATAGAGTGCTTTTACATGTGGCCAGTGCATTCAGAGCTGTTATCATAGCTGAGCTTTCCATGGGAAAAGCCAAAGCAACTTGAAGGGAAACACGTTTCTGTTTCTGTGAGTGTAATACTTTCACTTTACCTCAGCGGTGTGTGTTTTAGCTATATTTGTTAGACACGACTACATTATTATAGGTTCAAATAGTACTCTGAAGATACTGCCAGTGTTTGAAGTGTTTATTCATATTATATCGAACAATCGAGTGTCTTTATATGTCTAGAAGAACTGTAGGTCGGTAATTATTCTATTTATTTGACAGATCTGTCATTTTAATGCTCTGTGCTGTCGTTTGAAGTGTTTTCACGCTTGACTGAAGAGTCTGAATATAGAAATCTGTACTGTTTCGTCCTAAAGAAGGCCATGTTGATGATATTGTGGCCATGTAGCAAATTTTTTAGGACTAGATTTACCAGGGAAACATGTTTGTTCTATTTATCTGTGTTCATCGGAGGATTTAGATAAAGACTATTTAAAGGGATAGTTCACCCAACAGTTCAAATTTGCTCATTATTTACGAGTGGTTATATAGAGCAGTGTTTCTCAACCACGTTCCTGGATGACCACCAGATCTGCACATTTCCCCATGTGTCCTTAACCAAACACACCTGATTCAGATCTTCAGCTCATTAGTAGAGATTGAAAGACCTGTAATGGGTGTGACAGACAAAGGAGACATCAAAGCATGCAGTGCTGGTGGTCCTCCAGGAACGTGGTTGAGAAACACTGATATGAAGGGCTTTGAGTTTAACAACAGCGCATTCCTAAATAAAATGTTTTATTATTATTATTATTATTATAAACATGATGACGTATTTTGATAAAAGCGGAAAACCGGTAACCATTGACTTCAATTGTAGGAAAAATAAATACTATAGAAGTCAATGGTTACAGGTTTTTAACATTCTTCAAAGTATCTTTTTTTGTGTTTAACAGATGAAAGAAGGTTTATAACAAGTAAAGAGTTAAAAAATAATGACAATTTTGAATTTTTGTGTGAACTACCCATGTAAAATGGCTTGAATATTACATAAAAAGAGATATTACGTTCAATACTTTTTATTAAATATGATTCTAGTTGATGATTTGTTTTTAATTATACAGTATTCAATATTGGTTATACTATGTAAATCTTTGATTACATCATGATTGTTGTGAATGTTGTTTTTTAAGTGTTTAAATGTCAGTACAATATATTGTTTTTTTAATGCACATTTCATAAAACACGTCATAATATGTTCATTACATTTAATATTTACTAACATTATTACGATGTATACACAGTTACGGTGTTTACTAGATGTTGTTACGTAACGCAAACTGAACTAACCCCACATTTACGACACACATTTTTACACTCTTCATGATTAATGGATTATTATGGCTGATATTTCTGATGCATCTTATGAACGCTAAATATGAAGGCCTGTTTATTTACTATTTGTGGTAAGATGTTTGTTAAAGGGATAGTTCACTTCATTCCCCTTTTACTCAAATTCTTCCAAAGGTGCTTTTTTCCATTTGACTTAAAAGAAGATATTTTGAAAAATGTTGGAAATCTGTAACCTTTATTACTATTGAAGTTAATGGTCACAGACTTCTAACATTCTTCAAATTATCTTCTTTTGTGTTCAACAGAAGAAAGAACTCCATAAAGGGATAACAGATGTTTCATTTTTGTGTGAACTATCCCTTTAAGCATATACCGTAATGTTTGGATAGATTATTAGTATTCTAGCTTGGGCATTAGACACTATGTAGGATAAGGTTGCGGGTAAGAAAACCTATATTTGTCAATAGATGCTTTTTTCTATTTTATACAGTATCTATATACTAATATCAATCACTCATGTGAAATGTTGCAGTTTCAACATGCATGCAAAGACTAACAAACCAAAACTGCTTTACTGTCTATTTGTGCTTCTATAAATGCCTTAAAGTAAACTCTCTCTCTACTAAAATAAACATTTAACTAAAGTCATATCTGTTCGGTCTCACTCTGTCAACCTAAAAAACTAAACGCAAGCATCATTTTCGTAGAGTTTGGAGCTATGAAGGTTAATGTTAAAGTCATTATTAATTTTCTTTCTTTTGTCAAATATTTCCCAAATGATGTATAACAGAGTAAGGATTTTTTACAGTATTTCTTATTTTCCTTCTAAAGAAAGTTTTTTTTAGCTAGAATGAAAGCAGATTAAAAAAAATTTAAACACCATTTTAAGATCAATACTATTAGCCCCCTTACAGGTGCTGTATGTAAGTTTTTGAATCTTCTAAGGCATAAAAATACCATAATATGTTGGCAGATATTTAAAAAACATGCCAAGTGAGCATTCTTGTTTATCTGAAAAGTAATGCTGAAGTCAGATATTCTGCTTTAATAATGTGTGTGCCAGAATGTCTCTTTGTTTTGTTTTCTTTAACCCACCCAATGCCAGTTTAGCCAATATTATCTCAGCACCCCGGGTTGCCTCGGTGGAAAACAGCATATTTCATTCATTCAGTCATGATGGCTCTCTAAGCATGAGTTTGTGACTGAAATGCGACCTCCGGTGGACAGTAGCAACCTCTGAAATGAGACGCAGGTTAAATAAACGTAGTCTATAGGCCTTTGTCTTTTAAATAAGACATTTCTTATTCCAAATGATCAACTAGAAGTTTAGTTATAATTTGTTGTTCCAAAAACTTGCATAGGCGACAAGACTTGCATCAGGTGGTGTAAAACATCGTCAGAGATTTCTTTTTTTTAATCCTAAAGCGTTGTCATTTTTATTTTCTTGATCCTGCCTGAAACAAGGGGAAGGTATACAAAAATAGAATTAGGATTGGGCCACTGTAACCTCCGTGTTCTAAAAACATACTGCATCAGGGACTCTCAACCGGTGAGCTTCAGCGATCCTGCAGGTGGGCTGTGAGATAGCTTAATATTATCTTAAATTTCCAACCGCTGCGCGTCAACTGGGACTGTATGTTCTGAGTTGTATAAAGCAAACTCACGCAAAAGGTTATGATGATTCGAGTTATAATCACCAGCTCGCACGTGCCTCACGTCTGCGACTCATACTGTATGAAAGTCGCACAATTCTTTTGCTTCATAAACTGTGCATGCTCTCTCTTTGTAAACACTTTAAAATATCCGCATAGTTGTCCAAATTAACGTCTTGCGAGAGTTTTATAACTGACACGTGTCCATACAGGCCAATAATGTCCAGCTACAAGCCAGGCCACCTTCAGATCGATGTGTTTCAACAGATTTTTTACTGTATTTTACATTTATGGTTAGGTTGTTTATTTTAATGGATATAGATCAATAGATGAATAGAAGTCAGTCTAATTCAAAGCATCAGCAGTTTTTTTTTTGCCATCTCCTGTAGTCCTGTCAGGTTCCTTTGCTGAAGTAAAGAATTCAGGAGCTTTGAACCTCTGTTCTTTTTTTTTTTTAACTATTAAGATTTATATTTTATATTATATATATTTATACACATGCACAATGTTTCAATTTTTTATACAATGATGTAGAAATATAAGAGAACAATAGAAGGCAAAATAAATGTTTTATTAATAAATAAAGATTTAAAATAAACATTTTCTCTAGACAATCAGTTTGGGCCTTTAAAAAATAATTCAGAGAAAAAGGTGGGCCTTGAAGTGAAAAAGGTTGAGAACCCCTGTGCTACATGATGAGATTTGCAAAGATATGCAATTAAGCTGTTTGCATCAGACGAAACACGATGGAAATTTAAATGCAGCAATTCAGAAGCACAGAATAATGCACTCACTGCACTCCAACGAATATATAAAGTTTGTAATCTAACTAATACAAATGAAACCTTTTTAACATTATTAAATGTAGATACTGACGCGCTGATTTGTGTTGGCTTGCACTGAGTCACAGTTCTAAAGTTCAATTTCAAATGGTTTATTTTATTTTTCAAGATCTGTGAACTATCTGCTGCTGCTTTCAGTAGTACGGCAATAAATATCATAGAAAATCACATTATTATTGATTAACGCTGAATAAGCACATGATGTGTACCTGAGGTGATCATTGTTCGCCTATGAGAAATAAAAGCTGTTTCTAAAATAGAAATTTCAGGTGTTGGTTTGGACAAAAAAATCTTTTTAATATGGAAAATATTCCAAAATATTGCTTTTAGTTAGAAAATGGTTCAAATCAGCCTTTAGGCTCAATAGTCAGACATACTTAAATCTGGCAACCTGCGCTTGTGTGGACTCGTTGAGGAACCGCTGAGTGAAAATGGGTTTGATCCAGGAGTGCAATACCTAGTTCAACCACTGGGTGTCAGACTTACATACTGCACTTTTAAGCTTTTTTTTCCCGATTGCCTACAAAACAAACCATTGTTATACAATGACTTGCCTAATTACACTGACTTGCCTAATTAACCCAGTTAAGACTTTAAATGTCACCTAAAGCTGAATATTATTATGTTGAAAGATGTCTAGTAAAAATATGGCAAAGATAAAATGAACCAGCTATTAGAAATGAGTTAATAAAACTATTGTTTAGAAATGTGTTGAAAAAAAATTGATAAATATATATATATATAGAAATTGATAAATATATATATATATATATATAATGACAGAAATTGATAAATATATATATATATATATATATATATATATATATATATATATATATATATATATATATATATATATACAAAAGGGCTAATAATTCTGACTTCAACTGTAAATAAACATTTGAAAGCATAATTATAATCACTTGTTAACTTACCCTTTTCGATGTACACGATCCCGATGTCTTCTTCCTTGACTAACTAGTTCTCCACATAAGCAAAAGCTCCTCACAATCTGCTTAAATTCCTCACAATCTGCCTGATAACAACAAAAACAAACACCAAATCAACAAGGCATGCATTAACTAACTGATACAACATCTTTTTAAACTCCAAACACATTACATATCCCAGAGAAAAAGCATGTTTATCTGTTTTTTATTGTTGTTATTGTTCATATTAGGAGAAACAGTTACGTCAGATGAATGAGTGTTGATCTATACAGCAAAGAGTCTTCTTAAAGAGTAGTTAATAAGTATTAGGAGTGACAGAAGTAACATTAATAATAATAAGAATAATAATATCTGAGAACCGTGTTATTTTTTTCTCTCCAAAAGACATATATGGATACAACAAGGATTATACATGAAGGACCGGCCAATCATCTGGCTGCTTCCTGGACACCCGGAGGTCAGCGATTGGATGGTTTAGCAATATGTTAACATCCCGTACTCTGAGCTCTAACGTTGCCTTTTTAATACATTTTGTAAAAATCATATCTCGGCTGGACCAGAAAGACAATCCTTCCCTTTTATGAATGAACACGTCGTCTCTATATACACACACGCGCACACACGTATAGAATAACTCCCAATTGATAATGATGATGAGAATATTTGCATATAAAAGAACAGTTAATATAATAATTGGTATTAAAGTTTCTTTTTTTTTTTAAAAAACACTACTAAATAGTACCTGGTAACCAATTTTTTCCCGCCCTTTCTTTCTTAACAAAACGAAAGACTCATTTTAGGGAGGATCATGAAAATATAAAATGACTTGACGACTTAGGATTAAAAAAAGACATTTCTGATGATGTTAAACACCACCTGATAAAAGTCTTGTCGCCTATCTAAGTTTTAGGAACAGTATATAATAACTTGACTTCTAGTTGATCATTTGGTATCAGAAGTGGCTTATATGAAAGTCGAAGGCCTCTAGATTACGCTTATTTTACCAAAATAAAATATGATCATGCCTTGATTTTTTATTATTTAATTAGGACAGTAAGGTCTGACTTTGCTTAGACAAAAGTCTTGTCACTTAACAGAAATAATGTCCAGTATAAAATATAAAGTCATGCTGCTGTGGAGAAATAATTAATATTGTGTCCGACTCCCATGAGCTTGGAGGACTGCATCCATACATCTCTGCAATGACTCAAATAACTTATTATTAGTCATCTGGAATGGCAAAGAAAGCATCTTGCAGGACTCCCAGAGTTCATCAAGTTCCTTTGGATTCATCTTCAATGCCTCCTCCATCATCTTACCTCAGACATACTCAACAATGTTCATGTCTGGTGATTGGGCTGGCCAATCCAGAAACACCTTCTTTGCTTTCAGGAATTTTGATGTTGAGGCTGAGGTATGAGAAGTGGCGCTATCCTGCTGAGGAATTCACCCTCTCCTGTGGTTTGTAATGTAATGGGCAGCACAAATTTCTTGATACCTTACGGCAGATTTATACTTCAGTGTCAAGCGTATGCTAAAGCTCAGCCTACGTGTGGTTGCAAAGCCCTCGCTGACGCGCACCTCTTCAAAAATGTAACTACGCATAGCGCAAGCTCTGTGATTGGTCAGCATGAAAGCGCAGACAAGTGTGGGCGGGACCAAGAGACGAGCAAATCCGCTGGAGCGAGTGTTTACAAGGAGCTCCGGATGGAGGCTGTTGCTTTGCGTTTACCTTATGGCAGTGGTTCTCAAACTGTGGTACGTGTACCACTATTGGTACGCAGGCTTCCTTCTAGTAGTACGCGGAGGAATTAAATATGTGATGTACATGCTACACACATTTAAAAATGTATCAAAAATTATGTACATAATAAGCCATATATGACATATAGCCTATATTTCTAAGGTAATCTGCCACATTTTTTTTAAACTGTGCAGAGTTGTAGCTGCTTTACTGGGCCTACTACGCTACTATATTTCAATACTGCTCATTATGGTGGTACTTGAAGAGGCAATTTTTTTCTGAGGTGGTACTTGATGAAAAAAATTTGAGAACCACTGCCTTATGGTTAAAGTTGTTGCACATCCGCTGGTTCCTGCCTCAAAATGAGCGAGTTTGAACCACTTGTACATTAAAAAAACATTCAGAAAAAACCAAACCCCAGCGAAGAAACTCGACACAAAGGAACATAAACACCTACTGC